AGATCGCTTCGCAACAGGTTCGCAAAACCCTTCGTCGGAGTCATCCGAGTCATCACGTGGCTCACGAACCACGTTAACTCTCGGCGGAGAAGGCAGCACCCGCTGTCCGTGTCTTGAAGGGAGGCGATGGGATCCAACATAACGTCTGGGCTCGTAAACACCAGAATGCATGTGAACCGGTTTATGGCTCACAGCTTTTGAATGACTGCCAAAAGAAATATTGACAGACGTTGAGGCATTGGTATGGTCTGCTGAACACTGTGCTGCTACTGGTGGTGGCTTGGGTGTCGACTCCTGTACTGGACTTACGTCCATAGGCATCTTCTGAGACAGGGAAGCATCTGACACACAAGCAGGATGTCCGCCTTCAGTCAGTTTCAAGGAGGACGTCAATGCTACAAGACTCGAAACCGTCCGGCCGCGCACATCAGTTTCTCCGAGTTTCACGCTAGGTTTTGCACAACAACCCAGTCCTGTTGAAGAAGTCCCGCAACTGCTACTCATTGTCACTTCTGCACTACTCGCTGTAGGGGAGATTTCCTCCAATGTGGCTGTTGGAAAAGCGCCCTCAGGCTCAGAATGCATTGTCATAATTCTACTCACAGATAAGTTCCCCCTGTTCAACCAAGGAGGAGCAGGAGTAAACGTCTCACTCTCAGCGCTAGACTGGTGACAGTCACAAACAGTGTTTGGATGACTCCTGGTCAGGCTCACAGCCCCACGACTTGACGACTCGTGCACCGGCGGATGTGCCCCTGCCTCCCCCGGCTTGTCCACGCTCTTTCTCCGCTGTCTGGCCGCCAGCGCAGCTCTGTTGACGCATTCCTTGCACTCGCAGCGGTGATCAGCGCCTGACAACCGCCTCCTTTTGCTGAAGATCCCGAAGCGGTTTCGGCAGTACTCATGGCTCTTCTTTCTCTTCGGCATGTCAAGATGATAATAAAGCAAACCTCTGATATCTAATCAATGAATTGTTGGTGAATTTTAGCTTGGCATTGCGGGAGAAAAATCACCGTTTACGTTATCGTCCATGTCATCAGATTTCCGTGGCCGGTACGTGAAGGAAGGTCAATGTTTATGATAAAGCACGCCCTCTCTTGTCGGGGTAATCAAAGTTTGCTCCTTTCTGGTTCTGGTTGAGTCGGTAAAATTCACTCAAGACCATAGAGCTAAGACTCACACCAACCTTTGACCTTACGAGCATTATGACTCGCATTGAATGGATGTGGAGATGACCTTGTCATGTTATTTGCTCATTTCATCCCGAAAATAGGTGTTTTTCCCCTCTCTTAATTTCGTTATGAAACAAAATACTTTATTATTATAATGTATCTTTTGTCAATTTTTAAAGACTCAAAACGATTCTTTTAATTTATCTTTGCAAATTATTTTGTTCATGCATTCCGAAGAAAAGTTGTACATGTACATGTACATGTAGTTCAATTCACAACACGGATCTAAGTTGTCACTGCTATGACATACCGCAATCATACATACACACGCACGGATGTATGTTTTACATACGCTATGTGGACATTCCTTTGTTTTCGTGTAGTTAAGAAAACTCGGTACAAAAAATAACTTTACTTTAACTGTGAAACTCTTTCAACCAGATTTTTTCCTATGATTCCCTTTTGTGTTTCTCTTCATTTTGCCACTGATAAACCTAACCTCAAAATGCCTCTACATCTGTTTTCCAGAGAGAGCGAAACGTTATGTGGACACGGCTTATAGTCCACACAACGTCAACACAACCTGCATTATGTGGACATCTTTTGTTTACAAGTTATAGTGAATGTAAGACAAACTCACGCACACACACCCGCACAGGTTAAAAATATTTTTAAAATGCTCTGAGTTGCGGTTTCTATGCACAAACTTGCTGACTGTGTGAAGTCGTCCCGTTACTGTCAATGTTGATACCATACCATCAGAATCCAATTTGTTGCATTGTCCATTCTCCTGGCCCAGATGCAATAAACGAGAATCCGTCAGGTTGATCGTCCGCAACAACTCTGCTCATGCAACAGCTCCCCACCAAGACCGCTGAACAAGCTGACGTCATCAACAGCCAATAAGGAAAGAGCCTCAACTTGGGAAGTGGGTCTAAACTTTTCTGATTGGGTCAAATTTGACAATAATAATGAGCGGAGCTAATGTTGGAATCAGGCCAGTGGCAGTCAATATCAAAGGCTCTCCGCCATCCAGCTGCTTTTTGATTTACACGAAAATCGTCTTGAACAATAAACCCAACCGCAGTAAATAGACATGAATAGATATGAAACGGCGCGGCACCGCTTAGGCCAAAAAAAAAAAGTCTCCGGTTTCTGGTATGCGCGCGCGTCGCCGTAGCCATGCGCGTCAGCAAAATAAAAAAGTTTTTTTTCAATACAAGATGATGTCTCACAACCCCCAAACTCACTGGTTTGACTGTAATTCTGCTGCTGCACAATTTTAACGTGTTTTTAGATGGGGTTATGATCGAGAATAAGCTTTATGTGGCCTCTCTGGACTCCCATATATTTGCACTAAGTTTAGTCGGGCACCATTTGCAGTCATCAGCCAAGGGCGGATCCAGGGGGGGGGGGGCCAAAGGGGGCCATGGCCCCCCCCAAAACGAAACCAATTTTTTTTATTTTTTATGTGACATCGCAATAAAGGCAGGCAATGAGTACACCACCATCTTTTCCTCAAAAAAAATTGGTTAAAGTGGTCAGAAATTGCCTCAGATCGCACCACAGAGCATCTAGAATCCAAAAATTTTTCGGGGCCCTAGCGGGCCCCGAACCCCACCCCGTAATTTTTTAGACCCACTTTTTTGGGGACCAAAATTTTTTTTGGCCCCCCCAAAATTGTGTTCTGGATCCGCCCTTGTCATCAGCCGACATTTGAAGCCAAAAAAAAAAAACAGGTCAAAAAAAAAAAAGCCGCGTTGCCGCACCACTTTTGGGGCAAGCTCGATACCATAAACCGGAGACTTTTTTTTTTGGCCTTATGAACGGAAGTTGCTTCCGGTAATAACGCAAACTCCCCTCTTCAGTATTAATTAAGTTACGTTCTCAGGAACTGATATAAAAAGATCTTTAGAAAACAACCTATAGGTACAGAATTGCAATTACGATATTTTGCCACTGAGATGCCGGTGTCATATGAAAATCTGACTCCTATGAAAATCCGACTCCTTTTTCCCTATGATTGGTTAATCCCTCGCACGTGACAGGTCACTCTGCCATTATGATCGTACAAATAGCATAATTGTGCTTACGCATGCACAGTACTACCAATGAGTCCATATTTCATGGAGTCGGATATTCACGCTACACCTGCGTTGATACCGTTCGGCGAGCGAGTCAGAACGCTTTTTGCAATATGAAAAGTAGAGTATCATAAATCAAATCCGTTTTTAAAAATATTGATGAGCGAATCAGACGATCACGAGACTGCTGAACTATTTATGAATGCCAATGTTAAATTACTGCATCTTTCGAATAGACCATGACCCCGTCTGATATCACGATCACTTTTTCATTTGCAACGAAATTGCAAACAGTAACTTAAATATCTGGAGAACCGGGATTGCTTATTTATCATTACTTTATCGTTAATGCTGTGGCACATTATATGCACTACATTTGTCTTTTTAATGAAAAGTCAGCTTCGCCATTGCGGCAAAGATTGTATAAGAGCGCTGCGCAAAGTAGGTAGCAGGCAAGCGTTCACAGCTGTGGTGGGTGGCATGCAAAATCTGAGAAAAACGATGTGCCAACACCCAGTGCTGGGTCGACACGATTATGACAACCGTACACGAACCGCGGCTCAGGTAGTGATCATTATGCCTTTTGATTGAAGGATTTGCGGGTCTTTTCAGTGAAAACTAGAAAGCACTCAGAGAGCACAAAACTCCGCCAAAAAGGCTACACAATAAATTGCCCGCCATATTGTGTCAATGTGGGACCCTTCGGTGGGGCATGAGAAACACCCGGTTGGGAAAGGGAGCGATGACCGGGAGTGTTGGAGGGCGCCATCTACTTGATTGTACACCCAAAATAAATTCTCGCATAAAATGGTGCAGAAGTTAAAACAAAAATGCTGGATCCAGACCCAGATCCGGATCACTTCCAAAATCTATTGGATTTCTACTTGTATCAAGGACCACGCCTACAAAACTTTTCATGTAGATCCGTCGTTAACTTTTTTAGTTATCTTGTTAAGGCCAAAAAAAAATGTCTCCGGTTTCTGGTATGGAGCTTGCCAAAAAGGGGTGCGGCGACGCGGCTTTTTTTTTTTACCTGATTTTTTGGCTTCAAATGTCGGCTGATGACTGCAAATGGTGCCCGACTAAACTTAGTGCAAATATATGGGAGTCCAGAGAGGCCACATAAAGCTTATTCTCGACCATAACCCAATCTAAAAACACGTTAAAATTGTGCAGCAGCAGGATTCCAGTTAAACCAGTGAGTTTGGCGGTTTTGAGATTTCATCTTTCATTGAAAAAAAAAAAACTTTTTCATTTTGCCGACGCGCATGGCTACGGCGACGCGCGCGCATACCAGAAACCGGAGACTTTTTTTTGGCCTAACAGACAAACCAATCAACCAACAAGATGAAAACATAACCTCCTTTGCGGAGGAAATAAGCCCGATGACTAGGTCACAATGCACAACGCTTGCCTACTGCAATGCTGGCCGATCACGGGGAAACAGGGTAGTCACGTGGTATTTTCGTCATGCGATCGAAACCTAAAGGCTCAACTGCATTTTAAGGGCAAGAAAATGCAGAGAAAGCGGAAATCAAATTAACTGGAGTATTTCGTCATTAGAAACGCAATCTTTCTGCTGTAGTGCTCTTATTTTTCGCTTTTTTAAATAATGGTCACAATTAGGTCCGGCCTAAACACAAGGACATGTGATGAGTAACTTTTAAAACCTTTTTCGTCACATCAATTCACGGAATCCCTAGAGGTACGTACATCCTTCAATGGTTTACAAAAAAACCGCAAATTCTTTGAGCAGTGTTGTAGGATTTCATGTAATAGTCACTGCTTTTTATTTTGGTAAACATCTGTAGATCTATCGAATAATTATGACAAACAAAACACACACAATGCAAGTTCTCTTGGTTGGACAGCATGTTCGGTTAGGTTTGCCACACTTGTATAAAGGCTAGCTATTGATAAAGAGTTTGTTTTTGAAGAAGGCCTATATGCAGAGTATATCAACAGGTAGTAAAATAACACTGAAGGGTAATAGCAGGTTACGTTGTGCCAAAAACTGGATTGCAAAACTTTTCGCAGATAAATACAAATAAACCCCATGAAGCATGATTAAACATTGTACTCAAGAAAACTGTACCTAAAATTAGTTCCCATGTTCAAAATAGCAAATTCTATGTAAAGCTGCCTCTGCTGAGTTGTTTAATTAAAGAATATCCATATGACGATGACAAGTTTCCGTGGTTTGACAAATAAATTTACATTGATTTAGAAGTGTAATTTTTGACCGTAACAATTTTAGATAATGTGCTGCTCCGTTTGTTCACGTTTGTAGCTTATGTATAGTATAAACTGCCAGTATGCCGAATTGACCATTATTTTTACTGTCGAAGTTGCGACCGTCTGTTGTTTGTAATGTTCATTTCTCGATGGTGAAAAAAAACCTGTTTCATGAATATTTTGATTTTGATACGTTTTATTTTCACTATTGATTGAAATCGGCTGAAGTTTTGTGAACATGCTTTTCAAAATAACTCCCATTTTGGCTTGTGTAAAACCTAAAACTGGATCTTATAGATTAAAAATAATGGCTTGCCTGTTTTTGCTTTTGAATCTCTGTGTTGAGTGTTGACTGCCAAAGTGAATAAGTAATTTAGCTGTACATAAATTAAATAAGATGACAAAGTAAATAAAAAGTAAATAAATAAATCGATGAATGGATGCGTTTGAGGTTGATGGTTTAGACCCCCTGTGAAGTTAGGAGGTCATCGATCTTCTGCCCAGCCATTAGTGCCTTCTCCATCTTGACCAGGAGCCCCACGCCATCAATCACCATCTGCACCAGCTGGACTTCAGACACACCGATACGATCGGCGTTGGAGATGTCGAAAGTGCCGTCGGTGGATGCCGTGTCCACGCCGCCGGTGCCTCGCTTTTGCAACCGCAGCTTTTCCAACAGAGCGTCAAACTTGTCGTGTTTGCTGAGGAGGGGCACCTTGACGTGCACGCCGGCCCGCAGACCCGTGCCCAGGTTGGACGGGCAGGTCAACACGTACCCGAGGTGCTCGTTCCACATAAACTCGTGGCCTTTGCTCTTAATGGCGTCCTCCACCTTCTTCAGCCCGCCACAGAAGCGCTCGAAAACCCTCTTGATGTTGCCCCCTTTCTCCATGGAGATGACCCTAGTGTGGTCCTCCTCATTGATCCAGACCAGGAAAGTCTTCTCGTCATTGTGCCAGATGCCGCGGGCTTGAGGCCAGTCACGAGCCATGTTGGAAGCGGTGAGCAGCGGGGACACCGGCTTGTCGAATAAGAAGTGATCCTCGATCAGTTTATCTTGAGTCTCTTCCGTCATACCCGTCAGTGGGTAGTATTGCCCCTTGAGCGGCCCGTCCAACGCAGCCAGGGCGTCGACGCAGACCTTCTCCACGAGAGCTCGTTCGGCGCGGGTGTTACACGGCGGGAGCGTGATACCTCGGATCGAGCGCCCTGTGCGCACACGGCTGGACAGCACAAACTCCGGATCCAAATCGTCACCGCCTTTCAGCTTGGAGGCATCCAGGTCGGTTGGATGCTTTGCGGTCTTTGGGTAGCCGCCGTGGCGGGCGTCTATGACCGGATCGAAAAGGTCTGCGAAGAGATCGTAGCTCTCCTCGTCACCGGCGACCATGCCGACTGTCATGATGAATGGATGACCGGGGTTGTCCACACCAGTCTGAATGCAGTCGTCTAGGGTGACGCCAGCCTTGGTTTTCAGCTTATAAAGCTTGTCGTAGATTGCGGGTGTCAAGCACTTAGCCATATAATTGCTGTGCTTGGAAAGGTCTGGGTAGTTGCTGCTCATAATCTTGGCGGGCGGGCGAGGCTTGCAGGCAGCAGGGAGCAGATCTTCGATGGAATTACCTTTTTCCAGGGCCTTTTCCATATTTATCAACAGCTCGACACCGTCAACGACACACTGCACCTGCTCCACTTCAGAGGTTCCGAGACGATCCAGGTTGGAAATATCAAATGTGCCGTCAGTTGAAGCAGTGTCTACACCACCTGTCCCTCTCTTCTGCAGACGCATAGCATAGAGGATCTTATCAAATCGTGGATCTTGGCTCACCAGGGGAAGTTTGACATGAACACCGCCGCGGAGGCCGGTGCCCAGGTTGGAGGGACAAGTCAAGACGTAGCCCAGGTGTTCATTCCACATAAACTCCTTGTCGGCAGCTTTCATCAGGGCCTCTACCTTCTGCAGCCCTTCACAGAACCGGGTGAAGACTGCCTTCATGTTGCCGCCCTTATCCATGGAGATGACGCGAGTGTGGTCCTCCTCATTCACCCACACCAGGAAATTCTTCTCTGCGTTGTGCCAGATTCCACGAGCCTGTGGCCAGTCGCGGTCCATCTTTGCAGCGGTGAGCAACGGTGAGACAGGTTTGTCAAACAGGAAGTGGTCCGCGATGAGTTTCTCCTGAGTTTCATCGGTCATGCCTTCGAGGGGATAGTAAGTGCCTTTCAGAGGGCCTTCCAAGCCAGCCAGTGCGTCTACCGTGATCTTTTCAATGGCTGCGCGTTCTTCTTTTGTGCAGTGTGGGGGAAGGGCGTAGCCTCGGATGCTGCGGCCAGTACGAACCCTGGACGACAGGACGTATTTTGGATCCAGGTTTTCGCCTCCTCGGAGATCTTTTGGGTTAAGGTTGGTGCGGTGCTTGGCATCTTTATCGTAGCCGCCGTGTCGAGCGCTGATGACCGGATCCATAAACTCGGCAAAGACATCGTAAGACTCTTCGTCCCCGGCAACGACGCCCACAGTCATGATGTGGGGATGGCCTGGGTTTTCGATGCCCGTGTTGATACAGTCCTTCAGCGTATATCCACTAGACGTCTTCTTATCTTTCAGGTTCTTCCACATCTGTGGGGTAAGACAGTGGGACATGTAGTTGTTGTGCTTGCTGAGGTCAGGATAGTCCGCCAGATCAGGGTTAGCCTTGCTGCCTGGAATGAGATCGTCGATGCTGTTACCTGCTTCCATGGCCTTCTCCATCTCGGTCAAAATGTTCACCCCATCAATTACCATTTGCACCTGTTGGACCTCCGAGGTACCCAGTCGATCCAGATTAGAGATGTCAAAAGTGCCGTCGGTGGATGCTGTGTCCACGCCGCCGGTGCCTCGTTTCTGCAGTCGGAGCTTGGACAGAATCTCATCAAACTTGGCGTGCTTGCTTAGCAGTGGAACCTTCAAGTGGACGCCGGCACGCACTCCAGTGCCCAAATTAGACGGGCAGGTAAGGACAAACCCCAGGTGCTCGTTCCACATGTACTCGTAGTTCTTAGACTTCAGCGATGTCTCGACCTTGCCAAGACCCTCGCAGAAGCGAGAAAACACCGCCCTCATGTCACCCCCTTGCTCCATGGAGATGACCCGGATGTGGTCCTCCTCGTTGATCCATACCAGGAAGTTCTTCAGGTCGTTGTGCCAGATGCCGCGGGCGTCGGGCCAGTCGCGGGCCATGCGGGAGGCCGTCAGGAGCGGAGACACCGGCTTGTCGAAGAGGAAGTGGTCATCGATGAGTTGGTCTTGTTCCTTCTCCGTCATGCCCGTCAGCGGGTAGTACTTGCCCTTCAGTGGGCCGTCCAGGCTGGCCAGGGCGTCCACCATGATCTTCTCCACGTCCCGGCGCTCCGCGCGGCTGCAGAGCGGGGGCAGGGCGTAGCCGCGGATGCTCCGGCCGGTGCGCACGCGGCTGGACACCACATACTTGGGATCTAGTTCGCCACCTACCAAGTGATCCGGATTGAGGTCGGTAACGTGCTTGGCCGAGGCAGAGTAGCCACCGTGCCGATCGCTGATGACGGGATCGAAGAGAGGAGCGAAGGCCTCGTAACACTCCTCGTCACCGGCAACCATGCCCACGGTCATGATGAACGGGTGGCCGGGGTTGTCCACGCCGGTCTGCATGCATCGGTCCAGGTCGCAGTTGAACGACGTGCGGATGTCAAACAGCTGCTTGTAAATGTCTGGAGTCAAACACTTGGCCAAGTGGTTGTTATGCTGGCTCAAATCCGGGTAGTTGTCAGAAGCTCTGCAACAAAAATAACGAAAATATATGACTTATCAGAAAATTATTAAAAAAAACCAGCTGAACAAAATTACTCTACAAGTGAACAGTTAAAATGAAGCTGAAAAATCATAAGAAAACTATCAATAAAATTAATTCGATTAACAAAATTATCAAATTAAAACTTACGTCTGTACGAAGACTGGTGTGCCAGAACCACCTGCCCCTGAAATAAAAATCAGAGTGGACGATTTACAAACCAAACACCAAGACACAGAAAACAAAACACTCAGAAACAAAATACTACAAATTAAAAAAAATACTAATACTAGGCCCCTACATTTCTTTAGAATAGTACGTTCATCCTTGCTGAGATGTAAAGTCTCCATTGTAGGAACGGGGTGGAGCTGATCAAGGGAGTCCTGATGGCGTTTTGGTTCGCTTTGTTTTACCTAAAAAAAAGGTATGATCTTTCTCATAGGCAAACTTTATTCATTTGGTTTTTTTTTAAATCAACGTATTTGGTTTTGTTTTATTCACCCTCTTAGAAAGAAAAGATTAACTTTCTAAAACTTCATTTTCACCTCCCCCCCCCCCCGAAACTATACCTTATTACTTAATTGCAGCATGCGAGCGACGCGTCAATAAAATTGATAAAATCAGTTTTGTTTGAAATTATTTGTACAGCTTGTACAGTTGTTGTTTTTCACCAACCATCCTCCATCAGGTAGCATTTGGTCATTTTATATATCTGTTTGTCTGTTGTGTGTGGGTGTGCGTTTGTCTGTCTGTCTGATTTTTATGCCTCATCATTTCGCAGTATTTCTTTTATTAGTTATTATTTAAAGGCATCTCTATACAAGCTTCGGCTTACAGAATATGCCTCCAAACTTTTCCTTATAGTTATATTGTTATTTCTTGTATATATTTCAATTGTGCTGTGCAGAATGATAATAAATGTGAACTGAACTGAGTGAATATTGGGGTATTCCATGGAAACGAAATTCAAATGTTTAAATTTTAAATTATTCAAATTGACTCGGCCCTAGTCCGGGAAATACGGATTTGATTTTTTTTTATTATTATTTTGTTTTTAGGTTGACTTCAACGTCTTGCCAGTAGGTCACACTCATGATGATGTCGATCAACTCTTTACCAGAATTTGCAAACAAAATACGGCATGATGATGTCCGGTGATATCGCGTGATAGCGTCCCGGACGCTGAATACAGGCCCAATTCAAAACAACACTCAGCAACTTTTGACTTGAAATCGAGACCCTTTTCTCGGAATATACAACATTCACTGAGCTGAAACTTTATCAGGTTAGTTGTTCAGCACCCTTCAAACGAACATAATGCACAAATTACAAAATGGTGGACGCTACCTTTATACCATAGAGCTATATTAAATTACTTTTTCTGAAAGCTTTCAAGATATTGCAGCAGATTACTATTTTTGTATTACCCATATAGTATTAAATGTACTTTTCTGGTGCAGAATGCATCCGTGAATAAATAAAACAAAACACATTTTCCCCTCGGAATATTTATGATTTGGATCTGGATTGCGTGTATGTGCTGGTACATGGGTGTGTGCCACTTGTTAAAGTTTGATAACAATTTCCATAACTATCTGAGGCCAGAAACTCAAAACGCTTGAAAAAAGAACTTCAGGTTTTCAGTTTAGGAATCCAGAATTTCATCAGCATTCTAAAAATGTTACCAGGAAAAAAATAATGAGAAACTCGACTGCGTTGAAGAGAATGAAAAATGCGCGCGGGAACTTTTGAGAAGTTGCCAATTGAAAAAGAAAGAACATTTTACAGCTCAAGTTTTCATATTTTTGCGATTTTTAGGTAAATTGAAAAACTGTGAAGATGTTATGACACAAACCCAAAGGAAGGGCGGGCTTCAGACGGAAGTAATGTGCCAACATAACATGTATCGACATACCGCAGTATTAGACCAAAGTACAAGACGAAAAAAGACAAAACAAAATATTCTCAGTAAAATGATGCCGGCCAATTTTGCGTACAATTTATAGTTTCTATCATTTACTATACAGGGTGGACCCCCCCCCCCAAAAAAAAATGCCACCCTAAAACATTTGCCTTAAAAAAAAAAGGGATCGGTGGATTTCTATGTTTTGGGTATCAGATTAAAGCTGAGAGCTTTTCCTTTCAAATACTGAGAAAAAAAATCATGAAAATAGCACTTCGGGTTGCTGAGAAAATTATGTAAGCGTAGTCATTTTCATCCTGTACACAAATACTTCGAACAGTGAAACATTTTACTGTAAGCCTACTGTGCAATTATCCTTCATTATTTTGTGCAATGTCTTTAATATTTTGACATATTTATAATGCTGAAAAGGTTTCAAATAGGACTGAAAAGGATGAGATAATATACCTGTTCAGGTGGAAAATAAAAGGTATTTCCATGAAATTCATTTTTACTCTTGTCATATTATGTGCCGTGGTGCATGTTTGTAAGGATGGGACATGCACAGGTACAGTGAGATATTACTGTGGTATTTTTTTGTGTACAGGGGGGCTACAGGATGAAAAATGACTACTTTTACATAATTGGCTTTTCTCAGCAATCCAAAGTGCTATCTTCATGAATGTTTCAGTATTTAAAAAAAAAAGCTCTCAGCTTTAATCTGATACCCAAAACATAAAAATCCACCGATCTTTTTTTTCAAAGGCAAATGTTTTAGGGTTGTATTTTTTGGGTCGTCCTGTACATTCCCCCTGCTTGTTAGTATAGTGTGGAGATCATATTACAAGGTACATATATATGTTAAATGTGTACGTTATAAGTATAATAGGGGTGATGAGGGCGAGGAATAAATGCCTTTCTCCTGACCCCTATGATATATCACGCTTTGTGTCATTCTTAAAAATAAGTTCACTTGTTTTCTAACCCACGGACAAAATATTCTAAATCACACGTTCTGAGTAACGAGGAGAACATTTATCGTCGACTCGCCGGCCGTGATTTTCTTACAAAACGTCCAAAAATGTCGGCGATCGTGTTGTGTTGGGCCCCTCGATCCTTTACTTTTGATCGACTTAGAGTCAAGGGTGTTTGTTATCGTTCAAAAATTACAGCAGACTTCTCGAAATTCTAATGACCCTTTTTTTGTAATTTTGAACAGTTCTTGGGGTAGAAATTGCGATTTTCGTACGCGGTTTTACGGTTGGTACCGTGCGATTTAGCGCGGTATTGCACGTGCACGAATCCTGCCCTCTATCTTATCTACAGGGCGAGTCAAAAAAAAAGAGCGGAACCCAAACCCCCCAAATTATATTTTATATTTAAACAGATATGTAGCACCAAACATAATAATGAATGGAAAGCCAATTTCATAAGCTACTTTTGGATGAAAAAATTACTGAATTTGCTCAATCCGTTCAAACAATGACCCTTAAACTTCTTTCGTCCAAAAATGCGATTTTCAGAATCGTCGTCACAGTAATGTCTTTAAACATCACCAGCGATAAAACCTCAGTTTAAAAGTTAAAAATATTCAACAAAGTCTATTTGAAGGCCCGTCTTTAAAAAAGGGGGATTTTATAAATTATATTGTTTGCAGTAGGCCTTACCAGGGTTGTTATTAAAGATATTGTGTACTACAGTTGTTGACAGTTCTAGAAACAAGTATTCTGTGCCATTTTCTTTGTTGTTCTAAACAGTCAGAATACACAATAAACTGTTTTTTGTTTTTGTGTGTGTGGAAGAAACGGGTTTAAGGGTCATTGCGTTTAAATGGTGATATTCTTTGAACGGATTGAGCGATTTCAGTAAGTTTTTCATCGAAAAGTAGCTTATGAAATTGGCTTTCCAGTCATTGTTATGTTTGGTGCTTTTTCTGCTAGGCCTAGGCCCCACATATTTTTTTTAAAATATGAAATATAGTTTTGGGGGTTTGGATTCCGCTTTTTTTGACTCGCCCCGTATGACGTGCCTCAATGTCGCCAACTAGCTTGGTGGGCGTATTAAAGTCAAAATAATTAAAAGAAATGTTGTTCTCTTTAACTTTTTATGCTAGGGCCTACTTAGGGAACTTTTTATACTGGGGCCTAGGGCCTACTTTGGGAACGGGCCCATACACTAACGCCAACACGTCAAAGTGCGAGTCGGAATCTGGCAAGAAGTCCCTTTTTAATTAACGAAAAGATAGGCCTATTATTATTATTTATATTCGTAATTGTGTTTCAACCATAGCTCTATGGAGTCAAAATGGTCAACTTGGAAGACTAGGCCTAGGGCCTACACTTTAACTTTTTAAACGCACTTCGTCTGAAAAAAAATAGTAGGGGACCTATTGGAAACCAAACCCACAACAGATCCTAGGTTTTCATTTGAAGTGACTCCGAACTAAAAAGAAATCAAGGACCTAGGAAAAAGACTGTCATTTGCTATAAAATATTTATGTTCCTAGGGCCTACCTGTTGATCCACCGCCGTCACGGTTTTTGGTCACTACGCATCCCATGTTAGCGCTCATTTAGGCTGCAGTTGTATAGACTGGGTATAGAACCTGAAAAATGTGCTTGATGCTGAAACCCCAGGCGAGTTAGATGCCAAACGTCGACTCCAAAAATATATGTTTGGTGTAGGCTTAGGCCTAGTTGTTTCCCCCCGTTGGACCGAAATTACGGTGGCAGTATTCAGCTACTGATGATTATTACGAACGTTTGTTGTGGCTCTGAGAATAAAATCGAATTCTAACTCAGTTGCTATGCTGTGCGCGCACTTTCGAACCGGATTTGTTTTGGTTGTTCGTGTTGTTATAGTACGAGTTCAGCAGGGATAGTGCGCGTGCGCGCGCGTGGTTCAAATTTAACGAGTAAATGCGGTGAAATTCCTGACGTCAACCACTGTACGCCATCAGGTGCGTGTGCGCGCAGTGTGCAAAAATATTCTAAACGCGCGCGTGTTGCTCACGAAAATTGGACGCCCACAATGCCGATGCACGTGACAACGGCAATCAGTAGGAAGTGACGTCATTTGAGAGAGACTGTGACGTCCATCGACTTGACACATTTTGGCCATTTCTAAAACCTTTGCTTCGACTTCGACTTTGGTCTACTTCGCTAAACCAGTTCCCTGATTTGGCAGCCTTTTCGGCAAAAAAAGGACTATACTGCGTGTGAACAATAAGTTTGGAGTAAAATTTGATGTAATAGTAAATAATAACAGTAAAAATTACATTCAAAAATATAAAGTAAAAGTTTTGAAGATTTTTTTTTTTTTTTTTTTTTTATAGATCGGTCCGAACACTCATATGGCCAACATAATAATAGCGCAGTCCAGAGGCTAGTTTTGAATCTGAATGTCCAGTACGCTATACGATTGATCGCTTCATTAAAATCTACGAAAACCCACGAATTTTGCAGTGAACATCTTTGCATTTTTAAACGAGCCCTGTATAAGTTTCAGCACGTCCAAGTGTTGTCATGTCAGTGTAGGGGGGGTCCGCTCATAAGTCCGACGCCTCATAAGTCCGACAAAATCGCATCCCCTAACCAAATAAAGGCCCAAAAGTCCGACGCCTCAAAGGTCCGACGCCTCATAAGTCCGACGCCTCATAAGTCCGAGGCCTCATGAGTCCGACAACGGAAAAACGAGGCGTTTAATTTGTCGGACTTACGAGGCGTCGGACTTATGAGGCGTCGGACCCATGAGGTGGAATAAATAAATGTTATGCCTCATAAGTCCGACGCCTCATAAGTCCGAAATTTCGGACTTACGAGGCGTCGGACCTATGAGGCGTCGGACTTATGATACGGCCCCAGTGTAGAGATGCAGATAGGCATAGACAAAGGGTGTAATGCTCAGTAACACGTAACTACACTCATGCGCTAGAACTGTGACAAAAACGACCTGCTTTTCCCCAGCGACGGCCAATGCATATTCTTACCATGGAGCTATATTACAGAGTACATGTAGTTCGGCCTTAAATTAATGTAGTTTTATAAATGCACCTTTGTGTCCCATATAACCTATTTCAATTTTTATTTTGCCATTTTCATTATTTTGGTGCATTTTTGGTTGTTATGCCAATGTGAATTTCCATATTCATGAGTAAAAGTGTGATGTCATTTCAGGCATAAACCTCAATGTTACAGTTCAGCACCAAAAGTTGCCAGAATTGTGGATATTTTGCTGTCGTAATTTTTTTTTGTTTTTTGGTGATTCTAAGTGCAAATTTTTGAGGGCAAATTTTGGGGTTCACAGTTTGAACAAAAAACCCCAAAATTTAACAGTGTCTTCCGAAAATGACATCATAGCAACAGTGCACTCACTTGTCAAGAAAAGCATGGAATTTAAAAAAAAATGTTTAAAGAAGTGCACTTTTCAATAAACTTAACCAAAAGAGGATGTCAAATAGTTTTCATACATGGAAGACGAGTAGAAAGTTGTACAAAACAATGTTCCTCAGAAAAATTTATTTCATGAACCCTTTAACAAAACAACCTTTCTTTGCTGTCTAGAATTACCTATATAGGATGCACAGTTTGTAGAATAATTACATGATTATGTGAAGAAGCCATTAACGTTGTTGCTAATGCTTTTTGCACGGTTGCTTCGTTCAGATACTTAGGCGAGTTATATCATGGAGAAATTTCTCCATGGTTATATACTGTGGAGCCTACATAACATAACAGGCACGCAGTGTTATCAAATGCACCCACTGTAGTCCAATAGTGGTTTTTATTTTGTATAGTTATTCCTGCAGAGCCCACGTTTCGAAAAAATAAAGTAAAACCCATTTCAATAAACTTACAATAAAGCCCATGACATTGTTAAACATAGCACATATAAAATAGAAACACACAATTGGCAATTTAAAACCAAACTGAAGTTTGCCGAGACCTGTCGACACCCTTGATGTGGTGGAAATTTTTATATGTAAGTTTTTTTTGTATAATACAAAAAATAACATTTGATGAACAGGCCTCCCCCCCCCCAAAAAGTCACAGGGCCTTACGCTGAAACATTTATAGATGGGGTTTTACACAGCACATCAGAAATGATTATATTGGGCAAGTCCAAGAATTCGCACACGCTATCATATGCCCCATACGTAACAAGCGTTTAACCCCCTAAGATATTTATGGATTTCAATGGTTTTTTTTTATTCTACTGTTGGGTATCTGCAAGGAGAATGCCCACAAGAATTTTTGTGTCATTAGTCTTTGCGATGATTATGTAATTAAAAAATACATGGTCGAGACCAAAACTGATCTCACTCAGCCTCAGTGAAGATAATTGCGAGAAGTCCCACTGCCTTCCAACCTACTTAGCAAAAGTAGATAATGAGCAGGACAAGTTCTTTTTGGAACTAAGCAGGGGCCAATTTTTGGGGCACAAATTTGCTTTAGCACATTAAGGTCTTGCTTAATAAAATCAGGTAACCGGCCAAAACTCCATGCGATTGTTATGCTAAGAAAACAACAGCTAAATACCAATCACAAGCAGTGTACATCGCATGGAGTTTTTGCGGGTTTTCTGATTTTACTAAGCAATTTTTTTTTGTGCTTAAGCAAATTGTATGCTTAAGCAGCTCTATGAAATTGGGCCCAGGACTGTTCTTATCAGAACTAAATCTACTAAGCGACAGTAGTTATTACCACATGGTGTTACCGCAAACTGACGCTATAAGAATGCATGGTGTTATGTAGGAGACAAAAAGGGGACATTTTCTTGGACTGGCCCTAGCAGACATGGCGTGTTTTTACTCCGGTCAACCCCCTCTTTGCTCCATGATTAATAGATTCATTGAATAGTATGATTTCTAAGCCCAACTATCCCACTGGTGAAGACTCCTTTCAAAATAAATAAACATGTTTTTAAGAAGCTGTAAAATGCTGGTGAAATTTATAAATACATGTAGTGAAGTTACAATAAATATGACTTTGGAAATATGCTTAATATAACCTAGCACACATTAAAAAAAAAATACAAAAAAACGGGGTTTACGATAGAACTGGATTTTTTTCACAAGAAAATTACGATGTTTTAAATGACCCGTTGTTGAAAACAAATCCTAGAATCGGACCTCATTCACAATAGGTCAATGATATAATTATTTACTCCTTAAGATATTTATGGAAGGCTGATTAGCACAAAAAAAAAAAAAATATGAAAATACTTTCATGGCGTTATTATTCAGGCCAAATTCAACTAAACACCTGTTCATGATAATTGGAATAACACACATTTTTGGGTTGTAAAATGTAAAATAATAGATTCAGAAGCCATATTTCAAAATGAAATTATGCTTTTATCAGCATAAAAATAAAAAACATATTTGATAAATTGAGAGCACACTATGGTATCCCTAAAATACTTCCTATGGTACTCTTATTACACATGGTGGTTAGAGGTGGAGTATATCATTTGCAGCTATCCAAAAAGTAACTGACGAAATTATTGTTGAAAAGCTCACTTGAATTAAAGATAGTAATGGGACTAAACTCATGTGAAATTATTCTTTCTGGCATGCTGTCATTTTGAAGAAAACAATAAAGAAGGCCATTTCCAAAGATGCGTCAAGTGACACATTTTTGGAAATGTCCGTTAGTAGTTTGTTTGTAATTCGGCGAATCCATATATGGGTGTGTGCAAGCCAGCGTTGACACGATGCACACGAGCGCGCGGTTGCTCTTATTCATCAGTTTAGTGCGTGACATCACATAGCTGCAATCGGCTGAATGTCCCAGACGCTGATTTCGGGCGCAATTCAAAACATGACACTGCAACTTTTGAACTGAAATCGAGATCCTAGAATATTGTTTTCTCAGAATGCACAGCATTCACAGAGCTAAAACTTCATCAGTTTAGTTGTGAAGTACCCGTCTTTAGATTTTTTAGCACTTTTGTTGCTTGAACTGAAAAAAATGCACAAATGAAAAATGATATACCCTACCTTTAAAAAAAATCAGCCAATCTTTAAAATCAGGGAGCTACTGCTTATATTCAACAATTGTTGACTGTTTTGATGTTGGATGTGGCGTTTTTAACACCTGAGGGGTGCATACCACCCGAAGTGAAGGGGAGGGGGGAGGGAGGGGCTGGAAAGTATCCGACTATTGGGGGCACTGTTCATACAAGACACCATCAAGCAATAGATGGTGCTCTTTTGGTGCGGCATATTTGCCGGCAGACACATGGTTTTGTCAAAATGACAACAATATCATTGACAAAGAAAATAGTAAGGGGTGTACACCTACTCAAACACCCCCCCCCCCATCCCCAACCCACCACCCCCACCCCTCCAAAAATATGCTACTGGACAGTACAGAGTATAATGTTTGAACCCTAACAGGAACATGGTGTTTGTGCCCTTGGGCAAGACACCTAACTACAATTGCCTCTCTCCATCCAGGAGTATGTATAGGTACCTATGAGGGTAAAGGACTGAATGTGCCCTGACATCGACTGCAGCGTGGTCTCGTGGCCTGATGAACGGGGAAGTAATTGTAAAGCACTTTGAGATTGTTGAAGCGCTCTATTACAGTTTATTTTAAGTGTGAAGGGCAATTTAAGACCCAATCATTAAAACCAACCATTCCTATCTCTGTATGAGGAAAGCCCACGTGTCCATCCACTTAGTCGATACAATCTCCTCAGCGGTTAATGCTGTGTGGCCGTAGGTGAACGGCATTAAGTTGTGCCACGCAGCCAGCACCGAACTGAAAAATACTACTACCAGGGCTGTGAAGATGCTACGCTGGGCAGACGTCCTGGATTCAGACACAGGATGATTCAACGAGACAAACAATTCCATTAAGGACTAGTTGTTGATTTCAGTCCCCACTGCTATATCAGATTTAGCATTATTTTTTATGAATTTCTATGAAAAAAAATAATTTTTGACATAGCTGGGTTTTTTTCTCGACCCCCAAATACTCCCCCTCTGGATCCGCGCCGGTTTTGTTCACAGTTCTTTTGAATAGCTTGTGATCCGAATGACTTGTGATTGAACTGTGATGACTTGAGACCGACTGAATTACAACTCCGTGTTTTTCTTCAAGGAAATATCACACTCCACTCACCTCCGTATTTTGCAGGAAAAAATTCTGTTAACCATATTGCTGTAGATATCATCGAGTCATTCACAAGTCAAATTGCAATTCACATATTCATCCAAAATCACAAGTAACAGGATGGACAAGGACAAGTTGTCTCAGTTCATTTGAATAGCTTGTGATATGTGGTCTCTTGTGACCATAGAGCTATATTAAATTACTAGAACGCAAACTTGCTGTACAAATTGAAGCACACTGGGCGCATCCATGAAATTTAGTATGGCTCTTGTATGGCTCTTAGCAAATCTGCCTTAGTGTTTCACACCGGTGCTATTAATCACTATTAAAATGAGCATTTCATTTTGCTCTGCGCAAACTTGCGTAAGCCCAAACGCGTGCGCGTATAGCTGCAGGTCATTTTTGCCGTGACGTTTTTTTTAACCTTCATACTCATCACAGAACACGCATTTACGTTGTTCGCGTGCGTTGTACTTGCGCGTTGCATTTAGAGTGCATTTTCTGAAATTCATTCAATCTGATGTCATTATGTTCTACACACGCATATGAATTCACAATGTTTGCGCCCAGGACAGCTTCACAGTGGGCTTCGTGGAGGAACGAGGACTTAGCGCTCTAGTAATTTAATATAGCTCAATGCTTGTGACTTAGATTACAACTCTGTATTGCGTTCTCACCTGAGTATCAATATATGGATCCATTCACACGTCGCAGCCAGCAGCATGATCTTGCACAGCAGGGCTGGCAGGTAATGGTGCAGGAAAAGGGTTCTTTCCATCAAGAAATACGGGAGGTAGTTCAGGGCCCAACCCCCAAGGAAGATGACCGACGTCAGGACAAGTCGGTTCCAGTCATCTGTGGAAATATTCAGGAAAGAGACTGTGAAAAGATCTGGAACTTCTTGAGGGAGTAAGACTTTGGGATTGTGTCTGTTGACTTCTGTAGTACAGTCCATCACAAGATCACCAGGACTTGAGATGAACATGTGACGGGACTCGACTACAACACTGATTGAATCCGTGGAAAAAATACCCCGTCAGTGGTAATAAAGAGAAAGATAAATGAAAGATAATTCAAAGCCATTGCTCCCATGTTTCTACAAGTTCAAATGAAAATTAAACACACATATTTCATGTTACATGTATATGTGCATGAACCATTGGGGCCAAGGCTTGAGTGTAGGCCACACGGTGACATATACTGTTCTTGCATGGAGTACGAGAGGGGAGCAGTGTTTTTATCTGCAGCACACATCGTCAATAGATCATGATTATAAATAACAATGACGTCACACCATTGCATTTTAACGGCTTTCGTCGAGCTGCCACAGTGGCCTAGTGGATAGTGGAATGAACTATGGATCGCCAGATCTTCGGTTCGAACCATGTCCATTTTCATCAAATATTTTTGTTGGTTGGGATAAGTTTAATTGAAGGGAAAATACTACGAGAACGTAAGTGTCTTCCATTTATCCACACAGCGTGATAAATATTCATGTTAGGGTGCGTGATGTGATTGGTTAAAATACGATGTATGCTGCAAAACAAAAAATATGCGGGGGGGGGGGGGGGCCAAGGTGGTACAGAACATGTAACTGAAGATTGGGGGAGGGGAATGTGTCATGGAATGCTTCTGTTGTCCTTAAATTTTTAAAAATAAAAACAAATCATGAAACACTAAAGGCTGAATCATATAATTGGTGTGAAATTGAATGATGGGACATCCCAGCAAGTATTGGCACTGCGAATTCGCAAAAGTTGAACCATCTCGGCACCAGTGCATTTCGTGGCAAAGGTTTTGCCTTTGCACAAAGTATGAATCGGCCTTTAAACAGACATTCTTAAACTACATGCATGAGACAATTAGTTGTTGCACTGAGTCAGTTCCAATTGCCGACACAATTCCCCCTCCCCCCATTTTTTAAAGGGCAATATCTTTCTTCACATAATTCCTAAAGAGGAAAGACAACCAAACAAAACTCAAGATATGAAATGAGAAAAAAAAAAGATAAAAGGGTACAAAAATTACTGTTGAATTTGCCAGCCCACCTTCTGTCAAATCTTGACATTTCCTCCTCCTCCTAATGACCAAACTGATGAGAATGGTGATGAAGACAGGGATGCAGACGGTTGCCGTGCACCAGGTGACTGGGTTGCCAAGGAGATATATCTGCATCTGAAAATGGCAAATCAAAACAGTCACAGTCACTTAAAGCCAGAGTCCATCATTTGCAGCTATCCAGAAAGTAACTGGCGTAATAATTGTCGAAAAACATACTTGGTTGAAAGATAATAAGGGAACTAAACTCCCTGTGAAATTAGTCTTTCTGGCAAGCTGTCATTCTGAAAAAATCAACAAAAGAAGGCCTTTCCAACGAACAGTGCTTCTTAAGAAGCGCCGTAGGAAATTCAAATTAGTAGTTCGTTTTGTTACTCGGCGAAGCGCGCGCAAACATTGGCAAGACGCACACACGCGCCTGGTTGCTATAATTCGTCGGATCAGTGCGCGACATTGCGTAGCTGCAATCGGCTCAGTGAGAACGTGTCTTGGATGCTGAATTCAGGCCCAATTCAAAACATGATTCAGCAACTTTTGATTTGAATCGAGATCCTAGAATGTTGTTTTTCTCGAAATATACAGCTAAAGCTGAGTTGAAACTTCATCAGGTTAGTTCAGCACCCTTCTTCAGATCTTGAGCACTTTTGTTGCTTCAAACGAACAACATGCACAAATTACAAATGATGGACTATACCTTTAACATTTGATAATTTGAAATTCATCAAAATCTAATCAAATCAGTACAGATGTAATTATACGTCTACTACCCGACAAATAATACTTTTTTGAATGGGACATTTAAAAAATATGACATAAATTTTGTGTAATCATACCAAAACTGCAACATGTAAATTTGCATACTGATGCTACCAGAAAAATCGAAAAAAAAGTCTTCAAAAATATTCTTTTTCCTCTAATCTTTATTCTTGCAAACTTGATTTTGCAATCATGTCATTTACGCATGAGGGCATGGCCACAATTAAGCACTGAGCTGTTGTAAAGATTGTGGCCCAATTGTAGGGAGATGCTTAGCAAGAAAAATATATTGCTTAGTAAAATGTCTCTTCAAAACTCTCCTACCCTAGCTGACAAATTGAGCAAAGGTAGCTCAGCAAAGTCAATCAAGTGGCTGTTAACCGGAATCCTATGCCTACATACATGTACATTTGTATAAAAACAAGCTTGACTGGCTTTGACTGTAACTTTGATACATCTATATGCTTTGTGTGTAGGTGATTGGTTAGCCTGCTGTACCAGCCAGTCAGGGGAGTCAGGTTGGCGTAGCGGTACTTTCGTCGCCTTCCACCGCTGTGACCCGGGTTTGATTCCCGCCCGTGCCAACATGTGGATTGGGTTTTCAGTCCCTGCCTGATTCCATGGGTTTCCCCCAGAATATCTTCTGGGCTTTTCCTCCCACCTCTAAAACTGTAATTTCTTCTCATTGTCTTCTCTCTAAGTTGGTGTGATTTTCCCCTGGGATGCTTTACCGACTATAATATACAGATGCAGCTATTGATGGAATTTGACTAGTCATAGTGCGGTGAACAAACTTTTGGACACTAGCCTGCATATAGCAGGGGATGACTGGATTAGACTTTTGACTGTTCAAACAGTAGCAGGGGTAATAGATTTCTTCTTACATTGGACTCCATGTGGATCCAGTATGCAATGCCTCGTTGGGTCAGTGGCCAGTCCAGGGGTGACGACCGATACCGATGCTCAAACTGAATCTCAAAACTTTTGGTCAACATCTTCATCTTCGGGTAGAAAAACGAATACAGATCTGTTTGCAATTAGGGAAGCTCAATCAACAGCGGATTATGAAATCTAGAAGTCACCCTCTGAAGAGCATAATGTATATCAGACTTGTAGTGAAGTCTGTCATAAGTCAAATCATAAGTCAGGTCATAAGCAGCCAGTGTAGTAGTCGAGCCCATCACAATTCTGGTCACAAATAAATCACAATAAGGAAATGCACAACAACAAACGAATGACTTGTAATGAACTTGTGATTGCCTAGTGATTGACTTGTGATTGCCTAATGATTGACTTGTGATTGACTTGTAATGACTTGTGATTGCCTAGTGATTGACTTGTGATTGACTTGTGATTGACTTGTAATGACTTGTGACTGACTTGTAATGACTTGTGATTGCGTAGTGATTGACTTGTACTTGCCTTGTGATTGCCTTGTAATGACTTGTGATTGACTTGTGATTGCCTAGTGATTGACTTGTGATTGACTTGTGATTGACTTGTGATTGACTTGTAATGACTTGTGACTGACTTGTAATGACTTGTGATTGCGTAGTGATTGACTTGTACTTGCCTTGTGATTGCCTTGTAATGACTTGTGATTGACTTGTGATAGCCTAGTGATTGACTTGTGATTGACTTGTAATGACTTGTGATTGACTTGTACTGACTTATGATTGACTTGTGATTGACTTAATATGACTTGTGATTGCCTAGTGATTGACTTGTGATTGACTTGTAATGACTTGTGTTCACCTAGTGATTGACTTGAGATTGACTTGTGATTGATTTGTGATTGACTTGTATTGACTTGTGATTGACTTGTGATTGACTTAATATGACTTGTGATTGCCTAGTGATTGACTTGTGATGACTGGTGATGACTTGTGATGACTGGTGATGACTTGTGATGACTTGTAATGACTTGTGATTGCCTAGTGATTGACTTGTGATTGACTTGCGATGACTTGTAATGACTTGTGATTGCCTAGTGATTGACTTGTGATTGACTTGCGATGACTTGTAATGACTTGTGATGACTTGTGATTGACTTGCGATGACTTGTGATGACTTGTGATAACTTGTGATGACTTGTGATGACTTGTGATGACTTGTGATGACTGGTGATGACTTGTGATTGACTTGTGATGACTTGTGATTGCCTTGTAATTGCCTTGTAATGACTTGTGATTGACTTGTAATGACCTATGAGGACTTGACTACAAAATGACAAAGAGGAAACTCGCAACACTACTTTTTTGTCCTGGAAGGGATTTTAGGGAAAGGCAAGCCTGTTTACCTGTAACTCCATAAATTTGCCCCAGAAGGTCAGTATGTTTCCTTCGTCAAAAGGTTCTACATGCTGGCAGTCCACTACAGCATCACCTGTTTCTGAAACTACAACATGTACAATTTCAGGATAAGTTATCTACCACAATATTATGTTTACATGTGCACTTTCCTATGGAGCCAGTGGGGACCCACGGTCCACTGAGCAGCATAAGAAAGCACACACGTAAACAAAGTGTGACGTCATCAGTACAGAGGCTTATTGAACTTAACAGCAAAGTGACTTCACAAATGAACCTACAAACTAAAATATTATGATTACTGATTATCTGAAATGCAGATTTTGGCTACAGAGGAACATCTTCAAAATCTTAAATTAAGATATGAGATTTATGCCATGGACCCGCAATGCATTATGGATATGTGCATGAACATCACGTCTTGGCTACTGCTGGCTTGCTGTATATGCCACGCCAAACAAATGACATTGGCGTTCCTTGAATGTAGTGAAAAAGAGAAAAAACGCTCTTCATTTCTGCATGCAAAGTGTTCAAGATTGATTGTAAAGTCTTATTAGAGGTCACCTAATACAAACAAATCCGGCGGCAGCTTTTTTTTTGCAGTGGCGCAAGGCTCCCACGAGTCACGATCAGGTAGTACGCACGCACTCCGGGCTCCTTTAACCAATAGGAATACCAAAATGCGGAAGTGCCCCCTCAATGGTAGAAATGCCAAAAGGGTGCTGATGTTGAAGGACAAATGGACGCCATCTTGCCTCGTGCAAGCTGGTGTGCATCAACTGTGAAAATGGTGGAAAGCATGTGTTAACCAGCCAAGTGTCCTTCACTTGTAAGGTTGAACACCGCCCTCTGCTGTTCATGCGCAGGGTCAATCAGCTCTCATCACCTTTTGCATACTGATGCTCTTCCACATTCCAGACGTTATCCTCGTGTTGTATTCCCCGGTCGGTGGCCACTTCGAACTGAAAGAAGCCCCAGGCTGGTAGCTGCTGCGCGGTGACTCTCAGGTACTGGGACGTGTTCAGGTGGAGGAATCGGACGTGGGATGAGAGGGCCTTCCAAGTATCGCCCTCTGTCTCCGCATTCAGAATGATCTGCAGACATAGAATTGATCATTTATTACTACAGCATAATAAATAATTCACAAAATTCCATTACAAAAGTAAGGGGCCATTCAAAATGTTTGATGTTTCTAAATTTTCATTTTTCCCCCCCGAATTTGTGGGTGGGTGGGTCAAGGTAAATAATTAAAAATCTCAATTAACTTTTCATAGAAAAAGCAACTAAAAAGCCCCCCAAAAAGCTAGATATTTTGACTTGCCTGAACTACGAGCCAGCATTCCGATGCGCATTTCTTGTCAGCATTCCCACAACTTTAAACATGGCCGCCCCCATGGATGTTGCAACAACAATGTTTTGCTGAAGTGTTCTTTCAGCAAAATGAAAACAATTCTCATAGGGATGAATGTGAATTGTTTTCGTTTTGCTGAAAGAACGCACACCTTTTTTGTGATCCGTGGACAGAACCTGAAAACGGTGTTTGTGTTCAAAATTCCGCAACTTGAAAAGTACATGAGTGATTTGAATGATTCTTGTACTAAAAGAAAGCTCATTGATTGGGCTTTCATATCCTAGATTTTGAAAGTGTTACAGGAAAAACTTCATTCAAAAATTGGTCCTGCCATTTGGGTTTTCGTTTTTTTTTCAACTCACCCTGTAAGAACTTAATGTAAAAGAACCCCCTCAACGGTTACAAAGGGAGAGTACGGGAAGACATCTGGGAGAGACACTAGCTTGCTTGTATTGCTAACAACGCCTGGCGCTCACACAAAGACGCTATGGCTAGAATAAAATTAGTCCTGGGTACTTTGAACCATGGGCTCCGTACGTCAACAAAAGAGGGCATGTTTTTACCTCTTTTGAGAGCTCCGTGGACAGGACACACAGCGTGCACACATACTGTACTGTACTGGTTCGCGTACAAAGTACGCACGACTTCCTGAATGTGCAAAAGCTATAACCACCGCGTCTTCGCGTGAGCGTCAGGCATAGTCGGCGCGAGAATACATTCGAACTCAACTTGCCATGGTCTCCAAGTCTAATGCCCGCCTCCAATAACTTTGGATACATTCGAAATACGCCGTGGATGCATCTGGAACCAGTCTAGGGCCCAATTTCACGGCGCTGCTTAACAGTTAGCAGAAAGTTGTGTTTAGCATAGCAGAAAAATTTGCTAACCTTAAGCACTATTTCACGGCGTGGATGTGCTAACCGTCGCGCGTGCATGGAGATTTCTATTGTTACGTCACTAAGTTAAGCAAATCGTTCCTCTGAAGTAAGCATGCCTTTTGCTGTACTTATGCTTACGGTCTCCATGAAATAGACAGAGGCTCGGTTAGCAGAAAATCGTGTGCTTAGCAGCGCCGTGAAATTGGGCCCAGGTCACCACCAACTCTCCTTTTCTGGCCATTGATGGGGTACTTGTTTAGGGAGCCCATATGCGCAGGAACCAGTATTTGCACGCCGTGTGTCCCATTCATGCAGCTCTTGAAAAGTGCCCTCGCTTGTTCGCGCAAGTAGCCCATACACTCGTGAATCAGTACCCAATTGTGAAGTGTGGAGTAAACTTTATCTTTCCTTTTTATTTGATGAAATGAAAAAGTAAGCTAATTACCACTTTCCACAGGCTCTGTTCTGGAATGGTGATATTGTAATCGATGTAGCCCGATACTTCCATGAAATGCGGCGACATTGGAGCGGCTACATCATGACTGAGGGTTTTGTGGGAAAAAAAAGAAAAGATTTGTTTCTCTCTTGAGGTTGATTATTATGGCAGTTAAATCTTTAAAGTGCTTTATTGTCAGGTGCCACATTTTTGTGGCAGCATAGGGATCTATCAGGCATCAGGGTTTGGGATGGCACAAAGACTGTCGGTTAAAACAACTACCAAATTGAAGTCACATATGGTAATCCCAACATTCCAAAATCACTTCCTACATAACACACCTGTTGAGCACCCTGCCAGTTTTTCCATGGACAAGCTGAACGATGTCCCCATTTTTAATCCTTTTGGAAATGTCCCTGACACCGATGAAGGAACTCCTCGGGTCTTTGACAATCCACCAGTTATTCTCATCCTACGTCAGAAATAAAATGACAAATCAGCAACTTTTGCAATTTTAAATGGAGTGGCTTGTATGATAGATTTCTACTTCAGGAAATGTAAACCCGACATTTCAATATGCACTTTATACTCGGTAATACTGTCTGAAAGCTTGCCAGTGGGTCTTGAACCCATAACCTCCTGCTTGCAAGTGCAGAAATCCTACCGCTTGACCACAAAGCTGGCCATGCTTGACTGGCTGGTTCAAATCTGAAATAGAACTAGTCTAGTGGCTAGATGTTGTTATGGTTTGATACATGATAACCCGCCGCCGCGATCACCCTCCGCTGCGAGAGGGCGCTATCACGACCAACCAATATCACCCAAGAACCAGTCGGAATAACGTCTAGGACATCTCCTAAAATCTCCCCCCCCCCCACAAAAAATGGGGGAAACAAGTGCGTATGCGCGACTTCTGCAGGCAATTATGGTTCATTTTCAGTCTCACACATACTACACACAACAAAAGAGCTGACCAGTGAAGTTGCACAAAAGTCTGCATCTTTTATAGTACTGGAAGAAATTTGAGAGTTTGCTTCAGAACTACAAATGAATTTTTGAATTGCGCGGTGCATATATTAGGTCAAACAGCTGCGCGCGCATTACACAACCAATTGGAATTGGCCTAGACGTTGTTCCAACGGGTTCGTGGGTGATATTGGTTGGTCGTGATAGCGCCCTCTCGCGGCGGTGGGCTATCCCGTATTAAACCATAACAACGTCTAGCCCCTAGACTAAAATAGGGAAACAAATGTTGCAACCTGACGCCACTTTTTCTTCATTTATCATCTCAATGAAGGTCATTCATTGCAAAATAGATGATAAGACATGAATGTGGGACTGAGAAACATTTCCAATTTTGTTAGGAAATACAATAAAAATTTTCTTGACTCTCCATATAGACTTAATGTAACCGCTGAAGTGGCATCAGGTTGCAACATTTTTTGCTAAAATAGAACCAGCTATGGTAATTTTTCTTGGCAAGCCCACAGACAGCACTGAGTATACAGTACTATAAATACTGTTTTTTTCTGGGGGGAGAGGGAGGTAAAAGTGGTTGGGGGTGGTAAAGGTGTGTGTGTGCGTGGAGTGGGGGGGGGGGAGGTGGTGATGGAAAGGGTAGGAAATCTGTGAGTACCTTGAAGCCATAGCACGTGACCTGCTGTTGTCCTGAACTCCCCCGCCCGGTCTCATAGATGAAGGGATAGTTCTGGTTGTGGGAGTGTAGCCAGCACATCTGGTTGTGGGTGTGACGTAGGGTGACCTGGGAGCCGTAGACCACGGATAAAGGCTGTCCCTTGGTAATCAATGACAAGCCTCCCTGCAGGGAAAACAAGAAAGAAAAGAAAAGCATTTGCATATACCAAGCCAATACATCAGCTCAAAATGGTACTTAATTGAGTGGGATGATGAGCTGATATATGGCTCAATAATCAGTGTGCTTTGTTTTGAAGGGCCCATGCAACGTAATTTTTTTTAACGCAATCCTTGAAAATGCACCTTTGTGTCCCATTTAACGCCAATTTGTGACGCCAGGGCAAGTTTTTGCACTGCAAATTTGCAAAAATTAAACACATTTCAACTCTGGCGAATTTCGTAGCGGGTGCTTTGTGAATTAAATTTACATCGCATTCGCATGAACCCTCCTTAAGGCACTTCATTCCATAGTCAAAGAGTTAACCTTAACAGCCCTAACCCCCAGGCCCTTTTTGGTAGGAACCATCCTCAATCCTCCTCAATCCTCCTCAATCCTCCAAAAGTTTGCACTTATATGTATGTTCAAATGAAGGACACCCACTGCCTCAATCCGTAAAAATCCTCCAATAGCCCTGCCTCTCTAAACACGTTCAGCCTCAATCCTCCAAAATCCTCCTCTTCTTCAAACACCATTCATCCTCAATCCTCCAAAATCCTCCTCTTCTTCGAACACCATTCATCCTCAATCCTCCAAAATCAACCGATGCTGAATGTCCATGAGCCCTCAATCCTCCTCAATCCTCCAAAGTTGTATGTTGCATTCATCCTCAATCTGTCAAAATCCTCCAAAATTAACCGCCCGGAGGACTTAGGAGGATTGAGGAAGGTTAGGGTTATCCTTTTAAAAAGGGGGTTTGGTGCATAGAGGACGATACAGCCCAGCTACTAATAATTACTTTGCATAGACTTAAAACCCCTTGAAGTATTGTTAGGTTCCCCCACAGGTTTCACAAATTTATTAAACAAATTATTTGGTTGACATTTTAAAAGTTAAATTCCTGTGTGTCTGATGTTGTCAGCTCACAAACTGAAACTTTGGCAGCTTGGTTTGTGTTCGAAGACACAACAGAACTCACCTCCAGGCTTGCTGAAAATGCACTTGTCATCTGGTTGTCATGGGGACCAGCCTTACTGAGCACGCTCAGATGAATCCAGAATATCCCAATATACATCAGGAGGGGGAAGATGTTCAAGAGGGACAGACGGGCAAGAAAATGGCACAGGAGAGTTTTCTATAAAAGAAAAATATAAACACTGCAACATGGAGTGTGCTTAGTTGAAAAATCAGAAGAAGCAATAACAGATAGTTAATTAAAAAAAAATAAACAGTAAATTGTAAGTTATAATTCTATGGCATTCAAAAGGTACATAATTATCTGGTTACACACTCAACTTTTCCGATTTTGCCCAATTCAATGAAGTTTCCAATTATTTCAAGAACTAAAATCTATTGCATTAAATTGATATAAATCTATTACGCATAAAACAAAAGTATTTTTTGTACACAAAACCCATTCCGAAAGTTCATGAAAACAATCGTATAACAAAAGGTTGCCCCATTTTAAAGACTACTGTGAAAGAAAGAAATGGAAGGTTAGTTGGCCAAACTGCAACCAAAGTAAAACTGCAACCAAAGCAAAAAAAAGAGTAGAAATTCCTCACCAGGGAGAGAGTTTTAACACCGATGAGCTGCCAGAAGTCGTACACTACAATCAGACATATGAGAGATACTGTACAGATGGATGAGTACTTGACGCTGCAATGGAACAAAAAACAAAACAGTTGGAATTCTCATTCTTCAAATCAAAATACAAGGATCATGTGTACAAAGAATTTAATACCTTGATTACACAATGTAATAGAAACCCGTGTTGTAGTCAAGTCATCCAAAGTTCATTATAAATCCTGTCAAAAGTGAATTACAAGTCCTTTCATAAAATCCAGTCACAAGTCAGGGTGTGAACAATGACAAAAGAATGCTTTTAACCAACTTTTGGGATTCCTTTTGCCGAAAATTTTGATTTTCACAAAAGGCAACATTTTCCAGCCAACTTCAGCCAAATGCCACAAATACTGATTCGCAAGAGTCATTTCAACAGTATTTATACGATATTTCTTGTCAAAACGTAATATGTTTCAATACTCTGGGGTGTGCACTGTTGCAAATTGTAGAAAAATAGGCCGTACACAACGGCCAATTCAAGATCAACACACGGTCCACCTCCATAGACTTCACAGACTTTGTGTGTGTGTGTGTACAACAGGCACGAGGGATTAGCATGTTTAGACGTCACCCGGAGGCGAGTCGAGGCAATCTTGACGTTTTAACCCATCAGCCGCGACTGTGTATAAAAATAGCCAGTGCGTGTTATCACGTCCTTCGACTCGAACTGGTTAAGACAGTTCATTTGAAAAGCTTGTGTCTTGATTGGAGGACTTGTGAGGTTTTGTGGAAAACTCTGTAAAAAGCATAAATTACCTGATTGCACAAGTCATGGATACACCAAGTGATGTCATCCACAGCCACCAAGACAGACTGAAACATCTAAAATAAAAACCACAAAAACAATAACGTAAATAATTACTGTTTCTAACTACAAAAAAAAAGCAATCAATGAAATTGTTAATGATTTTATGGACTCTGTAGAGTGCCAAGAATGAATTTATTATTGTTAACGCATTAACAACTGTATTACATTGTATTTATCACATGTGAATGAGGGCTTGGGCAGTTTCAGACTCTACAGGGAGTAATGGGCAGGGCGATTCAGGGCGGTACAGTGAGTCAAGGTTTATGAGCACAATCAAGATGGCCGCAACATGATAATGGTCTATACTGAGCAACAAATTCTTGAATGGCCACACAAAGACAGTTAAACGAAGCTAATATACTGACCATGAGCACAATTTCTATATGCCTCAATACTACGGTTGAGCACATTCTATTGACAAGTCGTGGAAAAACTCTAGAATTATAACAATTCTCCACCATATTTACCCCAAGCTGTAGATAGGGCATATTCACATCAGGAACTACCACTGCTCGAATACCTTACTGGTACCCCATTGCAGAGTGGGGAAATTACAACATCTGAAGTGCACTGCCTTGTGTTAACTATAAACCTCTATCATGCTGCCACCATTTCAGTGATGTTCCCTGTATCCAATAACAGTACTGAATGATAATATTTTTTGTGTTAAAAGGAACCAAACTATTTTTCCTTCCAGCCTCGCTTTGCTTACGTTGATTTGAATGGGAAAAAATCAAGATGGCCGCAACATGATAATGGTCTATTGAGCAACAAATTCTTGAATGGCCACACAAAGACAGTAAACGAAGCTAATATACTGACCTGTCAATTTTCCTGAATTTCAAAAATGACAACAAAGCGAAGAATGTGAAGAACAAGAGAATTGTGTCCAGAAGAATGAATCTTGACTGGGTGATCAGAGCGTTATCTGCAACAAAGAGGAGACAGACTTAATACTAGTTTTGAGTTTCAACCAGAAAAATAGAGTTACTCACTTTTAAATGAGACATCGAATTAAAAACATTCGGCCCACATTTACTATTGAAATAACTGATTTACAAATTTCAAATTGCGGCCCAATGATAATTCAGTTCTTGCAGGTACTTTGAGGGACCTGCACCCAATTTCATGAAACTCATCGTAACTTACACTGCATTGCGTCCTGCGATTCATTTCACAAAACGCATCATAAGTGCGACGCGTCATAGGTGTATTCATAGCACAACTCGGTGATGTATTTATTCAACGTACAGTAAATAGTCGTCTGATATTCAGCAAAGAGTCGTTGGATCTCCTTTCGAAAAGTTTCAAAACAAAATGGTGGACGTATGATGCAGTTTTAATGGAAAACAAGCTTGCAGTGGATGGTATAGCTACTTTGAAATTTCAACTGCAATATCTCAGGCTAATTCATATTTACTACGATGCATATTCCATTTACAACTTCGCACACATGTCTCGGTATTATAGGACGCTTCTTATTTTGCGATGACGTTGCAACGTGTTTTAAGCCGTTGTCAAGGAACTTACGACAACACATCGTTAGTTTTTGTGAAATGCATCGTAGGAAGCAATGCAAGTTGCGACATGTTACACGTCGCAACTCAAGTTGCGACATGTCGCAGCGTTTCGTGAAATTGGGTGCTGGACAGGTACATCTTTAAACTACTAAACAACAAGCGATACAAAGCTGAGTGAAAGAACAACCAATCCATTCAATATTTTAACTTCATACCAAACAATACCAAGCTTGCTGCCAACAGTGCCGTCCAATGTGAATATCCTACTTCAGCCATAATGAGGTAGACAAGAGGGACCAATAGGCTGCCACACAGTGCTGGAAGGAACCTCAGGTGCCAGATAGGGAAATCACACGGGTAGTCTGGGGACAAAGAAATGACCAAATGGTACAAAATGGTTCAGAGAAACTGGCACAACGGAAAACAATAATTACTGTCAGCTTTTTCACCCACGTTTTTCACCACCGTGGCCATGCCTGTTGTGCCCTCGAGTAAGGCCCTTTACATTAATTACTCCTCTCAACCCAGGTGTTAAATGAGTACCAGCATTATTCGATGCTGCGAAGGTAACAGACTTGCTGTGGAGGAGGTGTGGCGATCCCCGGCCCCCCACAGCAGCATTTCATGGACTTGAATCTAGCCCAATCGCTTCGAAAGAGAGATGGGCGCTGCGTTCCTGTGAACACAGGTTCGTCCCTCTTATCTTTTTTACTTTTCACTCCATAATGCCCATACAACTCCTTTCAGACCGCAGTAAATGACGTGGCTCTGCATACTCTGGGGAAAAAGAAACCCATCCACTATGGATTGTGTTCTCAGTCTCCTCCTGATTTGATGAGTTTTCCATACTTACCGTCTCCGATTCTGTCAAAGGGAAAACTGGCGTTGGTATCTGTCAGGTACCCGGCACCTGCCAGCAGCAGCTTGCCCAGGGGAGGGTGGATGTCAAAGAAGAAGGTACGACGCAGGTACAGGTTGATGAACTTGCCGAAGTGAAACTCATCAAATCTGTGTGATGAAAAATAAAACATTCCATCAAAGAGCCAAAAACGTTCCATCAAAGAGAAGCATCTATTCTAAGTTGCTTTGGTGTGTTCAAGCCTAAACTTAAAGTCAATCATAAGTCATATCACAAGTCAGGTCATGGTATATGCCGTGCCTGGTATGTGTTCAGTGTTTTCTGATATTTGCAAGAAATAAGCTAGGCAAGTTTTGAGGGGAGGGGTGTGTGGATGGTGGTCTTTGTTGATTTGAAATTTAGGAGGGAGATTGGGGAGAAAACGAAATAATCAGCAGAGGGCTTGAGAGTTGCCCAAGGCCCCAGAGCAACGTAGGGTTCAATAATAATAATAACAGGTTATAGCACTTTTAACTAAGATCAAAGCGCTTTACATTATTATTATTACCCCTGATCACTGGGCCAATTAAACATTCGTATATCCAAATACCATCTCAGCTCCCTGGGGAGTATACAGCTCGATGCAGCCTGTTAGGCGCAAGGAAGCTAATTCAATCACAACAACCATCTCTACCCTCACAGGTACCCATTTACTCCTGGATGGAGAGAAGCAATGAGTGACAAAGTGCCTTGCCCAAGGGCACACGCCCCATGACCCCGGGCTGGACTCAAACCCACAACCTGCAGCTTAACCCACAGACCAAAATCCAGTGCCCTTAACCACGAGGCCACAGCACTCCACACGTGTTACCGTATTTCTTCGTATAAGCCCAAAAGGCATCTCTAAAACCACCACTTTCTTTTGCTCTATGTACAATTTTATAGGTAAAAAGACCTTTACAGTAAAATCTCAGGAATTCCAGATTTCCAAAAGGGATTCGTTAAAAATCCTGATACAAGGAAAAATCCTAGCGAAAAAAATCCCGAAATCAGGATTTATCCTGACAATTTTGCTCTAGGGAAGCACCCCTTCAATGTAATGTTTTAAACAATGTAAATTGAGTGCTATCTGAGTGTGAGTTAGAGAACAAAGTCGCCATGCTCTGTAATTAACCTGAAATGTAACATTTATTTTCTATAGATGAGGCGAGTCAACCAACTTCCTTAGTGCATGTATGACAACACCAACTTGTGCAAGTAGGTTTTTGTCCCTGTTGATGCAGACCAGCTGTGAGTTTGCATGTGAATGAAACAATATTGTAGAATAGCCATTTATATCATTATCAGATCCAGGGACAGCTTTTGTGGGGACTGGGGAGGGGGGCTTTTGTGGGAGGGGATCAGCATTAGCAGAAGCCCCGGGGGGGGGGGGGGGGGGGGGGGGGGGCAATGCAGGTGCAATGTGATACTTTTGAAATAAAGCCGGGGGGGGGGGGGCTGGCTAAACCTCCAACCTCAGATTTACCCAGTGTTTCCTGCTGATGATCATGATCACTTATTTCCATGCTTGTTTCCATACTTACACAACCCCTCTGGGTTCTTCTAGTCGCCACATTCTCATCACAAAGGACATCAAAGTCAGTCCCAACAGGACAACGTTAATCTCAACTTTCAGCGAGAAGATTGCACTTGGCTTCATTGTTGACAGTTGTTGAGTAGCATCTGTTGAAGTGTTTGACTGAGCTCTGTAAACAAAAAGAAAGCGGCTATCGTTACGGCAGCCGTAATGCAATCCTCAACTGCTAACGTTACAGTATTGCAAAATCACCATATAATTTTGACACGCAAACGTGTGCAAACGAATCTGGAAATTTCACGAAAAATGGACATCTGAAAAAGGCAGCACTTTCTGATTAGCCTGTAAAGAGGGTGACTATGCTTCTAAAGCAAAAAATAAACTACAAACTAAGCCTAAATGTGAAAATCAAAATTTGACTAAGTTCTACATGTTTTTGTACATGGTGGAAGTGTGGCCTTTATTTACGGAGGTAGTCCAGTTAATTGGCCACATTTATGGGGCTAATTAAACTTCTGCCCAACTCGGAGTAAACAACAACGCGTTTATCAACTTTTCGGAGTAAGATTAACAGGCTACGCATTATTGAGCAAAATTTACCTTGCAAGGCCTTGTGGAGGGGTAATACACATATTTTGTTACTAGACAAGCGAGGCGTAATAATGTTTTGGGATTTAAATCAATAATTAGGTGTTGGGCCTTGAGCCCAACACCTACTGGTTTTGTAAGAATTTACTGGTTTTGTTCTTCTCAGCATATTCTCAGCAAATCCTTCTCCAGAACTATTTGGAAAAATATATGAACTTCATTTGTCAATACATGAATGCCAATCCACCGCAGATGTGTTTTTTTGCAATTGGGTCATTCCACAAAGTTGGGTACACAATGTGTGACATGAGGGCGAGTTTTTCAAAATAATGTGAAGAGCACTAAGGCCAAAAAAAAAATATTCGGTCTCTGGTCAGACCAAAGTTCCGGAATTGACGCGGCCACGCGGCTTTTTTTTTTCTTTTCTTTTTTTCTTCTTCAAGCTTGGATTGTACAGACAAGGTAGGTACTATTTTGCTTTTTTGGTGTCCTCATGTACATTGGTGTCCTCCATAATTTGCCTTGGTGCTTTCGATCATTTGCCTTGGTGCAATTTCCCATTCCTTGGTGCTCTTTGGTAAAAAAAAATTGAGGAGGTGCGGAAATAGAGGGCGCTGTTGGAGCTACCGCGGAACATTTTGGAAAAAAAAAAAGATTGACGCGCATGATTAAAATCGACGCGCGCGCTGACCAGAGACCGACTTATTTTTTTTTTTTGCCTAAAATAACTTTTTTAGGTGCTGACATATATGTAGTGTCTAAAATAATAAACCATTTTGAGACATCTTGACAAACGGTTATTTTTAACAGTGTTGTTTATTAACAGATGCAAAGCAAGTTTCACATGTAACATGGACACCAAACATGAGGAATCACCTTTCCCATTGTTATTTTATAGAATTGATATGCTCCAAGTATAGAATGTATTTAAAAGGGCTTGATAAGTACATTAATTAAATTCATACATTTTTTGGCTAATCGTTATGAGATTATTGAAATCAGCTGTTGTTCACTCACATGAAATGGGCAAATTATATAAATTTGGCCCTTCATACACATTTTTTCTTGTATTGTCTGTTCAAAAAATGTTTGACAATCATGTGTAAAACACAAGGAAGCAAATCCACATTCAACTTATTTTGCCATGTTACCATTTCTTTTTACACAAGACAGTATCCATGCAAAATAATTTTGTGGTTTTAACATGTAACAATGACACCAAAATATTGGTGTCCTGTTACACGTGAAACTGATATATGGATTATAAGGTAATAAGCTTTAAACTTGATAAAAAACGAGTAAAACTTCATTTATATTAATTAAAAATGAATAAATTTGAAACATCAGCTAAAGATGTGAGAGAGTTTAGCTTTAAGACTCCCATATTGGACAGGGTTGGGTTTCACATGCAACATGGATGCCAAATTATCGAACGTTCTGATTACATCTCAAGATGTGATGCCTTAAAACCATTTTGCCGTCCCCATCCTTCCCGTGTCCCGTCCCTACCCAACCCCACCCTCCCCCACTCCATTCCCACCCTTCTACTACCCATTACATAACAGTGTTGTAGTTGAGTCCATCACAAGTCCCTGCAAGTCCATCGTAAGTCCATCACAAACAATTCACTCTTAATCAGGTAATTAACTTTAAACTTGATAGAAAATGAGTAAAACTTCATTTATATTAATTAAAAATGAACAAATTTGAAACATCAGCTAAAGATGTGAGAGAGTTTAGCTTTGAGACTCCCATATTGGACAGGGTTGGGTTTCACATGTAACATGGATGCCAAATTATCGAACGTTCAGATTACATCTCAAGATGTGATGCCTAAACCATTTTGCCGTCCCCATCCTTCCCGTATCCCGTCCCTACCCTCCCCTACCCCACCCTCCCCCACTCCATTCCCACCCTTCTAGTACCCACTACATAACAGTGCTGTAGTCAAGTCCATCACAAGTCCCTGCAAGTCCATCATAAGTCCATCACAAACAATTCAGTCTTAATCAGGTAATCAACTTTAAACTTGATAAAAAATGAGTAAAACTTCATTTATATTAATTAAAAATGAACAAATTTGAACCATCAGCTACAGATGCGAGAGAGTTTAGCTTTGAGACTCCCATATTGGACAGGGTTGGGTTTCACATGTAACATGGATGCCAAATTATCGAACGTTCTGATTACATCTCAAGATGTGATGCCTAAACCATGTTGCCGTCCCCATCCTTCCCGTATCCCGTCCCTACCCTCCCCTACCCACCCAACCCTCCCCCACTCCATTCCCACCCTTCTAGTACCCACTACATAACAGTGCTGTAGTCAAGTCCATCACAAGTCCCTGCAAGTCCATCACAAGTCCATCACAAACAATTCAGTCTTAAGCCAAATCACAAGCTATTCAAATGAATTGTAACAAAAGCATTCCTTTGTGGTTGTTCACTCTGTTTCTTCTGACTGGTCTTATGAAAGGACTTGTGACTGGGCTTGTAAAAGGACTTGTGCTGGGTCTGTGATGGACTTGTGATGGACTCGACTACAACACTGTTACATAAGGCATACAATGTTGAACAATGGCCGCCCTTATTTAAAGATCTTGAAGTGGTTGTCTAGTGCTGCTGGAAGAGTTCTTCAGCCCTCTTCATGTTGAACTTAAAGAACAGACGGGAGCCTGCTGTAACTGGCTCAGGATCCTCAAGTTTCACGATGATGTCACATCGGGGATGAAGAAAAAACAGCTCTTCACCCTCGGGCCAGGTGTACTGATTTTGGCGCTTGATCATGTAAGAGAGACTGAAGGTGTTGTCCGTAAGAACTGATGCGACCTGCAGTTTAAAAAATCCAAGACAGCAGCACATTGGTATTATTACTTTTTTGTTTAAAAGTCACAGTATATGATAACTAGGAGTTTACAGCAACAAGGCTGGAAGATAATGTTTATGTACCAACAGTTATTGTATTTTGATTAAGTGTACACTCTTTAAAAAATCCTTTGGAATTTTTTTTTTTGTTTTTTGAAATTGTAAAATTACCTGGGCAACATGTAGTTGATTGGACTTTGCTCGCCAACCCGCAGTAGTTACTCTAACAGCAACAAAGTCCAGAGCACTGATATGTGCTCGTGCACTGTCATCTCCTGATTAAAAAAAAAACAATTATCAACAATCAAGTTAAATTATGAAGAGTATGCTGTTAAGTCAGTTCATTCCGATTATTGCAATGAATATTAAAACAATGGCAGAGATGAGTAAAAAAAAGTTTGGCTACAGGATATGTCCCGACTTGAGTTCTCAAGAAAATACTTGTGTGCTGTGGAGTGACCCCCCCCCCCCTCCCCGAAGGGAAAGTTGCAATTTTTTTTACCTACATTTTATATGACTGTAGAAAAAGTAGTAAGAGATACCTGTTTTGTGTTCGGGTAAGCTGAACCTGTTGCTGCTCCCATGCCTGCTGCCACTGCTGCTGCCACTGCTGCTGCCACTGCTGCTGCCACTGCTGCTGCCACTGCTGCTGTCACGGCAGCTGTCACGGCTGCTGTCACGGCTTCTGTCATGGCTGCTGTCACGGCTTCTGTCACGGCTGCTGTCACGGCTATTGTCATGGCTGTTTCCATGGCTGCTGTCACGGCTGCTGTCACGGCTATTGTCATGGCTGTTTCCATGGCTGCTGTCATGGCTGCTGTCACGGCTGCTGTCACGGCTACTGTCATGGCTGTTTCCATGGCTGCTGTCATGGCTACTGTCATGGCTGCTTGTCGCATTTTTGTTCAACACGCATTTACTTGATCCACGGGGACCAGCAATCATCTTGCGCCCAATATTTAACAGCTTGATCCCTTTCTTTTGCAGGCGATACTTTTTGAGAATCCGGGCTACTTCTGCAAACTCTGCTTTTTTCTGCAGATTTTTCTTCTTTGTACTGTGCTTGATGGATTTCATCTGAGTGCCTATGGCTGCTACCAGAACATGTTGCACGTCTCTCTCACTACCTTGCAAAGCAATGCCTCTTTTCTCAAAAGCCATTTTCTTTCTAGGTGACGCCTTGTCGTACAGATCCACGAGAGTGGTTACGTTTTTTTGTGGTTCTTTTGGCATTTTCACCCTTGCCCTCTCCAAACTCTTTCGTCTTGCTGCTGGTGTCCTGTTCTCAGCCCCAAGTGCAGACATCTTTGTTTTTATATCTTTTTCTTTCTCATCAAGGGCTTCTCTCAATGCTTTCAGGCGCATTTCCTCTTTGTTCAGTTCCTTTTCTCTCGCCTTCAGCAGGGTAGCTTCTTGAAGAAGATTCCTTTGTTGCTGGACTTTCTGATGGTATTTTCTTCGCCTATTAGCATTATGCTGTTCCCGTTCATCCTTTGACATTGCTGCACGTTTTTCCCTTCTGTATTTTGCCTCGGCAGTTTGTTTTTGCTTTTGTTTCATCTGCTGTGCCCTTGTGACAGGAAGGTTTTGCTGCTTCTTTTGGACTTTGGATTCTTCAGTCTTCTTCTTTGCTCTCAATTTCCTCATTCTCATGGCTGTACCCTTGTTGTATTTCTCCTTTCTTTCTAAATACTTGTGTGCTTTCTCTCGCTCTTCTTCAGATAGATTTCTCTTACTCAGTGTATGCGCTGCAACAGACATCTCCAGCCTTTGTAATGTATTGTACTCTGCTGATCTCTTCAGGACCTCTGCATACTTTGTCGGATTTTCTGCTTTCAGTTTATGTCTCCAATTTGTTGATTTGCAGGTGGTGGTGTTGCACGTTTTTCCCTTCTGTATTTTGCCTCGGCAGTTTGTTTTTGCTTTTGTTTCATCTGCTGTGCCCTTGTGACAGGAAGGTTTTGCTGCTTCTTTGGACTTTGGATTCTTCAATCTTCTTCTTTGCTCTCAATTTCCTCATTCTCATGGCTGTACCCTTGTTGTATTTCTTCTTTCTTTCTAAATACTTGTGTGCTTTCTCTCGCTCTTCTTCAGATAGATTTCTCTTACCCAGTGTATGCGCTGCAACAGACATCTCCAGCCTTTGTAATTTATTGTACTCTGCTGTTCTCTTCAGGACCTCTGCATACTTTGTCGGATTTTCTGCTTTCAGTTTATGTCTCCAATTTGTTGGTTTTGCAGGTGATGGTTGGACTGCAGGAGCCTTCTTAGTCTGTCTCAATCTAACCCGCAGCTGAAAGAGTGGTTCACCTCTTTTTTTGCCCATGGTGCATATATCTGTGAAATAATTGAAATATGTTTTGTCTCTTATTAATTTGTTATCCATGTTTGCCAAAACTTTGAGTACCACTGTACATGTATGTGCCAAACTTAAAAAAAAAAATAAAGGACGCACACGAATGTTATATAAACCTATCACATATTGCATACTGCAGAAGTAATCACTGGTCAATTAGTATGTGCGGCAGCTTGCACCACAACACAGTAAATCATAACTCAAGTTATACATGTAGTTACACAGCATTTTCAATTTCTACGTCAATTAAATTAATATTGAAAAAAAAAAAAAACATGGACAGTTTTTGAGATATTTTGGAAAATGTCAAATGATATTTTAAAAAAAAATCTGCTGCAGGAGCCTGTTGAATTATTTGAGGTCATAATAAGACAAACATTAACTGGAAAAATCATTTAAAAACAAAGTATTTGCCAGTGCCGGGTTGAAAGCCTTCAACACAGAAAATCCTTCAAAAAACAAATTAAAGGAAGGAAAAAAGATTTATAGATAGAAAAAGTACTGTGTACAGGCATGGTACGAAATGGTGAACATGTGTGAACTACCAGCATGCAATACAACCAGAACCAACTTATTTTTCTGACAAAGATTAAATAAAAAAATAAGGCTGAAATAATTCTCTTTAATGTCATTAACGGTTGGATGCATTGTTCTATGGATATACCATTCCCTAATGGATGAATTTACTGAACATGCTGAAGCCTAAATCAAAGCAAATTGTGAATTTATTTCTAAAAATTCTTAGGGGAAGATTTTATTTTAGTTTTATACCTGTATACTATTTATTCTTATGTGTTTTGTTTCTTTTGTCTGAAAAAATATTGAAATATCTTAATTCAAACCAGAAAAAGAAAATCACATGATGCTCCACCCCCTTTATGAGAATGGAATGGTCTGGCGGTATCCTGGCCTGTGACCAATCAATTTTGACACTTCCCCTCTTATTTTAGACTAACTTCAGTAAAAATCACCAACTTTCGAACCCCCTTCAAACAGATAAATGAAAAGGACCCCATTTTTATAGATCAGACGTTGACCATCCAACGCAGGCAAAAGCACAGGCCAAACCACATAATCGCACCACACCATCACATGGAAACCACGTCGTGAAATTTCCATTACGATGTGCAATTTCAGTTAGGGTTTCGGAACACATATTTAGCGTCATTTGTGAAAGTTCAGCCTCTTCCATGTTAAAAAAACCAATCAGGTCTTTCCATGCAGAACCTGGAGTATTTGACCGTGCATGAGCATGTTTTATGCCAAATCACGGAAATGGAATATCACATCGTCACGCGGTTACCATTTTGTTTCGTATCCATTCCGTAGCTAAAGTGCAGGTTTTAGCGCGTCAACTATACTGCAACAATTGTTTGAGATGTTATTCATGTTTCAGCATACACAGGGAGTATTTCTTCGGGATTACCAGGCACCGTGTTGGTAAATCTGTAATCTTACCCTTGTGTCCTCCCCGAATGTGGTATACTTCGTAACTGACGTCACACCGCAACAAAATTACGCCCCAACTATCGCATCGGTCCCAACTATAGTTGGGACTGTCCCAACTATAGTGCGGCAGTTGGGTCAGCCCAACTATAGTTAGGACTGGAGTTGCGCCGGACGTCGGAGGGTGTTAATGTTCCGCGGCGCTGGCACCATGTATTCGTCGTGCATGCGCATGCATGCCGCAGGGCTGGCCGGCCACGTGGTGATGCCTAGTTGGATGAGTTGTCCAGCTTGGTTTTATAGTCAAGCAACGTGCCAAATTCAAAGATTGGCGTGGCCCACCTATAGATGGGCCCCACCCAAAGCTAATTTCAATGGTTCCAAGTAAAGTCAGACGTGTATAATCAGAGCTGTAGAATGCTACAGTAGTTGTACAGCAAGTGAACTATAGTTTGGACTGCAAAATTCAAAGATTGGCGTGGCCCAACTATAGATGGCCCCACCCATGGAATGTTTTATAGTAGTAGATTAATGTAAACTATAGTTGGGACCGCAAAATAAAAATATTGCAGTGGCCCAACTACAGATAGGCCTAGTCCGAGTAACTTGGACCCAACTTATCGCCTTTTTTAACATTTGGACATGGTCTGGCGATATAGCCAGACCATGTCCAAATGTTAAAAAAGGCGATAAGTTGGGTCCAAGTTACTCGGACTAAGATAGGCCCCACCCATAGCTAATTTTATTGGTCCCAAGTAAGTCAGACGTGTATCAGAGAGGAAGGGAATGTTTTATAATTGTACATCAATCTGAACTATAGTTGGGACACCGCTATAGACTTGTCCTGAGTCGAGTTGTCTCAACGGTCGACTTGTCTGACATTCTAATAATATATGACATGTATGACTGAGAGTCCCAAAACTTAAGGTAACCATTAGCTTGAGTAACTCCAGCTGACATGCTCATATTCATTCACATGTAGCGCTGGAGTCACAACCGGTTCGTTGCCATGTGGTAGCAAGAGGTCTGATTCCCGCCCTCAGAATACACAACGCTACGATAATCTAAGCGCGGAACCAGACTAAGCAACAAGGCTATCACAAAAGCGCAGTAGTTGGAACTGGCGTATTTTTACGGACAAGCCACCGAAATCGTCAAGATTTTTCCCTTTTTTTTGTGTGGTCTGTTTCAAGTCGATCATTAGGCTTCGTAAATGACTGCTGAATGTATTTATGAGGTATGTAAATGAACTCTGGGGTGGGATAAAGAGGTGAAATTCGGACAATTTTGGAGAGGCCGTTTTTTTAGGGTCTCTTGCTACCACATGGAAACGAACAGGTTGTGACTCCAGCGCTACATGTGAATGAATATGAGCATGTCAGCTGGAGTTACTCAAGCTAGGTAACCATGGCATATCGTGCAAAAGTTTGTGCTGCATAAAACCATGGAGGAATAAGAACACTTCTTATTCCTCCATGATAAAACCAGTGTGAATCAAATTTGCAAGCTTCTTACTCACTACATTTTCTTCAATAATCCCCGAAACTTCTGCCTCGCAAAGTTGCTGTTGTGAGCATTGCTTCACCAAAAATTCAGCTTTTAATTCTAATTTTGCAGAGAGTTATCGAAATCCAAACGCGAGACAAATGTGGCAATGCATTGTTTTGTACAAAAAAACACCCTAGCTGGAACATTTTCATCGTGTAGATAAAACAGCGCCCTCTTGTTGATCTGTGTGAATGTAGAATGTTTCATTTTTTAACAGAGGGCGCTATGTTCATTTGGCTATCGTTCGGTTCGCTCGGAGCGCGTCGCGGGGGGGGGGGGGGGGGGGGGGGGGGGCGGGGTACGGTACGGTACAGGCGAAATGATAGTATGTGCATGCGTACCGTACAAGTGCATGTACCGTACCCCCCGCGGCGCGCTCCGAGCGAACCGAAAATCATCGCTCGATCATATGCGTGCACGTTTCAAGTGTCAGGTTGGCTCAGTGCGGAAAGGGCATATTTTTCATCATTTTGGCCTAAAAACCGACAGAGTCCACCTATGTTAGTTCTGCGCATGATACGTGAGTATGTCAAGAGATAAAGTACGGAGTATAGGGGCAAACTGTGCAGCGGTTCTGTGTGAAATGTCTCCATTTTGATGGACGTTTTTGTACTTTATTAGTGTTTTGTGCTGCAGGCAATTTTGCGGGCTTCTTGATCTATGAGGAGTACCTTGAACCCTGCTTGAGCAAACAACTGTTTTGAAAAAGCAGGGGTTTTTACTCACCACCTACTCACAAACATCGGATTTCCGACCCGACGAGCCACCACGGACTGAGGTATAGGACGAACCCTAGTACATGTATCACGCGCACGATACGACGACCGACGCCGGCGCGGGTACCGGCGAGCAAGGACATATATGCTTCCACCAAATTCCACGTTCTGAATACAACAAATCAAACGCACGTTCTAAAATAGCTGTCGAACACGTACACGTAGCTGATGTTGTTTTTGTTATTTGGAACGTGTAGTTGATGCTTTTACTTAGAATGTATAGTTTAACATGTTTAAAGGAGCTTTCTTGATACCGAAGCGATTTATCGTACGAAGCAATGAATAAGCAATTTGAAAGTTCATGTAATTGGCGACACAGTAGGTCGTATATCAGTGCAAACAAACGTTCATGCAATTTAAGGCAAAGACGATTCACCACGTATTCCAACATTTTTGAATGAAAAGTACCTCACACCATATTGTGGAACTCAATTCCTTCTTTATTCAATTATAATTTCTTGGATGTTCAATACTGTCAAAACATGGATCAACTCATTGAGGTTTTTTTTCGTTGTTAAATGCGTCGGGAAAAGTGGATGTAAAATGTTCACACAGGAGGTTAAACTACAATGCAGGGTTTTTGTACACCATAAATATTACAATAAAATAGTCAATTATAGTCACAAACACTGCAATATCATTGTATTAAAAAATACTTCGCTATCTTTCTCGTCAAATAAGTGGATCAATTTTCTTCCCCATCTTCTTGTAAGCTGCCAGCCATGCAAGTTTACTATAAGTTAATATCTGGTGAGGTATCTTAAAAACGCATCTGGAGAAACACAGCTTGGCTCTTTAAGGCGGTTCATACTTCAAAACAGTTTTTGATGTCGGTTAAAAATATTAATGATGCAATTTCACAGAAGTTGAATACATTTTAAATCCAACATGGCACATCCGATATCTTTTGAAGTATGAACAAGCCTTCAATGTTTATTTTTAAACAAGAAAATGTTACACCAAAAAAATCCATCAACAACCGCTTGTCCATTCCATAGCACAATTTTGAATTCTTTAAAAAAACGAAGCTTCGTTCTCACTGTCGAGTCAACAACATGCAGCAGATGATGAATTTATATGTTCATGCGATTAAAGAATGGAAATTCTCCTGCTTTTTCGAAGAAATTATACAATCTGACAATGTGTTCTGAAACTTGTGAAAGCGTGAACAGAAACAAAGAAAGCACCGCATCCCTTAAAAAAATATTGAGGAGATGTTTTGAAACTTAACAATAAGAAGACCACACAGATCCCATTTCGCTTTGAGGCAAATATTTGAAAAACTCCAACTGCCGTTTATGGATTGTAAGTTGATTACAATTGAAGTACAGTGTATAACTGAAACTAAAAGTGAGGAAAATTACTTTCCTGATGAAACAGGCGAAATTGTCAGGAGGAAATAAGAAAAAAAACAGGGAAAATGATCTTCCTTCCTGTTTACGTTCGTAACTGATAATTTACAGACCTATATAGGTGGGAAAAAAGTTATATGTTTGTAGTCCCTAATATTCCAAATTATCTATGTAATTAACTTGGTTGGCTCATTTCTCCGTGGTTTAATTTTGTGACTATTTCCTAATTTTGACAATGCATCTGTTTCCTAATGGCTGGTGTTGTTCCTAAACGGGCTGGATTCCTAATTGGGCTTAGTTGCCCTCTTTGGCGGCCAGCTTTCTCTTGAGGCTCTCGGGCATCTCTGGTGGTGGTGGGCGGGGCAGCTTGAAGTAGACCTTGACGGAGTCATAGATAAACCACTGGAGGGCAGTCAGGGTGCCAATCATGATGATACGGGGGAACAGACCCTTCCACAAGCCTAATGGGAAAAACAAATCATATTTTTTTACCGACCAAAATCAGAGGCTTTTTTAACCCTCCTGCCATCTGAACAGTCACAGACAGTCAAAAAATCAAACCTCTTCCCCTGCCATGCCATTTACAAAGGCTAGTCAGCGACAGTCAGATCATATTTCAAAGAATTAAGCACTGTGACTAGTCAAATTCAGTCAACAGCACACACTGCACTGATTAAATACAGGTTCGCTAAGAGCTATCGCATGCAATAAAAACAGGCAAGTGGTAAGCACAGCTGGCTTATCAATCACCTACAGTCAAAGCATAGCTTTATCAAGTAAAGTTACATAAATAGTCACAGCCAGTCAATCCTGCTTAATGTATGACAGGAGCTCTGAACTATTGAAAACAGTCACGAGATCGATTTTGACTGAAATGACAACTTTGCACAGAATGCATACTTTAGGCCAAAAAAAAAGTCTCCGGTTTCTGGTATGGAGCTTGCCCAAAAAGTGTTGCGGCGACGCGGCTTTTTTTTTTTTTTTTACCTTTTTTTTTGCTTCAAATGTCAGCTGATGGCTGCAAATGGTGCCCGACTAAACTTAGTGCAAATATATGGGAGTCCAAAGAGGCCACATAAAGCTTATTCTCGATTATAACCCAATCTAAAAACACGTTAAAATTGTGCAGCAGCAGGATTCCAGTCAAACCAGTGAGTTTGGCGGTTTTGAGACATCATCTACGGCGACGCGTGCGCATACCAAACACCAGAGACTTTTTTTTTTGGCCTTAAAGGAGGGTTTTATTGCAATGAAGTGTATATCAAACCATTTACTCTACAGTCAAACATTTTAAACAGATATAATGTCCCCACCACAAGCCTGACATCATGTGTAATCAGTTGACCAACTGCCTTGGGAGGCAGTTCCCCCTCCACTGGTTGGGGTGGGGGTAGGTCTGCACACAACGCACTACCAGCTCACAGTGGAGGTATTCTACTCTCACACACTAATGACTCAAGCACTCCCCATGGAACACAACATTGACAAGTGTTGCTGAACGGAGACTGGACAGGGAGGCAACCCTAGAGGGCGTACTCCACTGTGACAGGCCCCGTCCGAGGAGCGGATCTAAGGCAGTGTGTGCGACAACTGGCCGCAAACAAGTTTAAAGAAAACTGTACTTTTTAGTTTACAGCAAAATTTACCACAGTCGAAATGTGTTCATAGTTTGCAAAGTTGCAGAGCCAACACTTGCAATGACATTCACATGTGTGTGTATGAATGACCAATAGTCCTAGAATCAAACTCACCAGCCATGCCAAGTTTCTTGGCAGCCTCCAGAGGTGTGCTGCCGGCGTCCTGGTTCAGCTTGGATACAACGGTGTCAGCAGGGTGAGAGACAATAGCACAGAATACACCAGCTAGGAGGAAAGAGAAATCATACGATAAGAATCATAATGTCCAGTGTTCTCCAACTTTGAAAATTAAAGGTCGGTGCGCCGTCAAAAAGCGGAGGGGGGGGGGGGGGCGCTATATGTTAGGAGCGCTATTTGCAGTCATACATTTCTTTATGCTAGGGGGTGTTATTTGCAGATGAACATGTACCGGTACATTACATGTATGTATGGATAACAGCTTTTAGGCCATTTCTAACCAGTAACACTGACAATTAAGTACAATACTGGCTCAGCATCATCTTTTTTAACACATCAGTGACTGGGGACTCTGAGGCAGTTTGGCCTTGAGACTTTTGACCTGATTGATTGCTACAATGGGCAGGCTTGTCAGTGTGACAAGTGTTGCATGTTACTGCTTTTGGCAGAGTTTCTGGCCAAAATACACCCTGGAGGGTAAGGGTAGTCCCATTTGTTTTTATTTTTTATTTTTCCCCCCATTTTTTTAAGCATGGCGGGCAACTTTTTAAGCTTGGCGGCAGCTTTTGAAGCTTGGCGGGTGCCTCAGAAAGCTTGGCAGGGCACCAAGTTATATTTACAGGTTGGAGAACACTGAATGTCTCACTAGGCTAAGATCAATTCACAGTGCAATTCAGAGCAAAACGTTTGCAGATACATCATATAATAGTGACTTCCTCCGACAGGGAAGTGCGGTTCCGAGAAAAACCAGAAAAATGCACTTAACATTTGGTCAGTATGTTCTGATCTTCTAAAGATTGTCGGGTATTACTACCTGATATTGGTCAAATATATACCATCCATTCTTTTCAAAATGTTGCTCGTCTTCTAGAATCACTTAATGTGGTATGAACTCCTTGCACAAGTACCCCCTCAACGGTAAGAAAGGGAGAGTTGGGGGAGACCACCGGGCGGGACATTTGAATGCCGACGATGCCTGGCGCTCACCTGAAGACGCTATGGGTTTGCGCACATTAAATAAAATAAATTGTAATGCTGATATAGCGATTTTCATCGTATCATTAATCTGAAAGCGCTTTACAATTATTCCCCCGTTCATCAGGCCACGAGAGCACGCGGCAGCCGATATCAACGCACATTCGGTCCTCTACCCTCATAGGTACCCATTTTATACTCATGGGTGGAGAGAGGCAATTGTAGTAAAGGTCTTGCCCAAGGGCACTAACACCATGTTCCTTGCAGGATTTGAACTCATGTACCACCTTACATGAGTTAAACACTGTAACCACTGGACCATGGAATTCTACATTGAGAATAAAATTAGTTGTGTGTATTTTGTGATGTATGCCCACGAACCGCTACGCCCAGTGTATATCTCCTTCCAGGGCTATAGACCTTTATCATGCCGCCACCATTTCAGTCATGCTCCCTCTATCCAATAAGAATATTGAATGGTAATATTTTTGTGCAAAACGGAACCAGACTATTTTCCCTTCCAGCCTCGCTTTGGATCCGTTGCTTCGAATGGGAAAAAAAATCAAAGATGGCCACAACATGATAATGGTCTGTTGCGTATGGAGTCCATATTGGCACACTTCTCTTAGGTAGCGCAAAGCCGAACTCCACATACCGATGTAACCAGCCAGGAAAGTAATGACCAGCTGTTCAGGCTTGGAGCACTCCGACCGTGGCTTGGGCACGACGTGCTTGTACAAGAACTCCACAGTCCGCTCGAAGCAGGCGAACTTCATCATGGTGTACGGGATCTGTCGCAGCCAGAGAGGGGGCAGACCCTTGTAGAAGCTGCAAGGGAAAAACGTGATGACTCATTATTTTAATCAATGGTGACAGATGGTACATGTACAGTGTTTACTCTCATTATTACAAATTTCGTTGCAACAAAATTCTTGTTAAAGTGAACATCAAGCCTCAATCAATAGGACTGATGCTCCTCTTGGATATAACAAACATTTTGGCTAGGTCTAGCTGGGTTTGTTTAAACAGGAGTCGACTCCAGTGATTTAGTTCTGTGAGAAAAGAATTTGTTAGGTTAATTAGATGTCAGGCTTTTTCTACAAAAGATTTTCCTCAGAACCATGTATGATCACGATGTACTGACCCTGATCCTTCAAAGTCTACCAGAATTTGGAGGATTTTGTAGGAATAAGAAAGGTGGAGCCCAGCGACTATTACTTTACATGGGGATTGATGTCCGTTGACATTTTAAGTACAAAGACTATCCCACTGGTTTCTTGCACAATGGACATTTGAAGGAAGGTTCTGAAGAAAAAAAATGCTTCCCTCTGCTGTCTGAACAGTCACAGACAGTCATAAACACAATCCACTTCCTCTGCTATGCCTTTATACACAGGCTAGTCACCAACAGTCTTGACCACATTTCTGGTGAGAAATCACCAACAGTCAAAGCATAGACGTATCAAGTTACATAAATAGTCACGGCCGGTCAATCCTGATGGATGTTTGCATAGGATTCACAAGTTAAAAACAGTCACCTGATGACACAGCTTTGTTAAATTTGTCTGCACGAATACGAGGTTTTGGCACAATTTTTCCGCAGAGTAACTAATCAGCTCCATAAAAAGTGAGCCCAGATACATGAAACCCTCTCTGTCTTGATCCGGTTACGTCGGTACTCACCCTCTGATGCCCTCCATAGCCCACAGCTTGGGGGCGCCCTCCCTCAGAGTGTTGGCAAAGCCAGGCATGGTCTGAACCCGCACCTTGACGGCTTCCATCGGTGCCAGGGCAATGTCGGCAAAGAACTCAGCGCTGGCCGAGGCAGCCAGGTACAGGGAGGTCCGGTACAAGAAAGTACGCTCCTCTCCCAACAGATTGCTGTAGAGACTCTGTGATGGAGGGGGGAAAAACAGACAAAATTACTCATTGCTTTCTGGCTCTTGCCACATTCTATTGTTGCAATAACCCAATTAAGCTGTGAAAAATTCTGTATTTTTTCTCTATACTTTTCTACAAGGAGAGTGAGTTTTGCACAATGGTTCTTTTCCCGCCTTAACCCCAAAACAGGTAAAAAGGGCCGGGGTTGTAATTTTTTGTGGGGGGTGGAATTTTTTTCCCCCACCCCTTTCAGAACTCGGGTGCGAAGCGACGAAACAGAATGAAAATCGGCGTACATGTAGAGCAATTTAATCTGAACATATTCACACAATTTGATTTCACAAGACACAGATTATTGAAGTTTGATTATTGAATTTGCAAGTTAGCACACAGTTACCACGACAAGCTGCACTATCCGTGTATTGTACGGGGAATGCAATTTCTGTGACAACCAGCCTCAAATAATGTCACGCAGCGCAGTGACCCTAAGGCCAAACAAAGTCTCCGGTTTCTGGTATGCGCGCGCGTCGCCGTAGCCATGCGCGTCGGCAAAATGAAAACGTTTTTTTTTCAATGAAAGATGATGTTTCAAAACCGCCAAACTCACTGGTTTGACTGGAATCCTGCTGCTGCACAATTTTAACGTGTTTTTAGATGGGGTTATGATCGAGAATAAGCTTTATGTGGCCTCTCTGGTCTCCCATAATATTTGCACTAAGTTTAGTCGGGCACCAGTTGCAGTCATCAGCCGACATTTGAAGCAAACAAAACAGGTAAAAAAAAAAAGAAATAAGCCGCGTCGCCGCACCACTTTTTGGGCAAGCTCCATACCAGAAACCGGAGACTTTTTTTTTGGCCTAAGGTAAATTTTCATAAATTTGGTATCAAAACGTGCGCCAGACTTGACGCTTGAAGCTAGTCACAAACAGAGTACACTGTCAAAAACATCGAGATCTATTCTCTACTCCAGTTCTTTTCAGAATCACAGTTCTCTTCAGAACCACACTTCTTCACAGAAGAGATACTCCGTGGTAAACCAACAGAAACCTGTCCCTTTATTGTAAGTCAGCTTCATTGCCAGTAATATTATATTCAAGGAATTATATTGCAAAAAAAGGATAAAAATTTATTAAAATAAAATAAGAAATTGACCGTGGCTTACCTTGAAGACCTCATAGAAGCCAAACTTGCAGAGACCCTGCATGGAGTAGCCGATGGCAGTGGGTGCCCAGCCCTTACCGAGTGCCCGGAAGCCTTCCTCTTTCAACGTGACTCTGAAGCCTTTGAAGATGCCTACATATTTCTCTGGGTCAACCTGAAAATGAGCAACAATGACATTCTTGGGTATTATCAGTTCTTCTAAAAGTGGAACGCACAGTACTACAGTGCGTCTGTGTCATGATACATCACAACACTTTTCAAGTTCTACACGGGGTAGTGGGATGACAAATTTATCAGGGTAATAAGAGTCACAAGAGGGGGGAGATGGGGCGACAGTGTTCGAGTACTCGTGCTTGGCCCGTACTCGACTTCAAGCACTCCAAAATTATTTGGACTTGGCCTGAACTCGTTTCTTTGTACCTGAATTTTGCAAGGACTTGATGGTTTGGTACTCGTTACTCATTGTATAATCCGTCGGGTCAATGTGTGCCATCGCGTAACTGTCCCGGATGCTGATTTTAGCGCAATTCAAAACATGACTTGGCAACTTATGAATTGAAACCGAGATCCTAGAATGTTGTTTGCTCGGAATATACAGCATTCCCGAGCTGGAACTTCATCAGGTTGTTGAAGCACCTGTCTTTAGATTTTTAGCACTTTTTTGCTTCAAACAAAACAAAAATCACAAATGACAAGTAATCTACCCTGACAAGTAATCTATCCTACGGTACCTTTAAGCATAGATGCCTTCAATGCTCAACAATAGGGGCTACTACCGTAATTTTCGGAATATAAGCCGCGGCTTATACGTTGATTTTGCCCATGAAAATGTTTACTGTGGCTTATACACAGGGCGGCTTATACGCCGAGCCTTGAAGAATAAAAATGAAATTCACTTGTGTATTTAATGTACTGGTATAAGAAGAGATATGTTGCTGAAATGAATTATCAATTAAGAAAGTCATTAACGAACCGAAACCACGTGCCACGTAAAGGTGCCGAGTGGTAAAAAGTACGGTGAAAGCTGTCTTCGATCGACGCTTGCAACAAGCCGTACGTGATTCTAGTGCTGCTGCATATCGCATGCAGCATGCTTTCCCAGCGAACCACACCATTTGAGGTAATATAGGGGTGTACTATCTTGGAAACAATAATTACCAACATTTCCGCTGTTTAGAAAAAGAAAAAAGACGACTAATACTTTTTATGGTGTCCGAAACATTTCTTTATTCGATAATCAGTTGTTCAACGTCACAATATAATTTTTGTACTTGAAATGTATTCAAGAAACGATGTAAACCACAAAACAGGGACTACATCACCCCTTACAAAATTAATGGATTCGTCCATGAAAATGGCAGCATCGTTTTGACTATTTTCGAAGAAAGTTACGATCGAAACTTGAATACTGCTCGTTAGTAATCACAAAAATTTGATAAGTTTTGAGATAAAAACGGACCTGTATATTTTTAGGACAAAACAAATCAGCATCTGTTGCCACAAAGCAAGATTTGTACGTAGCGCTCCAGTCAGACAACACACGCAATGGGGGAAAATCACGGTGGGTTGCATACTCTCTCACGTGCTGCAGGAAAATGTTGTCCTAGGCCGGCGCGCACCAGGCTGCCGCGTCGGGCGATGTATTAACTTTGACGGCCGGGGACCGGACGGGGCAGCCGGCAGCAATTCCCGGTGTTTATTTCTCATCATCAATTTCCACATTTGTTTGTGAGAGTATCGATTGTAAATGATTTGATACAACTTTTGTGGCCCTTTTTATAGCTTCTGTCGTGTAAATGGAACTGGTTCAGAGCATTTTGGCTAGAATTTGGAGGCCTTACAAAATTGAAACCGCTGCCGTCGGTGCGGCTTATACGCCGGTGCGGCTTATACGCCGACTTCAAATCTTAATTTGCAGATTTTTGCGTGCTGCGGCTTATACGCCGCGCGGCTTATATTCCGAAAATTACGGTAAATGATTCCATTCAAATAATAGCTGGGTGGGGGGTGTTGGGGGGTTGTGGAGCCCTGACTCACCTGGATACGGCATTTGACAAGATCTAGAGGTACGAGGGCGGTATGTGTCACCCCACAGCTGAGGATACCACCAAAGCCACACAGTGCATAGTACTTGGCCGAGCCAAAGTCGCAACTGGTCTCTGCAAAACAAAAAGACCACTTTTCTGTTATATTAGAGACATTGCCAGCAAAGAGCTAGTAGCAATTATGATGGAACTTTGAACAACAAATGATGCAGTAAATCATTAAATTACAAGTACGACCTTGTCTTGTTGGACGCTATCCTGGCTGAGTCCACTATTTACCTTAACGTCCTAAAGGGCTCTTTGGGGTCAAGGACCAAATACTACAGAATGCTACTTGTGTTGTGTACACTTGTATGGAAAGAAATGCATACTACAGGTTACTACGTGTACTCAGTAGTATTTTGCACATTTAGGTGAGGTGAGGTTAGGGTTAAGGTGTGTTGCCTTCACATGCAAAATAGAACTTTTTTGGGGGGGGGGGAGGGGTGGGGGGCAGGTATACACAGTGCACATAAAGACTTCAAGTTCCCCTCGACCAACATATCCGAAACGTTAAGGCTAATGTACTGCACACGCCATTAGGTATGTACGTTATGTAACGAAATGCAACATTACAGCATAACAAAGAAATAATAATAGCAAAATTAATGAATATTTAGGGTTTTTTTTTTTCAAATGAAAAAAAAAAAAAAAAAAAAAAAAACATAAAAAAAAAAAACCCAACAAAACCTCACAGGGGATTTCCAGATTTTTAGGTTGGTCGGGTGAGGGCAGTACAACAAATTCTTATTTTTTGCCTCATGTGGACACAGTGCAGAAGTATCCCTCAATTACCCTCAATGTTTTGTGTACTCTGTACCATACATGCACAAAGCCTCAAACTAGTGTACATGTACTGCATCCCAGCAAGAGCCAACCACTGTCCCTGCATAGTTCACAGACAGGTTGCATGTTCAGTGACGGATAGGGTTGTCCAACGGTCATGAATATACTGAAAGGTTTCGCATCAGCTCTCTTCCATTTTCTTCCCCTCTTGGAAATTGTGGTTTGAAATAAAGCAGTACAGAATGGTAATTAACAGCTGTAACAATGACAGTTCTTTATGTACTTCCTCAAGAAAATGCAAAAGTTTAAGTACAGAGAGCCAACAATACATGGCCAACGAATACTAGGGCAATACTGGGTCACAGCCAACGAATGTAGCGGTGGAAAGTAAACTTCTTGCCTGTAACGATGCCTGTACAACTAACACGTACATGGAACTTTATGAATTAACTTCCCAGGAAGTCAGAAATTGACCACGAGGGGGAAGTGAGTCAACAAGACATGGCAGTGATGGTGAGGCTAACACGAGTGGCTTCTCAGTTCACCGATGTAGGTGAACCAAAAGTGAAACCTGATTGATTCATTTCAGAATTGTCTGTTAACCCGAACCTCCTCCTCAGGACTACCCTGCTAAATCCAACAGAGTCCAACCGGAGTTTCCTGCTCAATCCACTGTGACTTATTTTCAGTTGTCTGCTGAATGATAATCCAACATTTTGCATCAGGAATGTATCCAAGGGGTTTACTGCTCAATCCAACAGGCTCCATTGGGTATATGACATAGTTGGATTCAGCAGGGTAACACACTCAACTCAAAATCATCTTTAGGAACATGGAAACTACAAGAGTACAAATTGTGCAGTCCTCTTCACAGCACTTTGCTAAATCCAACAAAATCTAATAATGAAAGGCTTATGATGACCCATCTGATCAACAAAATCCAAAAGAATTTCCGACTGTTGGCTACTGTTAGACAGCATCTGCATTACAAGACTAGGGCTAGCAATTATATGTGCCTATGGAAGAGGTTTAAGCTGCATCCCATAGACACGTGTTACTGCCAGCCGTTCACACAGATTTAGATTCAAGCAAATAATTTACAAGTAGTTTTAGAAGAATATTCAAGATATAATCCTTAAAACTCCAAACCTGTAAGATTCCTGATAAATTATAGAACCCATGTAAAATTTCTTCATGAAAATTCCTCTCTGTTGCTGAGGCAGCCTGAGTCTTTAAGAAAAACTGAACTGTCTTCACACCATTTAAGTTTGAATGATCTGAACATCTTTGCAACATCTGTGAACCAAGGGGTCAATTTAGACAATAAAAGTTACATGCACTTAAAGTGAGATTTTTCCTTGAAAATGGGCTAAAAACAGAAAATTTTGCATGCACAGAGCCAAAGTTACATGCATATGTGCATGTAACTCCCCTTTAAATCGACCAATATTGGGAACCAATCTTTTCCATTTTTTTCCAAATCGTTACTTCTTGCGAATAAATCTCTTCACAGCCCCTTGAAAAACAGCCTTTGGATGAATGGGTGAATAGGTAAAGATAATAATAATAATAATCTGGTCAACCCTCTTGCAGTTCATCGCTTTCCCTTGTCCCACATTTATACTACATTCTTCTCCCTACAGTTTCCCATCTCTTCACATCCCAGTTTGGGATGCAGACATTAAGATGAAAATGAGTAATGCCTGGTTTCATATCCAGAATTCACAGATGAAGAAAGCAGTACACGCATAAATATACCCGCATGAATGACATCATGTTTTTATAAAATTTTCAAAAATTTTAACCTGAAAATGATGTTCAGTTATTGCAGATAGGCCTAAAATGGTGTAATAAAATACATGTGAACAAACACAACCATGTCCATGACAACCATCCTTTTCAAATTTCCATCCTTGAAAAACTGAAAAGTAATAAACAACTATCAAGTTAGGAATATAGGTTATTGTTGGGGAAAAGTTCCATACTCGGACGTCAATTTATCTGCTGCCAAACATATTAATTGTCACCTCACCTTGTCATTTGAACCAAGAGAAATCCAGGAAGCTGTGTTAAGGTGAAAAAAATTTACTCAAAGTGTGTTTTTAGAGCACATTTTGGATGCATACGTCGTGCAGAACTAACTTGAAGCAGCCGGTCAAAACTGATTGTAGTGGCTGAAAGACAGCGGTATGTTATACACGTGACATCAAAAACCATGACGTCGCATGAGCCTGCCAATGATAGTGCAATACGTCATTATGAATATTTATTTTCTCATGAATATTTAGTTTATTTCAATGGATACTTCAAATACGTCCAAAGATTGATTATTGCAACAGCGATCGTGCGCGGCCTAGCGGTTAAGAGTCTCGTGTATCAAGCAAGCGTCAGAGGTTCGAATCCCGATGAAGTAACTGACTGATTAATAAAAAGAAATTAAGGAAAGGAGAGGGTGAGAGTAGAGGAGGGAAAGTGGAGGAATAACCATAAAAGATGTAACTTTTGGCGCTAGAAAATTAATTGAAAAAAGTGACGTCCGAGTACGGAATTTTTTCCCATTGTTGGTTTACTTAAGTCTGGTGCATAAATATCTCAGTCACCAACTCTATCAATGACCTTATAAATCACATGAAAGCTGTGAAACACATGGGCCAGACCATGGCCAGACTCACATGTAGGCTACATGTACATGTGCGCGCGCATGGTCATATGGATTGTGCATCCTGCGCCGGTGACTTTCTCACATGCGAATCATTTCATGGCGCGGCGCTTTAGTGTGTTAGCCGGTCGCGAAATTTTACATCAAGATATATTTCAAATCCTACTATTCTTTCAATGAAGAAAGGTATAATTATGGACCCACCTTCCCCGACACTTGCAAGCTTCGGCGCCGTTACTTCGGCAGGTGAAATTTGTGATACATTTTCTAATGACGGTGTCGGTGCCGGTGCAACTTCGCCTTCACATCGGGCCGTCGTGGTGAACGGGCTCGAAAAATGGTTACGTTTAACGGTGTCAAATAATGACGAAAACATCTTGATTCTGAAAACGCAACAGATATTAAGGAAGAATGAATCAGAAACGTCAATTATATGCAAACTATTTTCTAACACTTTCCCATAAAATCAAGTTATTTCATATTTTTTGAAGATGCGTTGTACAAAACTTACCGGCGTCAATCGCGTGGATTTCCTAAGAACATGGAAGGAACGTGACGTAATTCCATGACGTAAAAATTTGCGATGATGCCATTGGCTGAAACGCTTGTTCTCCCCCCCATACATATTTTGCATATCCTCGATCGAAGTATTTCATCAATAATTATAAGATTTATTTCTAGAAAATTGAATGCATCTTGGCCAATAAACTAATTCAAGTAATTACAAAAATAATAACAACATATTTCTGAGGTAATAAAACAACAATATTGCCTTTCATTTATGATGCGGGTGGTAAGCGTAGAATGTCCAATGTGACGTCTGGGTACCAGTTCGTCGCAAGCGATGGTATCGATTAAATAAAACTCGATACTTGTAAAGTCGATATTAATAAATGGTTCTTTGGCAGAATTATTAAAATAATTTGTTCATCACTTCAAAGTGAAATGAAACACACACAAAAGTAAATTTTCCTCCTTTTTGGGGGTAGGCTGAAGCTGGAATGTGGGACAAGAGTTTTAGATTGGGCGAGCTGATAAGTTGTGAGTTTATGGCAGGCATCCATATGGAGGAGTAACTAAGGATTCAATTTGCATGGGCGCCTGTTTTGAGGGGAAGGGGAGGGGCCGTCAATATCTGGTGTGGAGCACCCAATATTCGGTAGTTGTTTTTGACAAATCAAAGCTCTTTCTTTCTCCATTTTTTAAGCGGGAGGTTGTGGACATGCGCCCGTGCCCCTTCCAGTTTTTTGCTCGTTTGTATTGGTAAATGGTCAGTAGGAATTTGCGCTTCCCGCCACAGTGCCGAAAGTTGCTGATCCTTGGAGCTAGTCTGGGCATATCACCCGTTGTCGTATCCAACAATTCCAAAGACGAATTGGAGACAGGCTAGCTGTAAGCGAAAATCGTAGGGTTTCTCAAAGTTACAAAATGGACAAAAATCAAAAAAAAAATGTATCATTTGGTATACAAGTCCCTCTTCAACCCGACTCTTAACACCCATCCCGTTAAAAAAAGCAATACGAGGGTCGTTGGACATTTAGCAATGACGCACGGGCTAAAACGCCCAAAAAAATTCGACCAATAGCCAAAGGTGTTTTTTTTTTACAGGCAGACGCCAATGGACTAAGGAAATGCAAATTTCCACCTACCGCATTCATGATAATCCGAGGATATTTCATTTGCTTCGAATTGGAAAACCAGTGGTGTCGATTTTTATGGAGATGCTTACTTATTGACAATTTTAGTAACCACAGAAATTGGGTACTCTTTTCATGAGATAAACATGTTTCACCATTTTGCTTCTTCTTTTATTTTTTTAGGAAAACGTCAGCACCCACAACCTCGTACTACAATTTTACGAACGAAAACGAAATGGGAGCCACTTTTCTGGATTCCCCCCCCCCCATATATCTGCCACGAGCAAATGGTTAAGAATAATGTTAAGTTTGGCATTCTTTTACCCGGCGCAGGCAGTTAATTAACACTAACCAGCTAAACATTTACGTTCAAATCACCCGGGAGTGTAACAATCCTGGGTATATGGGGGGGGGGGGGGGGGGGGGGGGGGGAGGGGGGTGCCTGTGTACAAACAGGACCGATTCTTCACAAGCGTTGCCGGTTAATGGCCAATGCTCAGTATCCGTACCGCCCATGACAGGAGGGCGGGCCGGTGGAAAAGACTCACCCTGAACTTAAGCAATAAGTAGAAAACGTGAGGGGGAAAAGGGTAGGGCCAACTGAATATTTATAAGAAGTTGTTGCGATCCGGCCGAATTAGACACTGCATGTCGCGCCCGAAACACCCCCCCCCCCCGGTGAAAATTCCTGCTTTAACACTTGGGAATAGTGACATGAAAACAAATTCAATAGACTGAACTGAAGGGACAAGATGACCGTCTACGCTCAGCAACACTCCTTCAAACTCCAGCATTTGTGGCTCCTGGGTGTACACACTCCCGAAAAAAAGGCCACCAAAAAATGACCAAAACATTATTTTCGTTCCAAGAAATAGTGGCAATCGATTCTAGTGTTTCGAATTGGACGAATATGAAAGAACCGACAATATTAGTCGGGTACCTCAACTGCATAGAGACATCAGCTGATCAGTGGCGAAGGATTTGCGGCGATTTTATCATCGTCGAGAGGTCTAAATTACGCCGACAGAATGGCTTCGTTGAAGTGCTTGAGATCGTTACGGCAGGTGATGTTGTCATGATTAAAAAACAAAATTAAGTTCTGTCCGAGTTTGCACAATTTCAACCACAATATAAGGCTCCGTGCGCGTGCGCTAGTAATAAATGCGCCACTTTGATTGTGGTAGGATGGAACGCCCTATTATCGCGGTACTTATCACGTTTCTCGTTCGGAATAGAGATTGCCCACTAACCTTCCAGAATTGTCCTGTCTTATGTGTAGTATAACTCTTCCTTTTTAAATTAATATAAAAAATCTGACGGGTGGTGTGGTTTATTCCGTGTACGATGCCTGTGCAAATAGACATGCGCGGCGTGTGCGAACGGAGGTGGACTCCCTATTATCGCGGTATGCGGGAAGTGGTTTTTACAATGATCCCAACTTTTTTGTTCATAGTTTATGTTTGACCAAAACACCCCCTGAATAAAGTCTGATATTTTCCCTGTAACGTTCAAGGTGATTAAAGACAAAATGTCTGCAGGATGATTTCTTAAGACCCTGCCCTTCCCCCGAAAGGAGAACAAAATCCCGGAGGCAAGTCTACTGATCGGCGATTGAGGGCGCCATTCACTTTACACGGTGTGCCGTTTTATTTTCGCTAACGCGCGGTGCTTATTTTGATCCCGTAAAAGTTGTTACGATTTCGCGCTGCAAATATCGTCGTTCGACTTCATTTTACATTTGCAGCTGAAGAATGGGAACCAGACAATGGAACTTTCATGGACAGAGCGCAATTAAAGATTTATGTTAAAATATAAACGGTACCTTTTAGCAGACACGGTGAGGGAAAATTTTGCAAGTTTTGGAAAACGTTAATATTTATTAAAATCGTTAAAAGTCCCGAAAGACACAACATTTTTTAATCGTCCTTTTTATACAACTTGGTAGAAAATCCTTGATGACTGGTGAACTGGATAAAAATCGCCACTTAAAGGAGTTTTGACACTGTAAAAAGAGAAATTTCCCATGCCGCGATAATAGGGATGCCGCGATAATAGGGAGTCCGAGTATACGTGCAAATCCCACACAACTTTATTAGGGGCGGGGCTCCGGGGAAGGGGGAAGTAATACATAAATAGACCCTGTGTATTTTTAAATGGCCGTCTCAGGAAATGACATGGGCAGGCTAATTTTTAAAAAAAAGAAAAAAGAAAAAAGGAGGCGGTGGCCTCCAAAAAGGAAGCGGGTGGGGACGCTAAAAATGTTTGTTTTTTTAAATTTGGTCTTAATTGATAATGATAGTTTACAAATAGGCCTATGCAAAATTGCAGGCCACATTGTTGCACAGTCATAAGTCATAAATTAGAAATAAAGGAGAATACCTAGCACTAGTGTAACTATACTGACCACATGAGGCCCAGAGGGCGATCGATTGTTTTCTCAGTATATACTATATGGTTAAATAGTTTCCCTGCTAAATTGGACTTTTTAGGTCGTGTTATCACTTTCTGATGGCTGATGAAAATTAGTGATGTCCATGCATGGAATTCTTTCAATAAAAATACCCCGCTCAAGTGAAGGAAAGCAACATTGACAAAATGTAGGTTTTTTGCCTCAAAAATAAGTCATTCCTTACGTGTAGTGCGTAGGCTATAGATGTTGTGCCCATTCTTGAAAATCACGCATTCTCGAGAATGGGCATGCACATTCTTGAGAATGTGCAACTGGATCCTTGCTCAATCTTGGCAAAAATAACTCTTCCAGATTGAGCGCACATTCTTGAGAATGCGCGACAAGATAACGGTCTTGTCGATGCCGAGCACCGGCTGCGCTTGGCAAGTCTAGCTGAATCCTCGTTCACTGATTCTCAATAATTATACTGTTGCAACGCAAGGCGCTGAAAAGTAGAGTGGATATGATAAGTAAAGGCGTATTGATATGGGGGGGGGGGACCGGGAAAAAATAAGAGACATAATAATACTAGTGCAAAGAATTCTGATTTTTGGGATAATAAAAGCGGGGGGGGGAGGGGGGGGGGACGTAAGAATGAAGAATGTGAAGAATGAGAATGAATACTGTGACATCCCATAGTGCTAATGCTATTTCCCATTTAAATTGCCACCAATTTATTGTTCACATCCCACCATAACGTCGCAGAGCTGGATTCTATCTAGTCAAAAGAGCAATTTTGGCAGCTTCTGGACATCGTTTTTTTTTCGTGGCACGCATATGATACATGCAGGGACTTGTAACTTGTCTAGCCTAAACAAAGCACTTCCCAGACTAGTTCCCAGTCCTCCGTTATTACAAAACTTCCCATAGTGGGCAGAAAAAAGCAATAATAACAGGTTTAATTTGATTCAAACTATCGTAGTTATACGAGTACAGAAGCATAGAACATTTTCTTTCCTCTTTATATGAATTGTTTCCCTTTTAACCGCTATACAATTCATTTAACATAATTATGTCGTGCAATGTTTGTTAAGATTGGGCAAAATTCATAAATTGTGCACGTGATATTCCCACCCAATCTTAAGAATGAGCGCTCATTCTTAAGAACGCGTGCTCGTTCTTAAGAATGGGCGCTCATTCTTAAGAATGCGCGCCCATTCTCGAGAATGTGCATGCCCATTCTCGAGAATGCGTGATTTTCAAGAATGGGCACAACATATACATAGTCTGCATTATGGAGGTTGGAAATTTAGATCCAGGAATTCAAAATCCTGAAGTAGGTAATTGGGAGATGAAACATTCGGTAATCCTTAATTTTACTAGGACCCCTTTCCTATATAAGGTTAAAAGACTCACCAAAACAGCTGACTATGACACTCAAAAGTGACATTCTGATATTTATTGACACATTTGAACATTTGGCAATGACACCTCTTGAATATCAGCAGGTTTAATTTTGTAGAAAGAGGGCAGGGTTTTGATTTATGAGGGGTTAAAGACGATGACAAACAGAAAATAAATTTAAAAAGCAAGATGGCGAACTGCAAAAAAAGGTAGGAAAGTCACATTTTCTTTGAAAGTGCTTTCAAAATTATAACTAACATGAGTTTGTCTGAAGAAAAAAGACTTCTTTAGCCTACAAAAGTCACTTTGGTACTGGACAGTCATCTGCAAAAGTCAGTTTTGAACAGAACTCGTACAAAATAGAGGTGTCCTAAAAGTAAGGATTACCAAACATTCATTTCATCAACATGAAGATTACTTATTAAACTCCAACGTCAAATTCTTTTCAGGTTGTCTCCAATGCCTTGGCGACGAGAAGTATCACAACATCAGCGCCAGCTGCTGCACAGCAGGTATTCAACAATTGTTACTATTGTCACGCTTGGGTCTGCAAGTATCAATGAATTTACGATCAGTTAATGTTTTAATTGAATAATTGTTTTCTTTTTTCAGTTTCTAGTAGGATATTTGTAGGGCCGTTCATCTGACAGTTTGTAAGATACTTGTAAGAATTTCAAATATGTTTTAACATAATACAAAAAAAAATTGATGCTTATCACTTTCCATTGTATCAACAATCTCAAGTCAAAGCGCTTAACAATTATTCCCCAGTTCATCAGGCCATGAGAGCACGCGGCAGCCGATATCAGCGCACATTTGGTCCTCAACCCTCACAGGTACTCATTCATACTCCTGGGCGGAGAGAAACAATTGTAGTTAAGTGTCTTGTCCAAGAGCACAAACACTGTGTTCCTGGCGGGGTTCGAACCCATGCACCATTGCACTTGAGGCAAACACCTTGGCATTCTGCTTGCACTTTTTATTCACTGCTTGCACTTTTTATTTATTCATTGATACCAGATGACAGTGCGGGATGCCTTAAACGCTGCCCTCGACGAGGAACTGGGTCGCGACGAGAAGGTGTACATCATGGGGGAAGAGGTGGCACTCTACGACGGAGCCTACAAAGTAACGCGGGGGCTGTACGAGAAGTACGGCGAGAAGAGGATACGAGATACGCCCATCACGGAGATGGGCTTTGCTGGGATAGCTGTGGGCTCGGCCATGGTAAGCAGAAGTATTTGCAAGTAGGAAAACTAGAAAAGAAAAGTTTAACCCTAAGCATCCTCAATCCTCCAAAATCCTCCAGGCGGTCTTGGAGGATTTTGGAGGATTGAAGCTGAATGGTAAAAAGTGTCGGTTGGTTTTGGAAGATGCATTGTGTCGAGTACCCTAAATTGTTTATGTTCACCCATGCATAATTGAGCCCTGCATTATGCTTGATATCATCCGCACTGCTTCTGAATGTCATCGGCACTACCTCAACCCAGTGATTGTTGGAGAATTTTGAAGGAATGAGACAATGATCACCCCTCCACTGAACAAATTCAAGAAATAACAGATTTTTATGAGGATTTAGACTGAATCCAATTTTAATGTGGTAGCAATTGAAGGATTTTGCAGGAGTGAGGTTGGTTCCAAGCCAAAAGGGCCAAGGGGGTTAGGGTTAATGTCGCTGTGCTGCAGTGTTGTGAGGAGTCACCGAACTTGGTGATTCGAGCCGAGTCAAGTCATTTTAATACAGCCACTGGAGTCGAGTCAAGTCATTTGGTCAACAAGGTGGGGTCGAGTCGAGTCAAGTCGAGTCAAATGTTTGCCTGTGTCAATCTGAGTCGCTGACAGTTGAACACCATCTAATGAAGTTTCACATACTGAGACAGAGACTGAGTTAGGCTTCAGCATGTTTGTTTTGATTTGGATGCACTTGACTTGAAGTAGGCTAATTATGCAAGTAAGTTTGTAACGTTCGTAAGTCACTAATATTTTTCACTAATATTTTTCATACTTTGACTAGAGTCGACTCAAGGCTTTTGATGAGAGACTCGAGTCACTTGCTCGCACAGACTCGAGCCAAATCATTGCCAAAAATGTCTCAAGTCGGACTATTGACTCGTGCCATTACAACTCTGCTATATTTACTTTTTTTTCAACTTAGCTGGGCACCTCACTTCATTGACAATGGCTTATTTTTGTTTGTCGCCCTCTATAGGCTGGGCTCAGACCCATCTGTGAGTTCATGACCTTCAACTTCGCCATGCAAGCCATCGATCAGGTCATCAACTCGGCCGCCAAGTCTCACTACATGTCAGCGGGCCAGGTTAGTCTTCATGTTACTCCTCTGATCCATTTTGTCTTTTCAAAGACATCGCCCAAACACGACACAAGAGCCATTCAAAGATACCGGTAACAATGCAAAAGAATAGGGAAAAATCGAAGAATTCATACTGTTAGATGGTATCTGTTCACATTTCATGTGAGTTGTGGAAGTTATATAGGTAGAAGGGAAATAAGATTCCAGAAGGGTGTTCCTGCAGTAGGAAGAGAGGCTGCACAGTGTGAGAAAAAAAACCCCTGTTGCTGTCTGTGCTTCACTCAAATTGAAATTCAAGGAGTTTGGCAAATTTGAGAACTCTTTGAGACATGAGTGGAAATAATTGCACAAAGGAAAACAAGAAAAAGTGTGTTTCAATGTTTTATTGAAGTGCATGAGTTTTTTCAACATTCTCACAAATGGTTGAAACAGTTCTTTATAAATCTCTGTGCCTAGAGGTCAAAGGATGGTTGCAGAGAGGTCGTTCTCTTTCTGTGCCCCTAGATTGTGGAATTACCTCCGAGCAACCATCAGATTGGATCCTAAACCACAAGTCATCACAAGTCCATCAAGCCACTTGTCACAAGTACATCACAAGTCTTGTCGCAAGTCAATTGATAGACAATTCACAAGTAACAGGATGAACAATAACAAAGGAATGTTTTGGCACAGTTTACTTGAATAGCTTGTGACTTGAGTCGTGATGTACGTATGACGATTTGGGATCCATCACAATCATCTCACGACAACACTGGCTATGTGATCACACTCCTCAAGCACATACATTCGTGAATTTCTATACGCCCGAGGACAATGCTTTGTGTTTCCCTTTGTCCCTGTAATATAACACACTCTCATAGAAGCACATAACTGTACGATCGAGGACAGCTTTCAACAAAAGACCCAACGCTCGAGGACTGAAAGGATCTTTTGTTCTCCCTTTGTGTGTCTGTCCGCTATCATAAAGCCATACATGTACAAGTATTCAATTTCAATTTTGTCCCAAAAGGTGACCGTACCAATCGTCTTCCGCGGACCCAATGGTGCCGCGTCCGGCGTAGCGGCCCAGCACTCCCAGTGTTTCGCGGCGTGGTACGGCCACTGCCCTGGCTTGAAGGTTGTCAGTCCTTATTCCTCAGAGGATGCCAAGGGACTCCTCAAGACAGCAATCAGGGACGACAATCCAGGTACAAAACGCTGGGGTCAACTCTAACATTTCTAGATCCCTCAAAATGCACCAGGAGGTTGTGGAATATTATTTTGCAGGATTGAGGAAGGTGGAGTCCAGTCACTAAATAATAATAATTTGGGGGCTGATCATCCTGAGAAGCTGAATTGTGAAAAGGAAAAGGACGCGGCTACAACGTGGAATGTATCAAGGAGTGTGCCTTTAGGATTTTGCATTTCTGCACAGTGCATGGTGAATTTGAGAAGATTCAGAAAAGACAAAGTTCATAGGGAGTTAGGGTTAATATTTTTGAACAGAAGTGTGAATGTGGTTGGTAGGCCAGCATGTGACATTGAAGAAGTCCAAGTAATGGCACAACTAGGGGGAGGATGGGGGAGGTATGAGGTGGGGTATTTGGCACCCAGCTAAAGGCAGTTTCCCATGTGACCTAAAAAAAACCCTTATTATCATTTTTTCATGCATGAGAAAGGAAGAGGTTTTTCCTCCCGTTTCTTTACACTATGAGAAGAGCTAAAATCGCTCTGTTGGCATTGTGTACAGCAAGCCAGCAGTTGTGCATATGATGCCGACATATTTTTCTGTGATGTTCACATGCACATCCATGATGCAATGCAGGCTCCAGGCATATACCGTTTGTGCAATAACTTGTTACTTAACCTCTCTAAAATAACATCGCGAAAAAAACGTCCTTTGTTTTTCCAGTTGTTGTACTTGAGAACGAGCTGCTTTACGGCACGGCCTTTGACATGTCGGATGAAGCCATGCGAGACGATTTCCTGGTCCCCATCGGCAAGGCTAAGATCGAGAAGGAAGGAACGGACGTGACCCTAGTGGCTCACAGTATGAGCGTGCAACGGTGTCTGGAAGCAGCTCAGCAGCTGCAGTCAGAGGGGGTCTCTGCTGAGGTAAGAATGATCAATCCAAAAAGAAAACCAAAACCTCCCCAAGTAACAAACCCAAAACCAAAACCCCCAACCACCCCCCCCCCCATCCCCCAACCATCAACTGGACACAATCCTGCCCATTTTGTTCACTGTGATATTGGTGGCTATCTGAAGAAAGGTCAGTCAGAAAAGATAGAAACTGCAGGTCTGAGATCCAGAAAAGGCAGAGTTAAGAAGATTCAGGATGAATAACAGTTCATGCTTCAACAATTGTAATGATAGAAACAGGAAAACGCACTCCAACATTGAGCTTTTGGCTTCGTTCCGTCCCATGAACTGCAGGTGATCAACATGCGTACCATCAGGCCAATGGATGAAGAGGCTATTGTGAAATCCGTCAAGAAAACCAACCACCTGGTGTCTGTGGAGGGTGGCTGGCCGCAGTTTGGTGTCGGGGCAGAAATACTGGCCAGAGTCATGGAGAGTAAGTCACAAAAGCTAACTTTTCATTTCGTAGTTTTCATTTTCCAGAATAACTTTTATATTTCAGAACTGTTAAAAAATTACAGCGTTGCCTTGTACTCATGGCTTAAGCCTGCAGCACACAAGAGCTACATGCTAAGCAAAAAGTCATTCGAGGTCATTTGCTCAGAACGTAGCTCACAAAATATCCCCGTGTGCGGTCAATTTTGGCTGAGTTTTCTGCCTCGCAAGGCCGTGAGGCAAATGTCTATCCCGTGTGCGGTCAACCTGAGCTACGTGCTCATACGTTCACATGATTTTATGATATTGTTTTGCAATTTCTCCCAACGCCTGCTGGCGTTTGTCCCCATTTTTAATATGCAACCGACAAACAAGGATAATCTGGCCACAACTCAACAAGGTTGCCCTCTAAAATATAGTCTCTGACACAGTGTCCACACAGTGTTTTCCACTTACTAATAAAAACAGTGTTTAAGGCATTTTGAGGTTTATCTGTAGCAAAATGAAGTAGAACGTTGAAGGAAATTGTTTTCAGTGAAAGTGGCAACGTTTGGAAACGGGTTATTTCTTTCCATGAGAACAAAGGAATGTCCAACAATTGTATGTACCTTAAACGTGTATGTGATTGTTTGGTCATTCACATAAACTATCAAGTACAGATGATTATAACATAACACAAAGTCAGTCGTTGGAAAGTTGAATGAAAAGTGGCAACATGTAATGGCACTTTGTATTTTGAATTCAAAAAGTTGATGTCATTTGAAGTTGCATTTCTCTTTCCCTATCAGGTGAAGCCTTTGACTACCTAGATGCCCCAGCTGTGCGTGTGACTGGTGCCGACGTTCCCATGCCCTACGCTGCCTCATTGGAACAGGCCAGCTTAGCGACGGCAGCAAACATAGTCAACACGGTCAAAAGATTGCTGCTGGTTGAAAACAAGCAATCCGTGCAACACTGACACTAAACAGGGTTTATAAGAAAGTGTTTTATATTGAAATTTGTTAACTAAGATGCCAGAATATAATCTCTGTGCCCAGATGACCTCCAGATGTATCAAAAGTCCGCCCAGAGGTTTTGAAGAGTTTCAAAGGATTTGGGATGGTACAACTCTGCTATTAAACTTAAATATAATGGATGTCTCTGAGGGTGTTCTTTATTATAATTTAATAACAATAAATGCACCAAAGGTATGCTAATGCTTACGCTAATGATACTATAGGTTTTCCCGGCTATTTTAAAACATTTTTTCATTCAAATTCACCAACTCTAACATTCCATTTCGTTTGGGAAAAATTTCACACGCTTTTACAAAGACCAATGTAGTAATTTACCATTCAATTTCAAAGTTTAGTCACCCTCTGTAGTCACCGGGGCGAGACTATTCGTCATTGCAGATCACATTCGTCTAAGCTGTTGCCGAATGACAGCATTCAGAGAACGAATTCGTCTTACATGTATATAAATCAATTAGACAAATTTGATTTCTGATTACCGTGTTTAGCGTAGATGAGACAAAATCGAATACCCCGGGATGAAAACGGGTGCTTATTGTTTGAATTTGCTTGAACTGAATTTGAAATTGTCTGACAAAAGACGAAAATTAAACATTGGAAGTGCACTAAATCGATGTTGATTGACAAATTTGAATATTAGAAACAGTAAATTTGAATGACAAACGTTTTAAAATAGCCAGGAAACCTATATTACTCGTCCTGCGAGCATGAGTGGAACAGGGAATAATGTAATGCGTCTGTGTCCCACATGGCATGTGGGACGCAGACGCACTACATTTTTCGTGTTCCACGAGCGCGATTTTATGAATGACTATTAGTGCTAGTGCTGACATTTCAGTTGGTTATGTGCATGAATTTGTAGGCGTGACTGAGCCTTTGTGTAGCAATACAATGTGTGACTCTACCCGTCAGAAAATATAACTATATCTAATAATACAGAGAGGGTTAATTTGTTTGCACTGATTATAGTTTACCACTGTTTAATTAGTCCTATTTCATATTTAATTTACTGTTGTATATAGTACAAGATCTGAATAAGTATAGATATATTGACCCTGGTCAATACCAATTGAATGCGTTTGAATTAAAATGAAAAAATAAATTGGACTTACAATTTACATGGCTGTAGTTTGTCGTGTTATGTTTGAAAAGAGTAAATGGTTGAGCCAAGTGTCTGCTTTGTAGATGTAGATGTTGGCAACTTTCAGATGTGATACTCACTGCACTAATGTGCAAAGGCTTTCTGTTGAAAATATTGCTTGCAGATTTTGTGAAAGTACCTCCCCCCCCCCCCCCCCCCAGCAGGTGAACGTTTGGGGAAACCAGAATGGACATCTTGAATGCATTGCCAACAGCTCCTGATGGTAGTGTGAAGACAATACATGTTTGTGACCATTCACAATATAATTAGTTACGCGTACTTCACGCTATATATGCGGGAACCTGTCGGTGCATGTGCCCCATCTCCCCCACTGCATGCACTGGAGCTCTCATGAGTGGGGACACAGCGCCAACTACTGTTCATGCAGTGTCCATATAGCCAGAGGTTCATAGCTGCCCACAGTGTCAACATGATGTGCCGTTGATCAAGCATAGATAAATCTGGACATGTGAGGCCCCCTTCAATGGAGAAACCATTGTGCATGCTATTGTACGAAAGCAACTGCCTCATGACCGATTACCTGAACAATAGATCTCTCTCAAATGACGCCACTGCCAACAGACTGCCGTGTGCATCGGCATTTTGGGAGTCGAATTTTCGTGGTGTGCATTGGCTGTGCCGTATTTTGAGCAACATGCGGCGTTTATAACATTTTGCACACTGTGATCTGATACACCGTCCCTCTGGAGACATGCACACAGTAGGGAACAAAAGATTGTATACGTCTCCACAGGGCAATTTTTATGGATGAATACGTCTCCACAAGTTTTTAAGAAATAGATATATGGATTTTACTCAAAAAACTAGGAATTTCCAAGGTATGTTAATCTGTCGCAAGTGGTAGAGTTTTAGAAAAGGGATATTAAGTCTGAATCTCAGTCAAGGAAATTAATTCTGGTTAAAATAAGAGCATTTTGAAACTGTACTTTCAAACTCGAAAACTTTAGTACACGAGAACAAAGAAATGTCTCCACAAGGATACAAATTTCGCCATTAGAGGGGCCTCAGTTCTGAAGTTATGCGCAGAGCCAATAGTTTACTTTGACCAAGGTTCTCATGGGATCCCTTTAACAGCCTTCTAAAAAGTGCAATGCAAACGGAAAAGACTGCACAAAAAATTCAAGATTTTTGGTAATAAAGAACGTCTGCTTTCGTTTAATTATAGATCTGTGTTTACAATATTGCTAAACTTTTCATAGATTTTGATCTCTTCAATTTAGACAGTAATAATAATAATTTTGTGTATTTTCGAACTATTTACGAAGAAAATAAAAGAAATGCGTAATAGCTTTGTGTGAAAGAGGTGGGAGCTGAAATAAAACTGAACAAGTTAATAAAACAAATGACAATAAAAAAAACAACCAAATTATTGGTTTTTCTGCGAAAGAATTCTACATTTCTACCTTAAACAAAAGACTCGCAGATCATAAATTAACTACCTTACCAAACTGAATTGCAAGAATGATTTCTTGACACTTATAAGATTTGGCATGAACCCCTAAAAAAACACCCTTCATATTTGTTTCCTCTCAAATGAAATAAAAATATAACAATAACAAAAAAACACCGATATTCGTTTAATGTCAAAACACATTCTGTGGCACAGAAGTTTGCTTTGTTGTCCATTGCTGAATAAATGGATGTTTTTTTTGTTTTCAGTTTTATAATCAGCCAAGCAAATAAAAGTGAGAGATTCACAGGGGATGGACAAATTATTTGTAACATTTTTTAACTTACAAAAAGGAAAAACTGTGGACAAAATTTAATTGTTTACGTATAAAGACGAGTGATCTGCCAGGCATACCAGCCATTTTGCAAATAAATGTACTTGGAAAATCTCCAAAAATTCTAATCTGGAAGAAATTTCTAAAAATGTAAACGTCTACACGGCAGATGAAAAAACTTAAAAAGATATGTCTCTTCTTGTCAAGCGTACAATGTGCAAAAATGGGAATGAATTTCGAATAAACGTATTATTTAAGCTTATTTTCTGTACAATCAATATGTTATTTTTTTTGTTGCTAATATCTTTAAAATTTCTCATTTAGCAACTTTATCTCTCTTTTTTTTGTAAAATAAAAAACCCAGATCATAAAAATATTATTTACATGAAATTTCTGTACAATTTCTGCCTAAGCCTTCATATGTAACATCAATGTGTATCTTTGAAATATGGATTAACTACAGTGGCTTGGATAGGACATTACAGCTGTGGTCAATGTGATATGTGTGGAAAACAGAATGCAACTAGTGGCGGGAGAAATATAAGATTTCAAAATCCGGTTCCATTTTTTTCTTTCTTGCAAATTCACGGGAAATTTCCATTTAGTTCACAGTCATGCAAACAAAAAGTTATGAGTGAGATGCCGGTCGCATGCAATGCCCTTTAGAGCTGTGCATGTCATGGTGAAAAAATGGATGGGAACTTTCTGATCAGTCACATTAGCAGGGTATTCATGAATCAAGAAGACCACAAGAGAGTGAATGCGATTACGATCAGAGACAATGGAGCAACTTGGGAGATACACTCAACCAAAAAAAAAAGTTCCTCCTCTAACTCTTTTTGGTCTAACTCAAAAACTACTGCGCACATCTTGTTCAAAATTACAACTTTTCGGTACAGGCATTCCTTAGCAATTCAGCCATACTCTTTATTTGGGCCAAAACAGTGACAATGTGTACAAACTTATGCAATTTATGACAAATGCTACCGGAAAAAAATTGCACTTTTGTATACGTGCAAGGCGAGTGTGAACCACAACTCATACAAAAGTGCAACTGTTTTCAGTGTCATTTGTCATAAATTGCATAATTTAGTAAACATTATCACTGTTTTGGGCCAAATAAAGAGTATGGCTGGATTGCTAAGGAATTTCTGTACCGATTAGTTGTTATTTGAGCAAGAGGTGCTCAGTAGTTTTTTAGTTTGACCCAAAAGTATTGGAAGGGGGGACTTTCTTTTTTGGTTGAGTGTATGTTCCACTTGTTTTCTTTAGCCTGTGTCACAAAAAAATAGATGTCTTATTTTTTTCAAGGTTGGTTTCGGATATCCAGTTTCCAAATCAAAACCCAAAATCCACACAAATTTGGATATTTATCCCAGCACTAACGACTATTAAAGAAAAATGTATATGCTCACATATATTCCAGAATGACATCACGACCCATCTCAAAGGAAGTCATACAGGCATGTCACAATGTAGAAAACAAATTCTCACCTGTTTGTCCCTTCTGGGCCACCATAAATTACTACAACAAATGGCAATGTTTTTGAAAACTAAACAATTTTTCCCTTTTAGTAAACAACTATAATTTTAATCTAATGAGTTTACCTAAACTTGGCCCTAGCCTCCTTGAAATGGATAATCACCCTCTACAATCAATTCAAATATATGGTTTTTTATTCATTTTACGCATTATTTACAATGAAAGCCATTCATACCATGCTGTATTACATGTCCTCTATTCCAGTATTACATTATTACTATTAACAAGGCACTCCAAAATATTTCACTCGCAGTTACTTTAAAATTTCCACGTGAAAGAAAAATACAAGTTTTGCTGGAATGTGATTTAAAAAAAAAAAAGAATTGATTATTGAAACAAACTTTAGGGGTTGGCAAATATATCTTCTTGCAGTTGTGGACTTTTTCATACATAAATGGAAAATTGAACTTTTTTCCTCCTACATTGTACTTTTTTTCATGACTTTACAGGAGTGTAAATTCTCAATTTTTGTTTTAGCTTTAAATTTGCTCTTCCTGTGTCCTTCAAAATTGTTAAATATTTTTTTTAATATTCTTTAGTTGGTCTGCAACCCTTTTGCTTTTGGGAAAAATTGTTGTCGAGTTGCAAATCATTTGAGATTTGAGATCTAATTCATCCATAAACAAGTAAACATGGGCAATTTTTTTTCATTCAACTGTGAATAACTTTTGTATTCAATATTAGGTTTTGTCCGTCATCGACGTATAAACGCTGCATACTCAAAACCTAATATTGATTTACATCACCCCGATGCAACTTCCATCTTATGAATAACTATTGTATTGATTGCAAAAACAACAACATATTTTTATATATTTTTTTTTTTCGGGGCGCAAGTTGAAAAATAGGACAGGGACAACAACGTTAACCCTGTGGTGCACAGATTATTTGAATATTAAAGATGCACAGATTGTAACTTTTATTTTTGGCGGTTGCTAGTGACCGCCCAGCACCCGATTTCACGAAGCGCTGCGACGCGTCGCAACCCAAGTTACGACGTGTAAAATGTCGCAACTCGCGACGCGTCATATGATCCATTTCACGAAACTTGCGATGTGTTCAATACGTCGTAAGTTCCTTGACCATGGCTTAAAACACGTCGCAAGTTAACACGTGTCTAGTGGTCATCGCAAAATAAGAAGAGTCCTTTTCTTAGCCAGTTTTATGGCATAAACATTACATAAATGAGATTATAATACCGAGACAATCATAGTTGTAAATAGAAAATTCATTGAATACTTATGAATTAGCCTGGAATATTGCAGTTGAAATTTCTAAGTTACTATACAGTTCACTGAGAGTTTGTTTTCCTTTACGTCCGCCATTTTTTTTTTACCTTTTAAAAACTTTTCGAGAGGAGATCCGACAACTCTTTGTTGAATATCAGACGACTATTTACTGTACGCTGAATAAATACAAAAAACAGTCACCGAGTTGTCCTATAAATACACCTAGGACGTGTCGCACTTATGACGTGTTTTGTGAAATGGATCGTAGGACATGTCACAGCTGCAAACGCATCATAGGGATACGACGCGTCGCAGTGCTGCGATGCATCATAAGTTACGGTGAGTTTCATGAAATCGGGCACTGAACATCAAAGGGTTCAGATTCAATCAAGTCTGGAAAGACTTGCGTATTCTTTTCGTAGTCAAAGTGCTAAGGATTGAAGATCCAGCAGAGCTGGGCTTGGCACGAGTTCCTCTCTCGCTGACGTCGGGCTCACACCCTCGGCCCGCTGCAATCCTTGGTGTCCGTCTTCTTGAGGGCGCCCTTGGTAAAGCCTTGAATGGAGCTCAGCAAGGCCCCTCTTTCGCCGGCGGGCGCCGGTCTCGGGGCCGGGGATGCTTGGGACGGGGCGCCGGGGGGTGGGGGGGCTACTGGAGGGGGTGGAGACTGCGGAGGTGGGGGAACTGCAAAAAACAAGGAATCACGAAAAAATAAAAGAAATACAAAGTATGCAATGCATGTTGGAGATTTGAAGGTAAGGAAACTGCATTGTTAATAGAATTCAGTGTCCCACATAAATTATTCATATTTGGTTTTGCCTTTTGCTGAAGTGCATGTTATAAAGGACTGTAAGTTAGTTTAATGCTTTGGAATTAAATAAACCCACACAGCCAAAATTAGACTCTGTACAGAGTATACTCAATATAGGAAATGACAAAATGGCAGCTCACATTTATAAAATGAAAGGAAGTTAAAGGAGGAAATATAGAAAGAAATCAAATCTGAGGACAAGGGAAGGAAAAGTACAAAAGTACATGCATACAACAAGACGATGCAGACTGCATAAAATTTAAAAAGAAAGAAAAAATAAATTGCAAACGCAATTCATCAGGTTGCAGCTCTGATGTCTTTTGTTTGTTTCACAAAAGCCGCACTACTGTCTACAGCAAAAATTACCGCAAAACAACAAATGCTGACACACTGGTGGAAATAATAACATTGGAATTCACAACAGATGCAGCTGCAAAAAAAATATATAAATAAATGAATAAATTACTATTAAACAGTTAGCCGCTGTGAAAACAATGGCACAAAAATGAGCAGGCAGTGCAGTGCTACAAACAGAATGTTGTCAATTCTTTCCCCTGATGTCGAAAAAAGAAACCTCAAGTGCAGTTAGTCCCCAAATTTTAATCCTTCAATAATACAAACGGAAATTCAACTCTCGGCTCTCAGCCACAGATACTTTTACCACCGAATGACACCAAGTACGTTTGTGTTAATTTTTTTAACAGTAGTACAGGCAAGATTTGAAGGTTTGCATGGTGAAGATAGCAGTAAGATAAAGATGGTAGCACCATGTGGCAAATCTCTTTTGTGAGTTTTCAAGGTGCTGAAGAGAAACGGGGGAAACTCAACGTTTCGGACAGAATACTCTAGGCCATCATCAGAGACAAAGAACCAATTGAACCTCTTGTTAAAATGAAAACAAAGATTAACAAAAGAGATAAATAAACAAGAGGAGGGAGGAGTTATGTCCACCAACAAAGGGAGGTGACATCAACAGAAAGCAACTAAACTGCATGTGGCAGTATTAGTACCACTAATGTGACGAAGGGTATTTCAATTTTTACATTAGTACCACTGGATTCCAATATATTTCATTCACACATACCTATCTTTCAATTAATTAGGTATCACACCATGAAGAGATTATTGGGGAAAAAACTGTTAAGGTATCTAAGAACTACACTAAGAACTACAAGAATGCCAGGACACGTTAGAACGTGAATTCTCCACAGGTCGTAATGATCTGTAAAATTGTAACCAAGGTATTAAAAGTTCCTGTGATAAATTTGTTGGCCAAAAAAAGCTATTGGCACAGACCTCATCGTTTGCCACGAAGCAACAGTTTCTGACAGCAAATTTCCACAAGGGGCCATATCGTCACCGTTTTCAAGAAGAGCAACATATGTCCAAAATTACCATTTTTCTGATTTTTATTTTTTTCAATATTTTGCTTTAAAACAATATACTTAACCATTTTGACATGTTTCTGTAAGCAAAACATCATTAATTTCCGAGTTACATTAATGTTGCAAGGGGCAAAAATCTCGATAAATGCATTTTGCGTTTTCACGAAGAGCCACATACATTTTGGCCCTTTGAACGCGTACAAAACCCATTGAACTGAAATACGTAAAAGTAGGTCAAATGAGATTTACGTTTTCACGAAGAGCCACATATCTTTGTTAAATTTTCAGCTGCGCGCACGTACTCACGCGCGCCTATGGAAATACACGTTGAACAGAAAGGGCCAATATGTCGGAAACCTGAATTTGTGTTTTCACGAAGAGCCACATATCTTTACTAATTAATTTTCACCAATTAACTGCTGTATTAAGTCTTGTTACTGGGTTTATGTAAAAATTCAGCTCTCATAGAATCGTGTGATGGTTTCCTTGCTGCACAAAGTGGTTGCAAAGTGGTATTTTTGGCAGTTTTAAAATATGAGAAACTTCTTTTGCGATTATCTCGAAAACGCTTTTTCTTCCAAATCCACATATGTGGCTCTTCGTGAATATGGTGACGATATAAGGGCCTTTTTTTTTTAAACTTTCCAAAAACTCTTGCGTTGAACCCCTTTGACAGTAGCAAGAATCCAAAATGGCTTCTACACGCGGTGCTCTACACCGGTAAAATCCAACCCTTGTCGGTACCAGGGTTGAGTGGATCTACCCCGGGTAGAAAATCAAGCCAACAGGTGTAGTCACACCGGTATAAATGTGAACGGTACACCTTGCCTACCAGTATTCGTTGGGACCCGGTTCTGCTTACAGTTGATTCATGTTAATGTCAACACAGGTAGGTGAGATGGGGCCATATCATAAGTCCGACGCCTCATAGGTCCTACGCCTCATAAGTCCGAAATTTCGGACTTATGAGGCATCGGACCTATGAGGCGTCAGACTTTTGGGCCTTTGTTTGATTGGGGGATGCGATTTTGTCGGACTTATGAGGCGTCGAACCTATGAGGCATCAGACTTATAGATTATAGATTATAGTGTGAAAAGGCCTATACATGGACAGGCCGAAAGATTAAAGAAGTGACTTTTTTATATTACAGTGCAATACAAACTGACCCACTGTCTGAAAAAAATTCTTGCATCCAGTACATATCCAAGACAAAAAGATAAACAAGAAATTGAACCACTGTCCCAATGAGTGAAATGCGCATGAATCCAATGGCAAATCCAACGCCACAATCTATGTGACATATGCAATATGAACGATTAGTGGAACTCTAAAGATTGAAAAGAATAAAGCCAAACATCAATTGCCAAAAAAAAATGCCAACTAGGTTAACACAAGGTGGTGACGCCAGAACAGAGCATGCATCTAGAGCTATTTGTGAACACAAAAATAATCAAAAGTGCAGAATTTAAGAAGATGATCAGGGTATCCACTGATATTCAGAAAAACAAACTATTCCCAGAATTTTCCTCAAGTTTTTGACCGATCCCTCACAACTTCCAGTCACCAAAAGTAAAAACTTCTGTTGATTTCTGAAGGCAGTGGGAACCCTGGGGGCGAATACTACTGTCTTATTTGTATGCACACACCTACACACACGCTCATACTCATGGCTGGCGAGACTGGTCCGGGAAGAACTTAGGTCTTTGCGCTCGCCTCTGGAAATAAAACAGTTGGGTGGAAGACATGAGTTAATGAACGAAGTGATCGTGACAATCCAATGGTTCGAAAAGGCTCCCAATGCATGTGCAATAATGTGATCAAATGATTTATTCGGTTACATTTTTCGGTTCGTAAAATCAAAAATGAATTTTGGAGAAAATGAAAGCGTCCTATCAAGATGCTCGAGATCAAAAGCAAAAGAACAAAATTCTCAAGCCAAAACCTCAAAAAATTTGGATAAACAAAAAGACATGTTCTGACATTCTTTCAGAAAATGCTGAAGATGCACCCAAACAAAATCTGGACTAAGCCGTTGATTGGTCAATTTGGATGCCATGTTTTTGTAATACAACTTAACGGGCATAGAGATCTAATAAATCCGACACTGGCTTTCAAAGTGGGTTACCGAAGACCTGATATAGAAGGCGCCCGCTGAATGGTCAGAACCTCGAGGTCAAGATGCAGTCTAGTTGCATAATTAATCACTGAATCTGCTCGCATATCATTGACCCTTGTTCCATAGACTATCCCGTTATGTGGCTAGGATTGAAAAAAAGTAAAGGTCCTCAATGTACCACAATGGCTCAGCACTGAGAATCTTGGCCCTGAAGCAAAGTGGAAATTTGTCCATTAAAAATAACCAGTCTATAGAAATGATCTGCATTCTAGAAAAAGACTTGCATGCGCTGTAAACAATTCAACTGCCAACTGTCTTGTTTTGTTCCGTTCATCACAGATATCTGTCATAGCAACTTCATATGTTCCATCATTTGGAAGTAGTACAAATGCTACCATTTTGAAGCATTGCAAAGTTAGAATAGGCCTACATGTCTGTAGGACAGAGGATACAAAGATTTCAACCCGTACAATTCAAACCCAAAATGCAAACTAAAAAAAATAAACCACAATGCAATGGCATGCCGTAGAAAAATTATCACACAAACTCTCGGAGAAAGGAATCTGGTGGATTTGTTTGTTTGTTGTTTTGTGTGTGATGTTTGTTAGGCAGTCACATCCAGTCTCACCTATGTTTACGTTTCCTGCGAGGTTTACGATGGAATTTCACTACAAAATAATGCAAAATTGGTAGCAAAATGTTGGAGGAAGCATATCTTGATCCTTTTCTGAGTTGTCAGTAAAGTTCCTCACTGAACAAAATAAGGTAAGTCTTGAAAAAATGAAATTAAGAACAATTTATCAATTACAATTGGTTCCCATCCTGCTAGTAGGTTAAAACACGGATCCTACACACAAGGATTAACAACTCGGCCAAACTCCTGGTTAGATGCGTGATAACGGCTCGTACTGGTGGCAAATACGATGAATACTTGTCAACAAAGACCCCTGCGGGCGGTGGCTTTCAGATTTGCAGGGCTCTGCGCCCGATCTGGTGTTGAAGTCTGTCAAGCCAGCTAATTATCTTTTTGAAATATTCATGAGTCCACGTTTTTGGTCTTTTATTATTGAATTCTGATATAAAGTGATATCTACATAACCATGGTAATGCCGAGCACAATATCTTTAGCTTTAAAATGAACTATATGAAATGTCGCTTTTGTTTCATCGGTTCGGGATCACATCTCTCTAATACTTTTTAGTGAGAGCCTAATTAAAAATGAAATTTGGGTAAATGGTGTTCTCCTCGAAATTTGACGGTTATTTCCTGGGTAAATACTTCATCTATGACGACAAAAACTGCACAATACCATCTGTTATATCCCAAAGTATTTATTTTTTAACAATTTTGGAACAATTATATCTTATGAAAGGAGTAGTTTTGCTGACAGTTTTTATGAATATTTCCGTTTTAGATGTCGTGCAAAAAACCTGACACAATGGCACACCTGGAAAATTCACGATTATGCGCCAACGGTCATCTAACCAATTAAGGCAAGTCCGCTAAGTACATTTTGTACTAGAGCTCAGAACAGTCGTTTATCCGTGTGTGTAGGATCCGTGGTTAAAGCCCTCGACAGTTATAGAATGCTCACTGCAAAATACTCCAGCGTACCCCAGATTTTGCACTATGCGTGCGACTTTGACAGGCATGGCAGTTTCGAATATCCAAATATTCGGTCAAATGCAGTTTCAAGTAATCGAATACTAATTCATTCGTAAACGGACATCCCTACAAATGCAGAGCTTCTTCCGGACAAAGTGAATGACTCTACCTGCAACTTGAATTGAAAGGGCCCTAGCTAATTACGACATTATCCTCGAAATGCTCAGTATACATCAGTGGCACAATTTGTGCTTACTGTAGCAGAAAGCTTTCAGCTAAACTTTGGCAAATTTCACAGCCTGGACGGGAGGCTCAACTGCACATCAGTGTTGTAGTCGAAACCGGATAGTCCGAGACCAAGACCACAGCTTCCGAGACCGAGACTGAGACCAGCAAAAAGTGGTCTCGAGACCGGTCTCGAGACCTACAACACTGCTGCACATGGAGATTTTTGTTGCATCACAGGCCGTGTCTGAAACGGGCTTCCAGAACTAGGGCTAGGTCTACTGTCAGCATGATGCCTGCGTAGCTGTAACAGGCGAAGGCCTGGACAATAGTTGTATGACAAGAGATTCAGATGAGGCCTTACTCCTTGCAAGTGGTACTGCTTACGATCATCAGGAAACAGACAGAGAAGTGGCAAATTCAGGTTTTTTTCAAACAGGGTGGATAAAGTTTTGCAGTCCAGAAATAATCAAGGGTGGTCAACACATACAGAGACTTAATTAATGTCTTGACCCTACCCTTCCTCAATCCTTCAAAATCCTCCAGGCGGTTTTGGAGAATTTAGTATTGAGGCGGCATGGCAAAAAAGTGTAGGTTGCTTTTCAGAGGATGCATTATGTCAAGTTCGTAGGCTGTACCCAGCATTGTGTACGTTCAGTCATGCATAATTGAGCCCTGAATTATGCTCGATTAACAGTGATTGTTGTAGAATTTTGAAGGATTGGGGCAATGATCACCCCTCCACTGAACAAATTTAAAAAATAACGGATGATTTTGGAGGATTGAGGCTGAATCACTTTTTACTTGGTGGCAATTGGAGGATTTTGCAGGATTGAGGATGGTTCCTATAGCCAAAAGGGCTTTGGGGTCTAGGGTTAAGCAATGAACGCGAATTTGCAATGCCTGTATCTACAATGTGTTTGACCGAGCGCATCAGTTCAGACAAAAGTACAATAAGCTCTCATTGGAGGCTCTGTAAGAAAGAAAAAAAAAGGTGCCGAGCCATAAATTGGGCTCCCCTTGGCAAGGCCAGATTCCCTTGGCCCCAAGGCAGTCACCAGTGGTCCTAGGCCTTATTCCGCACTAGGCACCAGCACCGATATCATGTTGATTCTAAACTGTACTAAGCAAGCCAGGCCAAACTGGTAGCTCTAAAAGTCTGTTGACACACTGCGGTATTGTCGTAGGCCCTCAAATTTCTTGTAGGCCCTCAAATTCCTCGGAGGCTCCCGAACTTTTCGTAGGCTCTAGGCACAGTGTATACTTTGCCTATTGGATAATCCGGGCCTGCCCGTGGGCAAGTAAAGAAAAAAGTCAGCATTCTCTGTCAAAATGTTTCCAAACTTGAACCGGACCACCAATGTAATATCCGTAGCCACATCTTTGATGCATCACACCTACGGCTAGATTGTATCGGCTACATTGTACGCCGTAGCCAAAACTGTCTGATGCGGACATGGGCTGTGGCTAGTGTATTGCATACATAGACTGGTGCAGATTGTCAATGTGTCACACTGCATAGAAATTCATTACGACAATAGGAAACATGACCAGGATGAGCGTAATGCTCGAAAAAGGCACAGAGTGGCTGAAGTTAGATGTGGGAAGAAATTTGTGGCGGGCAATTACGAGAAGTTCTTACCTGATGATGGCGATGAGGGCGCTGTTGATGACGGACTGCTTACTCCAGATGCTGTGCCTAAAATAGCCCCAAACAGGAAAACAAATACAGAAAGGAAAATGAAATAAAAAAAATAAATTGGAAGAAAACCCCCCCCCCCCCCCAGGAAATTAAGGAAACCACAAAATTGGGCAGTCACAGGGCACATATTAAATTTGCTATTTGACTTATTACGGGAATAGTTATAACATAGTATTGCTAGGTTTGGACTATTTATGACTGCACCTTTCTTGCAATTTAACTGCAATTGGACTTGTGATGGACTTGTGATGGACTTGTGATGGACTTGTTGTGGACTTGTGATGGACTTGTGAGGGACTTGTGATGGACTTGTGAGGACTTGTGATGGACTTGTGATGGACTTGTGAGGACTTGTGATGGACTTGTGATGGACTTGTGATGGACTTGTGATGGACTTGTGATGGACTTGTGATGGACTTGTGATGGACTTGTGAGGGACTTGTGAGGGACTTGTGAGGACTTGTGATGGACTTGTGATGGACTTGTGATGGACTTGTGATGGACTTGTGATGGACCTGTGATGGACTTGTGATGGACTTGTGATGGACCTGTGATGGACTTGTGATGGACTTGTGAGGACTTGTGATGGACTTGTGATGGACCTGTGATGGACCTGTGATGGACTTGTGATGGACTTGTGAAGGACTTGTGAAGGACTTGTGATGGACTTGTGAGGACTTGTGAGGAGTTGTGAGGATTTATGAGGACTTGTCAGGGACTCGACTACAACACTTTATTGAACCAATGTGGGAGCTCCCCTCCACTGACCATTGGTTGCTCCGTTGGTGGCACCGTTTGTCTGGCTGTCTGTTACACTCAGCTGCTGCTCTGACATTCTCTTTTTGGCCGACGCCTTCTTCCTTTTCTTCTTCTCTTCCTCCGAGTTGTGATGGGCGTGGGCCTTCGACGCCCTCCGCCAACTCGCAAGCTGCTTCTGGTCCGCCTTGAGCCGTTTCTCCACCCCGTTTTCTTTGGCCATCTTGAGCGGTTCTTTTAACTTGCTGGACAGTCTGAATTGTGGGGCTGATGCCACCGATACATCACTGAACAAGCTGAAAAGCGCAACAAACATTGGAATGCTCCGTTGAAATGACAATCCAAAACCGACTTTTATGTTACTTAAATGCTGAGCATTATTTTTTGCTTTGACAAATTGGGGACCTGCCAACATAGAGCTGGATAGCTCAGTTGGTAAAGCACGGCAACCCAGAGGTTGTGGGATCAAACCTTGCTCCATTCAATTTCATTGTTCAACTTTATATTAATTATATATGTACCTTGTCAGTTTCCCTATGTGGTTTATTTGACAATCAGATCAGTGCACCTAAAAGCAAAAACTGTAAGGGACCGAATCCCACAAAAATGAGTCTTTCAGACATTTATTCCCTCATTAGTATTTCATAAACATTTGAAAGAGCATTTACTGCCTTTCATCTCATATATCACTTGGCTTAAAATCTTAAACCAAAGGGCGAGTCAGAATGATCTGGACCCAAGTTCACCATTTTTTGGTGGCAAATAGAGTAGATTGAGAAAAAAACTGAGTGTTTCATATGAATGGTTATTACCTTGTCTTCCACAGGAATTTTAAATTTTTCAAATTAGTGGCTGTGGTGAGGAGTAATGCCATTTTCATTGAAGTGGCTCATTTTCCAGTCTGCACACGGAATTGGTTTTGCCTTTTGTGAGTCAGTCACCATGACTAGGTGTTTATTTGTTATTATACTGCTTCACATCAGTACGCGATTGCAATCAATCTGTTGAACCATGGAAATACGGTCAGATTGTTCTTTAGGGCGTGTTCTTGGATAGCGCTTTTCTTCAAAATGGTACATGAAACTTTTACCAAATAAGTCCAAAATACCAGCCTATAACATATCTCATTTGCACTTGTTTCGATAATTGCTACATATTTTTAATATTTTCTTTAATTTGGGTCCAGATCATTCTGACTCACCTAGTATATGCACATACTTTGTGGTGAAAACAGAAATCTTCCAATGAAATTCCAGGACTTTTCCGAGACAAAGTTAGGGCTTGTTATGACCAATTCCTACGCTGTTTTGGCATCTTAGGAGCACATTTCTCTGGAGGCAAGTTGACACTACTCCCCTTCAGCCTTTCAGTTTGGCACAAGACCACTAAGCGCCACAAAAACATCACAACGGTGCATTGAACGAGCAACAAGTATAGGGACATGCAAACTGGAAGACTGCCATAGCCAAATATTACGCATCACCACGTATAGGTTGCACAGGATTCCATGGCTTTTTCCCTTGGTATATCAAGTCCAACATTCCATGACATTTCCATGCCTTTCCACGATTGCTTTAAATTCCGGGATTTCCCAGGATTTTTTCTTGAATGTGGGAATCCTGGGCAATGTATTTTTCTTTTGTCTAAAACGTTTACTTACGGATCTGCTATGAGATCATCAACACTGGGTAAGCCACTTTTACAGGATTCAGACGTCAAAATGGATTCCAGTACAGACTCTGCATTGGAAAAACGGTGGAGGATAGAAAAATGCAAGAGAGGAACACGACATTACAACTACAATTATCTTTAATTAACTGATTCTTCCTGTTCAGATTTTCAACTATTTAATTTTCCATGCATCTAGTCAGTTCCCTTTGAGGTTTATTTAATTACATAATTTTCCATAAGACAAATCAAAATATCAAAATAGTGATTAACCTGCTTATAAAGACTCGTAACCAAATAAATATTTCAGGAACATCGATGAACTATATGATATTCATAAATACCTCAGACAGTTTAGCTATTCCTATTGGTCGAGAGCCCGTCACGTGGCCGGTCTTAAACGGATGATAAAGACATGGCTAGCTGGTCTTAAACACTTTTCCAGTGTCACAATAAAATGTGGACTCCTAAAAATCCAGTGCCTCTTACCGTTTCATTGGTTGAACGTAAACAATCCTCACGTAGGCATGCGCAACACTACCAGCGAGTCAGAATTTTACAGTTCTAAATTCAAAACGCAACGCCCCAGGTGCGTTCTGCGCGGCATCGCGCAGAACATGATACGCGCGCGTCAATCTCCATAAAAGGGTTGTTTACATCTTACTCGCCAGCTGAACACTCCATTATTTTGCTAGAGGGATGTTTCAAAAAGCATGAAGTGAACTTGTTGAACAAAATCGGGATTTTTGAACGAATTATTTGATATTTTTTACCGAAAAGGTATTTATGAATGGGAATAAATATGTGCTCGGTCGGTATTTATCACTCTGTTTAAGACCACTTAGAGTCTGGGTGCTGATAATTACCCTCGCCTCCAGCTCGGGTAATTATCAGCACCCAGACTCTAAGTGGTATTAAACAGAGTGATAAAAACCTCCGGAGCACACATTTATTGCCTTAGTTATATATGTGATTGACTTGTGATGGACTTCCAGTTAACTTGTGATATGACTTGTAATGTGATCAACATGTGATCAACATGTGATTGACATGTGATCGACTTCTGATTGACATGTAATTGACATGTGATCAACTGGCAATCACCTTGTGATAGCTGAGCAAAGCAGAAGAGTCATACTCACTGATAGGAGAGGGCACCGTGTGGGGGAAGTCATCCTTAAAGTGCTTATTCAGTGGCATGCCAAAGACCATTTCAAAGATGATGTGACCAAAACTGTACACGTCTATCTGCTCTGTGGTCTGCAAGAAAGAGGAGTCAATTTCATCTATTTCAAGATTTACTCTCAGTGCTCTTCAATAAATTCAATTTTTCTTGGTCTCCTAACGAATGTTGACCTTTGAATGTTTTATTTTAATGAAAATGTGCTGTCTTCTCTTTCAGGGTGTCTGCAACACCCTGAAAAAAAACCTCCAGGCTTTTATTTGCCGCTGCTTTTGCGCACAAACTGATCTGCCCTGCGAGTGGACTGGTTCCCTGTCCTTACAGTATGGATTATAAAAGAGGGTGGGAAACCAGTGTACCCTGCAGGAACTGAAATTACTGAATTGTTGTGTCGGGCTGCAAATAATTCAAAATCTGTAAAGTAATTATTCCATAACTATTAACGTGGGGTGACTTTTTGGTCGTTTTCTAGAACATCTTTTATATTGCTAGAGGGGAAAAAAGCAATTTAAAATTTAAATCTACGTGTTTTTTCTGGGGCGAAACTTGAAAATAGCATGGACAGTACATCTTTAACAAATCTTGACTGCTGTGATGTTGAACTTGGCATTTTTAGCCTTGGAGCTCCACGTAACTGCACAATTTCAAAACCATCTGGGAAAAACTGCTAATATTATTCATAAGATGAATTTGCGTCGGGGTGATGTAAATCAATATTAGGTTCTTGCCCTTCACCGACTTATAAACACTGTTTACTCAGTGTGTTACCTCCCGAGTGAAAGTTGGAAAAATCGCTCGGGTGGGACTCGAACCCACGACCTCCTCTTACCACTTGACTACCGAGCTTGCGGGTTGGGTTGGCTGGTTTGAATCTGATGTAGCAGTCGGTACCACAATGAAACTATTCACTTTCACTCGGGAGGTAACACACTGAGCATGCAGTGTTTATAAGTCGGTGAAGGGCAAAAAACCTAATATTAATTTACATTCCCCTACGCAAATTCCATTTTATGAATACTTTCATTGCGGTACCTGCTGCTACATCAGATTCAAACCAGCCAACCGATCCCGCAAGTTCGGTGGTCAAGTGGTAAAGACGTCTGCCCTAGAAAGCAGGAGGTTGTGGGTTCGAGTCCCAACCGAGTGATTTTTCTCACTTTCACTCGAAAGGTAACAAACTGAGTACACAGTGTTTATATGTCAGTGAAGGGCAAAAACCTAATGTTGACTGCTAATGTTAATGGCTCCCTGTACCATATTTGTTTGTCTTATACAGAGCCTCCTTTATTAGCTGGCCAATGAGTCGTACTATGTATCGTTTTTGCCTCATCGTTGCAAAATCTGTTTACTTGATTAATGATTCGCACCCAAATTAGTTTTTCGCATACATTGTTTCACAAATCCTGTGCTTGTCAAACCCCGTAATGTGATCACAACAGCATTATCAACAGTGTGAGTGTACTTCAACAGCGCCCTCAATGGGTCAGGTATAAGAGCTTTCATTCACTTACGTTGATCTTCTTGTGTTGCACTATGAAATCCCTGTAGTAAGAAGGCAGGCCCAGCATAGAGTTCTCAACGTCCAGTAGCCTACACGTGTTGCCTTCCAGGATCACGTTTCCCGTGTGTAGATGGCCGTAGGGTATGCCCTTCTCATGAAGAAACTTCAAAGCCTGGATGGACAAAAAAGTGAAAAAGGATGCTTTTTTGACTTCAAAATAAGTGCCAGATTTCAATTGTGGGTCAATCAGGTTTTTTTTTAGAGTCTTCAAAAAAAAATAATGGGACACTGGCTAGGATTGAATGATGGTAGACTGGAGACCTGGATTCATATCATAATGTATACATGTTCTACATAACCCCCGAGGACTAACACACAAAGGGAGAAGAACAGATCCTTCCAGTCCTGGGGGGGGGGGGGGATTTTGTTGAAGACGGTCCACTTTCGTACGGTTATGTGCTTAGTCTATGGGGGAGTGTTATATTACAGAGACAAAGGGAAACACAAAGCATTGTCCTCGGGAGTATAGTAAAACATGACTGTCTGTATATATGAAAACAGGCAATGTACATTCTATGCTGTGCTTCTGAAATCTATGGGTTGATATGCAACTTGATGATGTATTCTGGTTTTCCTACTTATGTCACGCAGAATGCAGTGCCCTTTTTGTACGTGTGTGTAGATATTTAAATTAAATTGACCCCCTACTTCATGGGTCACTTCAAATGTAGGTCAATGACGCACTAGCCACTCTCAGACTCTTAATCTAGAGATTTTGATGCTGTGATCAGGCTAGGGTTAATGGTTTCTGACTAGGATCCCTCAATCAAAGACATTGATCGATCGGGAGACCCCCCAGACAGGGCTGAGCTCAGTTGGTAGAGGGTGGTTAAAGGTTCAAATCCTGCTCCAGTCCCTTTCTTTGTTTTGCCTAATATTGTACAAAAGATAAAAGTGGAACGGGAGGGGGAAGGAAGGTACAGATTATAACTTAATAACGGGAATACATCAGAAATTGTAAGACTTCCAAGACTGCAGCCTAGACCTACCTCCAAAATCTGTCTCCCGTAGGTCTTGATGTTCATCATGTTGAAGGCAGTGTAGGACTTGGGATGGCAGTATTTCCTCAGGTAGTGGTGCTTAGGCTTGGCCTGGGGGCATAAAGACGGTGGAAAAAAGATCATTTCAAGTGCAATTTTTGTGAACCAGCTACCCTAACCCACCATCCCGAGGCTACATTCCCACCCCAGCCCAATTCGAAGTTACCGCTGCCCCCACTCCAACTGGAAAAAAGGGGGAAAACCTCCAGGTTTTGAGGGAAATATGGCAATACTGGCATCATTAATTTGAAAAATAGCTCTCCAAATTACTGGCAATGTCCATATTTTAAACACTGTATCCCTTTTTGACCCAATTTGTTTTCAAAACACTCCCCGCCCTCCTCCCTCTGTTTTGAAGTCCAAGTCCCACACCTCTCGGGTAGAATCCTGGCTAGGTGAAATATTCTAACTCCCTGCAGGGGACCACGTATCTTTCATCTTGTCATGAAGTGCCATGTCTTATATTAGTGCACTTTGCCTGTTGAGTCAATGACCTCTGGGTCAATGACCTCTGAGTCCACACAGAGATCTGCCAGATGACAAGACAAAGTGCCACCTGATGCTTACTCATCATGAAGCATGTGAGGCAAGCCTCAGGCAGATCAGTGTACAATTTCATGGCACTGTACCATGCTTGCTCTGCTAGATGCTAACTACAAAAATACCCCCCCCCACCCCAAACAAATCTAAAACTGTTCATAGCATATGTTTCAATGACAGAGTTATCACAAAACTGTCTGTGCTAGCACTATTAGCACAGAATGATGATCCTAATCACAACATTTCATTGCCACGAAAATGGGCCTAAATTTTATCAGTTACCGAAACAGTGAGGTGATTCTATCTCATAGTCTTTACAAAATGAATATGGAGAAAATGATTGGACACTGCAAATATCTCCGTTAGATATCATCTCAACACTATTTGCAGTGCTGTTGACAGCTGATCTTAATTTAGGATGAATTGTACAACACACACATTTAGTTTGAGAATTGTCCCATGTATGGGTTTACACAAGCAAGAAACCAGTGGAATCTGTAACAAGTCTGTGTTTGAAAATGAATAAAACTGCTGCAAACTGCTTACTGACTGGATTGACCTGAAATATACACATCATTTTGCCTTTGACAAAGATTCTGCTAGGATAGAAATATTAAACCCTCTATTTTTCTTTCTTTTCATATGACTGTGTTCGATTGACATTTGTGCTGATGCCAGGGAGCTACATGTACCACTGTCACTCAGCAGGTAGGGACAATAACACTCATGCAGCCTGCCTCTCTGGAAACAAAACCTAAAGCAAACTCCATCAAGGGATTTTAAGGTCTGACCTATCTCAAGTGTTTATTTTAAGTTAAGATCTAAGAGTATGGATGCCCCAGGGAAAGTCTAGGGTACTTTATGCTTCCCCTGCATTCTTTCCAAACAAACTCGGACTCAAAGACAGAAAAGCTTTCCATGACTGAAAGTAAAATTGAAAATGTTTTGATCCATTGATTTTGAGAAGTATGTCCTTTTTTTGACTCTCCGATCAACGTTTAATTCAGCACACTAAATTACTTTTACTTAAAGCTATAGTCCATCATTTGCAGCCATCCGAAAAGTAATTGGCGTAAATTACTGTTGAAAAACAAACTTGGTTGAAAGATAGTAAGGGAACTAAACTCCCTGTGAAATTATTCTTTCTGGGAAGCTGTCATTTTGAAGTAATCAACGAAAGAAGGCATTTCCAACGGTGATTCTTAAGAAGCACCGTAGGAACATTTAAATTAGTAGTTTGTTTTGTTATTCAGCGCAGCGCGCACAAGTATTGGAACGACGCACACGCGTGCGCGGTTGTTATAATTCGTCAGATCAGTGCGCGACGCCGCGTATAGCTGCAATTCAAAACAATTCAAAACATGATTCAGTAACTTTTGATTTGAAATTGAGATCTTAGAATGCTGCTTTTCTCGGAATGTACAGCTGAAGCTTAGCTGAAACTTCATCAGGTTAGTTGCTCAGTATCCTTCATTAGATTTTGAACACTTTTGTTGCTTCAAACGAACAAAATGCACTAATTACAAATGATGGACTATAGCTTTAACTTTACACAATGAAAACTTAAAGGAGAAAGCAGACAGACCACAAATTTTGTTATGAATTTATGGTAGTCATTAAATGATGTATGCTTCGACTTTTGATGCTCAACCATCTGAAAGCCAATTCATTCTCTGTTCACAGGGGAATGTCCATGCACATTGCAAATTTGTGTTGTCACAGCAAGTATACATTCTGCAAATTTTCAAAAGTCGAACACATTTCATCTGCGATGAATTTTGCTGTGAATGTTTTGTCATGCAAAGCTCGATTCATTTAATACTTTACGCCTTTGTCTTCCACCTCCCCCCACCCACCTCGAAAAATCTTGGACTTCAAAACCCAAGCCCCTTATTTGGAAAATCCTGAATCCTCCACTGAAGTTTCCAAATTGTACCTTGCAAATGAAATCCCTGAGCGTTCCCGTGGCATGGTAGGTGCGTATGGCAAACCCTCCCGTCTCGTTGGCCGAGGCAAAGGTGACCGGGTAGATGTAGGGATGTTGGATGGTAGGAAGGACCTTCATGGCTTGCAGTATGTCCTTGTCCTCCATGACTTTATCTGGTCCAAAGTCGGACTGCGAAAGAAAGAACCGAGAGTTAGGCCCGCTCTAGACCCTGTGCTTCTGCCGTGCCGAACTTAATTGAAATGAGTACGGCAATAGCTCGTCTACAGCATGGCAGTTACGCTAAACAGTCGAACCTTAATGCATCTGGAGTAATGGGCCAATAGTGCGATCAAACTATTCGCGCCAATTTCACTCCCCGTGAAGCAGACGCAAGAGAGGGTATTGTCAGCATGTGCATTCCTAAAATGTTTGCCCCAATTTCAAATTGAATTGAGTTTGGCACTGCGTTTAGAACAGTGCCGTGCCACTGTCATTCAGAATGACGATAGCCCGGCAGCCCTGTCAAACCACATGATGGTGCAATGCCCAACTCAATTCGCCAAGCCAAATGGTTCTAAACGCTGTGCTATCGCCGTGCCAAATTTGATAAAGTCAAATTAATTGAGTTCAGCAGCGCAGTAGCACGGCGTCTAGAATGGGCCTTAGACCAACGGCGACTCATAGACTGATCCATTGCGTAACCAAAATGCCTGGTAAAAGTTTGAATTGTGTGCACAACTCCTAGTAAGCAAATGCAGTGTTGCTGCGCCAAATGTAAGGTGAGTGGGGCTTAACGAATAGTGCTTTCACCATGGACGAATTCGAGCACATGATCACTGGTAACTCCTGAGGCCCCCTTCAATGGAGAACGTATTGCGTCAGCTATTGTACAAAGCAAGTGCTCAGTAACAGATTATCTGAACAATAGCTAGCACAATGCTTTCGCCATTGAAGGGGGCCTTTGTGATAACTGGTGACCACTTTAAATAAAAAAAAAATATCAAGAATTTTTTTTTTCAGTGCGTGTAGATCATAAGTCAAATTTAAAAAATTTATTTTACAAATTCAGTAAACAAAACTTTGCAATTATAACTTTGCAATTATTAATAATATGACACAACATTTCATTTTATAACTTTTGAAATGGCTTTTCCTTTGTTAGAATGCAACAATTCTTGTATGGCAGAATATGTTTCTGATGAACTGTCTTCTTTCTCAACTTGTTTCTCGTCAAAAAATACATGTCATTCTTTCCTGTGTACATACCCAGGCCAGGATTTGTCTGACTTTAGGCTGGTCCTTGGGCCTGATCAGGAAGTAACTCTTGCGGATTCTCCAGCCGATATCTCGGAAGGGCTCGACCACTTCCCAGTAGGGCTCCGACCTGAAGAACATGGACACGTGCTGCAGGGCAACCTCTGTAGGGGGTAGGGGAGGAAGTTGTGGGGGGTAGGGGAGGAAGTTGTGGGGGGTAGGGGAGGAAGTTGTGGGGGGTAGGGGAGGAAGTTGTGGGGGGTAGGGGAAGAAGTTGTGGGGGGTAGGGGAGGAAGTTGTGGGGGAAAGGGTTTAGAGACGGTCATATGGATGTTATGCAATGGAAAGGACTTCAGGAAATCCATAGTAATTGTCCCCCTGATTGATTAGTAGAGTTACATAATAGGGTGCAGTAAACTAACAGTAAATTGTGCCCGACTCATGAGGGATGGCATATGGCTCATTCTATAAATTTGGGGTCCACTATTTTCTCTGTCCCTGTTACATCTGACATGTATGATTTTATAATTCTAAGCCTAATATAAACAGTCATTCTCCAAGAGTGATTATGAATAATTCATGAGGACAATTCCACGGTTACTCACGTTACATTTTTGATGTACTTTTGAGTTTCCTTGTGCTTTAAAGGGAATGTACATGTACATCATTGGCTTTTGCTGCAATTTTCAAAAATGAACTATTTGAGGGGTTTGTATAATAGATCAAATATTGTTACACTGACATTTTTGAAGTTTTGCGTTCAAAAATGCTGGAAAAGCCAAGAAAAAAGAAAATGTTCAAGTAGTCTGGTTCCCTGACTCCACTAAAGATGAAATGGATCAATTTATAGATGCCGGAAAATTGTAAGGTAAGGGAACCAGTCTAGCTGGCTTTCACCCGTTCATGAACATGTAACCAATAGCAAACAAAATTTTAACTGAAAAAAAATGGTAATTTGGAGCAGTAGTTCAAAAATAGTTAGGTTTTTCCAACGGTGATTGGCCGACCACCGTTAGTAATTTATACAAAAATACCATTTTCTTGAAAATGACTTCACACCAGGTGCCATAATTTTACAAGATGCTTTAGACTGTCATTAACCAACATCCTAGTAAGGTATTTCGTAAAAACTTGGTAGTTTTATTTGTTGATGTTTGCAAATGTTGTATATTACCGGTACCTTACTGAAAAGGTTTAATAACTGTTATCCCCATGGTAGATAGAGTACCGGTAGACCTACAGTAGACCTACCTAAGCACCAAAGATGACATCCAGAAAAATGTGTTATGTATGATAAACAAGACGCACAAAATCGGTTACTCACGTTATGGAAATGTAACGTGAGTAACCGTGGAATTGCCCATAATCACTCTTAGAAAACGACTGCAAGAATAGCAAACTACCTACCCAACAAATAAAACAAATCATATGAACTCATTCTTGATGATTCTTTAATATCGAAGAACAAAGTTCAGAGGCAACAGGGACAGAAGGAAAAAAAACACACACGCTTTGGATTCTAAATTTATACATTGACCAATATACTACACAGTGGTTTGAACCTTGAGGGAACATGAAATTTGTGTTTTTGGGCAAGACATTTTACCTTAATATTGAACAGCAGAAATGCTTCTTAAGCCCTGTCCGCACTGGACTTTTTTTGGTCAAACTAACCGAGACTATGGGTACTTTTCCCATTTTAAGTCCAGTGCGGACAGCCTAGGACGTTTTCCTCTCAGTTACTTTTCCTGAGTCCAGCGGTTACTTTTACTGGCCAACTGCTGCCCAGGAAAACTTCCCACGCGCCCAGGAAAACTGACCGAGTCGCTTTTCCCGAGACGATTAGTCCAGTGCGGACAGTGCGAGTCGGTAAAAGCGGCTCAGGAAAGCGTACATCCGGCCCAAGCGCCCTGTTATGCATACAGAGACCGCACGAACCTGCACGTGCAGTGGCCGAACATTTTGTAGAAACACGCTGCGGTGTATTATCAAGTCCGAGCAGTAAAATCTCGTTAAAATATATATTTCAACGGACAAATACATACACAGAGAAGAGAGATCACATTCTGAGAATTAATTTGCGGAAATTCTCTTTCTCCACCGATGTATTGTTATTTTCTACGATCCAAATTCGTCCTGATACGCTACTGTAGTCATGCACGGAACATCATGGTCCGGTACCGTACGTAGGCCGTAGTCACTGGTTCCTGGCCCACATCATAGCTTCGATTCTGTAAGCATGCGATGGGAACCAACGAATACTGATGGCACTGCTGCCGCACGGAACATCGTACAGCGGCATGGCTTCGACGACGTGCATCACAAATGCGTCAGAATTACAGGCCTTTTCGTCAAGATTTAGCGTGTCAAGATGAAATAATATCGTGTAAACGATTATGTTATGCATGCAAATGGCGTGTGTAATATTACTGAGCGTATCGGTGGCTGAAAATGTGATCGGCAATTTGTTTTCTGCGTACGGTGAGTCATTATACTGACACTGTGACAGCTCGGTTACTTCTCCCACGCGGTCGGGGTAAAATTTCCTGTGTCGAAAGTCCAAGTGCGGACAGTGGTCACATTTGACCATTTTTCATTTTACCATCGTCTCGGTAAAACCTTCAAAAAAAAAAGTCCAGTGCGGACACGGCTTTACAGTCATTTTAAGAACACAAGGAGCAACTATAGTCGGCCCAAACAGATATTGGTTTCAGACGAGTGAACTTTATTTATTTGAACTTTATTTCCATCGACTGAACTCCCAAGTCATTCTGAATGACAGGAACAGTCTATCATTTAATGTTATCACTTCTAACTGTTCAGAACTTTCCATGTGCTTCATTCCAATCTTCAAATTTCAGACAGGAACGCCACTTTGAAATGAGTGTTAGTTCAACATTTTAAAATTATTACTATTACTTAGCCAATACAAATAGTAACACAAAATACAGAAACTTAAAGGTAAAGGACACCATTTGGAACAAAAATTGCGCTTCTGCCGATTCAAGGAACAACAAATAAATCTGAAGCAGTTTATTAAAAAAAAAACTAACCCGTTGACCTTTCAGCTCAGTAGATATACTTTTTGAGAAAACTGTGAAAAGCATCTTCATTTTCTTTTCCTCATTTTTCTTTTCTGTGCCCCCTCTCGATGTTGTTTCATGTTCCTTTGTCATGTGCCTCTGAAGAAGGCCTTGCTACATGTAAGGCTGAAATCACAGGCCATTTTTATCTTTTGATTTGTATATTTCAGGTCAATCCAGTCAGTGAGCAGTTTGCAGCAGAATAATTAATTTCCTTTTTTTTTCTGAAATCGCAGGCCATTTTTATCTTTTGATTTGTATATTTCAGGTCAATCCAGTCAGTGAGCAGTTTGCAGCAGAATAATTAATTTCCTTTTTTTTTTCTCATTGCGAAGCGTACATGTAGGTTTTCTTTGAAAGTGCCGTGGTTGGGTACCTATCGCGAGGAAATCCCCTTTTCTAAAAAATGACTGGTTTCTAAACTGTACACACAATGATTTTACAAGATGCGTATCATTTCATGAATTTTCAGTTTCATTTTTTTTAATGTTTGTAAATTATGTTGAGGACTAATGACCAAGAATGGCTATGGGCAACAAAAGCAAAATGTCGACCTGCAACCCTAGATCTTGACGATTTTATATATCAGAAGTTGTTCATATAAGTTATGTAAGTTACACATGTTGTAATTATTGAAAAGACATTCATAACAATGCCAGACCAACCAGATGATCAGTCTGAGTATCACCCATTATTCAACGGAGCCCGCAAGCTCCGCAACAACTTCTGATATATGAACATTGCAAATTTTGTGCGACTCCGCACGCCAGCCAATCGGAGTCGATTTTAGAAATTGTGACATCATTTCCAGCCGAAATTCGGCCCAAGCTGTTGATTGGTCCATTGGCTGCCACTATTTGTTATACAACAATGGGTTGCCGAAGATCCGATAGAAGGCGCCCCCTGAATGGTCAGAATCTGGAGGTTAAGACTCAGTCTTGACCTCCTAACCTCCTCAACTCCATCAAAATCCGTCGCCCCATTTTGGTGGATTTTGGGGGACTTGGTCCGGCAGGCCTGGTTTGACTACATATTGATGGAGTATGATGGACTTGGGCCAAGAGACCTAAAGCAAAGCGGATTTGAAGCAGGATGATTGATGGATTTTGGCAGACTTGGTCCGGTACTTAGTAAAAGCCAGTAGGGAGTTAGGGTTATTATATGTTTTCTGGTAATGAAACCAAGGGTTCCTCATAGGCGCCCAAGGCACTACAGCTCGGAAGCCTGAAGAAACTTGTAGAGACTAGAGAGAAGACAATGAGACGAAAATTACAGTTTCGGAGGTGGGAGGAACACCCCAGAAGACATCCAAGTGTGCAAATACCTTGTAAGTTGGCCGGGTAGTTGGAAGGATCCAGGAACCTCTTGACAATGAAGCTGGTTGCTAGGAGATGATGAGACAGGATGAGGCTGAGGTACTGCTGCAGACTCTGCTGCCTCTCGGCGATAAACTCCCGGTCCATGTTGCCAAAGACCTTCTTGGGAGGGAGGGGAAGCTCCAGGTTGGTGATCTTGAGGAACTCGTGGAGGGCCACGAAGTCGCTGTACCTCCGGTTAATCTGAGGGAAAGGAGAAATCCAAAAAATGTCTGAGACGAGGGGAAAATTTCGATCATCACAATGGTTCTTTTGAGAAGCACTTTGCAGGCAGCCTCGACTCCATGGGCTGTGTGCGCGTCCCTTCACAAACCCCTGGCCATGTAGGATACGAAAATGACGCTGATTGACTTTTCAGACCGTACCGCACACCCTATATATATATGTGCTTGCGTTATCTCCTGCACGTCGCATCACGTACAAACATTTCTTTCAAGACTGCACAATGCCTGTACGATATGGATTCTGGAAGCCTCATTTTTCGCCCCAAAAAACCCTGTATCTTTTGTTTTAAAGGGATAACAGAGGTACGTATATTTAATATAAATCCTTGCTCTATAACGCAAGGTCGAAATCTCATGTTGGAAAGGATTGATTCTACAAAAAAAAATTTCAAAATTTAAAGCACTGCGCCGCGCGTTAAACACATCGACTGCAGTCCTAATTTAAATCTCCCATATTTAAATTACACAATTCCAGAACTTAAGTTTGCGCACGGCATGATGGGAACCAACATGGCGAAAAAAGATCGTACCCATCGGGAACGAGGTTGATTTGTGGGCAACCAATTTAATTTAGGGAGGCTTCCTGAATCCTCTAAAAGCCTCTACTTGTGTAGAAAACCAGTGGCACGTGATTTGTAACTTCTAAGGGTGATCTGACACATATTGAAGGTTTGGCACAAAAAGAACCAAACAAAATAATGAAAAATCTCCCAAAACTCTCTGGTGGATAATGAAAGGCCTGGTAGGGTTACAGCTAACGCGTGAAAGAATTGTACAAAAATAGCCTTTGTGGAGTTTTTACTTGACAACTTTCAACACCTGTAGAACTGAAAAGAGTAATTACTGAAAATGTTATTCACGATGGATATTTTTCTGGTAAGTTGATCTTAACAGGCCTGCAAATCAAAAGCATCTTTTATTGGTGAATTTTGAATAATTTTTATTAAGAATTTGGTTACTAAAAAAAATGCTAATCAGCCGTAAGCCAAATTCATGGAGTCTGAGGTTGACATATACTGAATATAATGTGCTGCAAATTGCAAACTTAATTTTCCTTGGCCGTCCTTGCGCTTCACAAACTACTATGAATTTCATGATAAACATGCATTGCCTTGAACAGGATTAACATAATCTGTAATGGAAAGCTAGCTTACATGTACATCACGACCACATGCAAAATGGTAAACTGGTCCAATTCGTGAGAGGAAAATAAATCCTTTGCAATACTTCTGGAATTCATTTTATCAATTCTGTCTACATACAATTGTCATATGTGGCGTAAACTGGTGTTGCAGAAAATACGTGTATTTATTTTAGTTCAAAAACTTGAATCCAGTCAAAGCAGCCAAAATCACGAATAATAGGCCTATATTTTTGAAAACCACTTGTGAGCGTTAAAGCTGACAGCTACATGTACATGTATGTGTAGCTTGAAAAGAACCTACATGTAGAACTTATGAACCAAGTCGTTTCAATTCTTGCATATCACCAAATATTTTAGTTTATTGTAAATTTCAATTCTTCAGTTGACACCATGCACTTTAATATAAAAGCGATTTTTTTTTTTTATAATAGACGGATGTCCTCAATGAATCTCAGGTGGTTTTAAGCTCAATCTCTCTGTCAAAGGTGAGTTGTTGAATTTGAGCTCTTATATTGACCTGGGATTCTGGGAGGCCTGCTGCACAAACACAGAGCGCAAGTCAGCAGATTGTGCCACCAAACGGAGCGGAACAAATTGCCTAGGGTAGAATCCTGGCTAGGTGGAAAATTCTAGCTGTGTATCTAGGACTACATATTTTACGAGGCTGCTGTGCACAAGAAAAAACAGACAGGTCTGGAGTTACCTTACAGAGTTCAATTCACTCTCAAATTTGCATGAAGAATGAATTTGGCTTCAGTTTTTTTTATAGCCTAAATGTGTCTTGATGTTTTTTGGCCACTCTGTTGGCTGTTTTCCATTTTTATGCCCCGCGGCGAAGCCGAAGGGGCATACTGTTTCCGCCTTGTCCTTCCGTGGGTGGGTGTGTGGGTGGGTGTGTGGGTGACTACAAATTCGTATCCTTGTGGAGACACACACACAATAGGGAACAAAACATTGTAAAGGTCTCCACAGGGCAATTTCTATAGATGAATAGGTCTCCACAAGGTTTTCACGAAATAGATATATGGGTTTTACTCAAAAACTAGGAATTTCCAAGGTGGGTTGATCTGTCGCAAATGGAAGAGTTTTAGAAAAGGGATATTAAGTCCAAATTTCAGCCAAGGAAACTAATTCTGGTTAAAATAAGAGCATTTTGAAACTTCACTTTCAAAATTGAACACTTTACTACACGAGAACAAAGGAATGTCTCCACAAGGATACAAATTTGAGAATGGGTGTGTGGGTGTGTGTGTGTGTCCGGACAAATCTTGTCAGCGCGATAACTTCAGAAATACTTAACATATGAACTTCAAATTTGGTTTGTGGATTGTTCTTGGTAATCCTAAGAAGCCTTTTGCATTTGGGGCCAAAAGGCCAAAGGTCAAGTTCACAGTGGCTAAAACAATAGAAATCTTGTCAGCGCGATAACTTGAGAAATACTTAACATATGAACTTCAAATTTGGTTTGTGGATTGTTCTTGGTAATCCTAAGAAGCCTTTTACATTTGGGGCCAAAAGGCAAAAGGTCAAGTTCACAGTGGCTAAAACAATAGAAATCTTGTCAGCGCGATAACTTGAGAAATACTTTACATGTGAACTTCAAATTTGGTTTGTGGATTGTTTTTGGCAATCCTAAGAAGCCTTTTGCATTTGGGGCCAAAAGGCCTAAGGTCAAGTTCACAGTGGCTAAAACAATAGAAATCTTGTCAGCGCGATAACTTGAGAAATACTTTACATGTGAACTTCAAATTTGGTTTGTGGATTGTTCTTGGCAATCCTAAGAAGCCTATTGCATTTGGGGCCAAAAGATCAAGGGTCAAGTTCACAGTGGCTAAAACAATAGAAATCTTGTCAGCGCGATAACTTGAGAAATACTTAACATATGAACTTCAAATTTGGTTTGTGGATTGTTCTTGGTAATCCTAAGATGCCTATTGAATTTGGGGCCAAAAGGTCAAGGGTCAAGTTCACAGTGGCTAAAACAATAGAAATCATGTATTTATTCTGAGATTATAGGGATTAGGGATTAATTCATATAAAACCTACAGAAGACACTAATGCTGTCAATGAATGTTCCATGTGACCAAGGTACATGTAAGTTGATGTTAAAAGAGTGGTGTTATGTCATGGGAACTGTCACCGTTGCGGGGCATTTGTGTTTGTAAACACACCTGACTTGTTTATTATGCATCTGTACGCAAACAACTTCAGTAATTTGAAACATTTTTTTGTACTTGGATACCAATTTATGTGCTTTCTAAATCTCTGAATGGAATTAACAGTAATTTTTGCATTTTCCCACCCGATAGCTACCATATGGACAGTAATAACACAATGGGTATTACACTTTTACATGAGTTTGTTTGTTTTTTTTTGCTAAGAAAAGATACTGAATCGTTATCAATTTTACCTGCCAGGTTTTTTCTGCAGCTATCCCCCGCTGGACTTTCATGACATAATCCTGCAAAAAGAAGAGAAAAACTCTTTATAAAATAAAGTTGAAAAGATGTATTGCAAGTTTGCAACTTACACTAGTGTATCCAGGCATTTTCAAAAGCAGAAAGTGAAACTACCCAGAAAGGGCAAAGGCACAAAATGTATGCTTGTTTGTTTCTTCACATGTGTGTAAGGAGCCAAGCAGCATGAAGTCTAAGCTGGCACTTTAAAAAAAAACTAACACAATCATGAAAATGATTCAAAAGCTACCTGTATGTAATATTTACTTTCAGAGAGATTCAAATTTGTAGACATACTGTCGTTGCTTAAAAGTTAAAGGTAACCACACAATATTTGCAAACATCCAAAAACAAAACTACAAAATTATAATGAAATACCTTCCTTGACTGCAAGTGAATAACAGTCTCAAGTATCTTGTTAAATCATGGCACCTTGTGTGCTGTGACTGCTGTCATTTTGAAGAAAAGTGGATTTTGTATCAATTTCCAATGATGGTCAGCCGACCATCGTTGGAAAACATACATGACTTTTTTTCAAATACTGCCCCCAAATTACTAAATGTAGTTAGTCCACATTTTGTTTGCAATTGGTTACAAAATCTGTAAACAGGTGCAAGCCGGCTAGTCTGGTTCCCTGACCTGACAATTCCAAGACGTCTATAAATTGCTCTGATTACGTTTGAAGTAGGGTCAGGGAAGCAGACTACAAGAAAAAAAAACTTTTCTTGGTTTTCCAGCATCTATGAACATAAAACTTTAAACAGGTCAGTGTAACAATATTTGCCATAAAATACCGACCCCAAATCCATCAATTTCTGAAAAATCCACAAAAAGCTAATTTTGTATACTAAGCACCATAATTTTGAGAAGCAAGTGGGATTTTATAGACGTTATTTCTTTAATTCCACAATCATCTTTGCAGTTAAGTCAGTTCTGCTCGTAAAACTTTAAGAAAAGCAAACCAGTGGCTTTTCTTCTATTTGTTTAACCTTGTGTTTTAATAACAGGAAGCTGCTAAAGAAAAGTTTCTGTGCATGTTAAATTATTTCCTCTTATAACGCATGGCATAAACTGCTCTTTAAGATACAGCCCTTGCACATGCCCAGTACCACTTCCAATGACAACTGTAGAACTAAACTGACCTTACAATGTCGGTCCAATTAAACTGTTTAGTAAAAGGATTTGTAAAAATAATACCTTTATTAAATTTAAGGTACATTGTAAAAAAAAAATATGTCATTAGGGTCTTGTACCTGCGATTCAGGATTTGAAGGTTCCTAGCAAAATTGAAGTTGGACTTTTACTTAACACAAACACCAACACACTTATAAGGCCGCGTAAAAAAAGAAGTAGTTCGTCGTCCGGACTTTTTGAAAAAATGAAGGAGGCAGGTGCTTTTTTTTCTACAAAAGATGGCGGATGGATTCTTCAATTTCTCAACTATTTTGCTGAAACAAAATTGTGTCCAAAGGAGCCATACCCCTTTGTACATTGTACAATTTTGTTGGAAACAAATAGACAATATACTGACAATGTGCAAACAATATTGCAAATGTATAAATTAAAAAATTGTTTTCAAAGGAGGCGGCCGGGAAAAAAGAAGAAGAAACGGGCGGGTACACGAAACTGGTTAATTTTCTTACATGGCCTGAGCGTTCCTTAGTTATATGGGGCCCTCACACCTGACCACTGATAGTTGTGGTGGGGTGGGGTCCCTGCTAACGGACCAACACACACAAAAACTGACTAAAACCACAAAAAAATATATATAGTTTCTCAACTTGTTGAAAGCTGAATAATGTACATCCAAACTTTCATAATGGAGAATCCATTATAATGACAGCATTGGATGGAGGTCACCACTCATTTAGTCAAACAGTTTTCTTTATTCAACCAAAGTAAGTCTAACTCTCCAACTAAAGATCATTAGAGAGGTTTTTTCCTTTTGATTCAATCAAGGATCACGTTCTGAAATGGATATCTTCAACACAATGCCAAAAGGTCACTGAAAACTAGAACCCAGCTTCATTACAATTTGTAAGAAATATTTAAGCGAAGAAAAGCTATTCTATTCAAAATGAGGAAATTTACACAATGTCGGTACTTTCTGCATTTTAAAACGAAGCCTTTTGTGTGCAGATGTGTGGAATGTGGAACATGAAAGGATATGACTCAAATTCCCTGAATACAAGACGACAGCCGGACCAGGAAACTCACTCCCCTATAAAATAAGCACTCCAGGTGATTCCTTTACACTCAAAATATCTGGATTTTCTTTCTTCTGTTTCGTGGCAAGAACTTCACGATTCGTACAATTACATGTATGTACATACATGTACATGTAGGTCAGTTGAAAAGCCATTAAAAAAAAAATTTAACTATGGCGGGGCACCTATATGTACATGTTCATGCAGTGTAGCTTGTCTGTAAAGAAGGTCCTTTATTTTCCAAATGTTTACATTGTAAGAGTGGTGGTATTGTAGGCATAGTTAGAGTTACTGTGAAAATATCTTTGATTCATACATGCATGACATCTGTGCCAGTATTTGCGGCCCGCAATGGGGTCCCATAAAGACTTGTGATTTTTTGTTATGACAATAACAGAACTAGCAAGGTTAAAACCTTATGCTGACTTTAGAGGGATGTCATGGATGTCCGTCACTTATAGTAAAAATTGGTGTGCAAAATGTTGTCATTTCAAGTCCTTATTAAAACACATGGTTGTACAGCAGGAATCAAGCTTGTGCTGACTGAGTGTTATGAGTAGAGTATGACTGTTTGGACACAGCTGTCACGGAAAGAGAAAGAAGGACTCACATTTTCAGTACATCTTCCAGTCAAAATCATCAGATTCCTATCCAGAATCTAAAGCCCAATAATACTAAGACAATTCTTTCTAGTTTATCTTTTTTAAGTCTAGCTGTATCAGCTTATTATTTAAGCATATTTGTTTGGACTAGGAAAAAGGATACGACTACAGCAACACAGATGTCACTAAAAACACATCCTACAAGAAAACAGACTGTCTCATGCAAAACTTCTTTAGTACTGCGGAAGTAAAGTATGTCAATTAACAGAACCTCCGGTACCAAGTCCTATCTAGTATCTGGTACTATCTGGTACAAAGTCCTATCAACAATAAGCTTTTTGTTTTTAAGCTTTTTTTTTTTCCAAAGTAGGGATTTTTTTTTGCTGGTGGTTTAAATACCGGTACTTTGTATTTTTTTACATAAATTTTTCGTTTTATGTAAATTTGTGTGTGTCTAAGTATTCTGTTTTTATGTGCATTTGGGAAGATGAATTTCACGTTAAAGTCTTTAACCCTAAAAGGGCCGCGTTATTTTGACCATGGGGGGGGGGGGGGGGAAATACCGCCCCCCCCCCCCCTTAAGATCTTGGCAATCCAATGACGAAAAATTTTGAAACTCGGTACATGCATAGAGCAACTAATCATGAACATACCCAAGAAATTTCAGGACTATAGGCCAAAGAATTTTGGAATTATGGCTAAATAATTATTCATATGTTCGAATGGTTATTCTGCTCTGTGTACACGACGTACAAAACAATGTGGGAACATTCAGTTTCACTACGCGCCGGAATTTTTTTTAGGGTTAAGTTGTGATGAAATAGAATATTGAATTGAATTGAATTGACCCTTCATTCTCTTCAAATGCCACCTGGCTACAGAACTGAGTGATGTACCTTTGAACAAAAAATTGAATATAAAATAATTTTGTTTGCTAAAGTGTGGATAAAGTTTAGACCCAACAGGGGCACTAGAACTCCCTTTTTCAAATTTTGTCTTTGGTCGCCTTGTAGTATGATCGACCAAAGAAAAAAATGGCAATTTGTTCATTAAACACTGCCGAGTTGAGTTATGAATATGTTTATGTAAGAACAAAGGATCACAAATTAAATCCTTTCCAGTACAATCAATTCTTTGTTTAGAATGCATCTTTAACGGTGTGATAAATTTTAGTAAACATTCTATGTACACATACAAGTTATTTCTGGCTTTATGACGTCATTATTCAAAAACGGGAAATGAATACTGATGTAATTCGGAGTGGATAAATGTTTGTTGTGAAGTTTAATAACGTATGAAAATATGGAAAATATAACTGAATGTATTCATAACACCTAACTTCCCGTTTGATGACATCACAGTATTTGAAAGCAAAGGGTGAACATTGTGGATATCGTTATTTGGGCTACGAAGATATACGACATGAATCAAATGGATATCGTTATTTGGGCTACGAAGATATACGACATGAATCAAATGATGCAATTAAATTTAAAATATTATCGTTTTCAAATTCTCATAGATGTAACTTCCGGTCTGATGACGTCATGAATTTGAAACCTTGCCAAATTATCTGTTGTTAATCAAAGAATTTCAAGGGGCGATTTGGTAAAATTTTCACGGATGATTTTCAAATTAAAGAAAGCAAACACTATTTAATATGCCGCTAGGGGGCGCCCTTTCAAAAGATGACATCATCACACTGTTTTGTGTCTGGCATTCCTCAATAAACACTTTCATAATGTGTGTAGTAAAATGCTTCCGCTTTGAGTTAAACTCGGTTTTTATTGCACTTCCGGTAACACCGGAAGTGAAGGTCAAGCGGTTTTGTGTCCGGGACAAGAAATGTTTCTCACAGCAAAGTCTACAGACTCACGAAAAGACGAACACGATACTATATTTAGTTCAAAAGATATAGCACAAACTATTTCATCAAAATTTGCCCTCCAGTCACTTGTAATTTGATACATGATGACGTCATGATGACGTAACAAAATATAAAGTATCTTCGTAACGTGGTACAAGTTTACACTAGGTTTTATGATCATACCGTAAACCGTATGTAAGAAATTTTGCTTTGTTTTGATTTCAGGCTCAAGTCTTCATTTTGAATTCACGTAACTTTAACCTTCCGGTAGACCCGGAAGAAAGGGTCAAGTAAGTTCATGTACACGAAAAGAAATGTTTATCAATTCATGGTCTATCTGATTACAGAATATAAACATCACTGTTTATTTTGTTCAAGAGTTATGGGTGAAAGTAATTGGACCCTTTTTCATGTAAAATCGCTTGTAATTTGACACCCGATGACGTCATCATGACGTCAGAGTAATATGCACCACTTTGGATGAGGGTCGATGTATACTGAAAGTTACAAGTTCATATCATGAACCGTTTAGGAGAAAACCCGCGGAGAAGTATTGTCCGGGAAAAAAAAGAAAGAACCAAACAAAGAAGATTTATGAGAACAATTCTAGACAGTGGCCGGGTTGTGCCCGACCACTCAAAAAAACAGGAGACTAGCAGCAGCACCCAAGTTACTGGGTCTCTAGAGGTAAAGTTCTGATTTTGAATTTGATGATGACATTTTATGTTGACATAGTATCGTTTTGCCTTTCCTGAAAGGCAGTGTAATTTGATCATGAACCAGTCCCCGATGGTTTTGCTGTTGTACAGACACTGCTTGAATGTTCTTAGAACTTCCGATCTGGTGCATCACTCACGATTCCTAGTCTTGGGCGCCATCCACTACCCCACGATTTCATTTGGGTTGGAAAGGCAATTAAATCTTAAAAAGTGTAATCGTATATCGCGACATCCATTGACTTTGTGTGTACATCCGGGTTATTAAGGGCGATACGACCTTTTGACATTGAAAACTTGCGTTTCTTGTACATGACGTCACACGCCATTTTAGGAGATACGACCTTGTTGCACGGACACGACGAGTTGAGAGAAGTCTGCTTTTGGTAGAGGTCATTTTTGAATAATAAAGTTAAGGCAGTGGATATTTTGCCGGAGACGGCAAACCTTCAGTAAACGTTAGTTTGCCGGATATGCACTGAACATGCGCAGTTACTGTTTTTTTGTACTTAAACATTTTCCGGTGACAAATTTTAGTCTGGCTCCATGCCAACATTATCGTTGTATTTTTGCATTAACAAGATGGGAATCAGACCATTTTATAATTTCGGACTTTATTTCCCTTTAAAAAAAATCCTCCAGAGCCACAAATCTGAAAAAGAAAAAGTAATACTCTGCAATAAAATGTTTGAAACATATTAAAATAATAAAAGAAGAATATTCTTATTTATTTGGGGATTGGAAAAAAAAACCCTTAAAATTGTGGCGGGGGTCAGGATTCAAACTCGGGACATCCCACTCACTAGAGCTATTGCTTAACCACTGCACCAACTGTGCTACACAACTTTGGTGGGAATTTAATACATGTTATAATTCAGCCCTGTCTTAAAGAGTACAGCGCCCTCTGTTGATATGGATTGCCGCCGGCAAACCTTTAGTAAACGTTAGTTTGCCGGCGTTACCTCCGGCAAAATATACACTACCTACAGTTAAACATGTTAAATAAAATAAATCAACATAATCATGGTCATTCCAGAATAAATAATATTAAGTAATAATTTCGAATCAGTTCCAATTTAAAGAACAGACGTCTAAAATGAACAAATTACAAATTCAAGTTCAAGTTAAAGGTGTTTGTACATAAAATTAATACCGTACAGTACACACTTCATGCACTTACAATATGTGTTTCCACGTTCTGCGCCGCTTCTATCACACACTGAAGGGGGGTGGTGTCGTCCAACAAAACTTTGCCGGACGACTTGGTCTTCTCAAACAGGCTCATGATTTACGAGAGTTCCTGCCCAAACTTAAGTTTCACGCGGGAAAAACACACACCTCCTCAGGGAGCACGTGGGGTTGTCAGTCTGATTCTGGACCTCGAAATTTCAGTGTTTACATCATCAGAACGCATGTGACAATGAGTACATTTTAGATGTGGTGAATCATTGAGACTGAGAGCTGAGTGTATTATTTTGTTTAGCGCGCAGGTGCCATTCAGCGATGTTTCTATGAGTGGTCTGGTGCCGAATCCCGTATCGTGTGTTTTTCCATACTAAGTCTGATTGCAGACTCGAAGGGGGAGTTTCCGATCATCACACAGCCTAGCCACTGATTGCAGTGGGCGCTTTTGTCTACGGCTGCGGATGGTTTGATACTGATAGCATGTTCACATGTATGTCAAAATCTGTAGCCATAGCCATTAATTCCCACTGTTATCACTGGTTCCGTTCGAATTTCAGGTGTTCGGAAATCGATTGATCGGAAACCAGTCTTAAATGTTCAAAGATGGCTGCGCCCATAGACCAGCTGCTGATGCATGACGTTTACGGATGACGGGAAAATCATTAAGGTTGGCTGTTGCACTGTTGGCCATTGGGCGCAGTTGGGGGATGCGATCGGACGATCTCGCGGCGATTGTGTGACACATTTTTCTTTTAAATTTCTAACCAGTTCACGCCGGGATTAGTCAGCATTTGCAGTGGACATTTGACAGTGAACTGGTCCCCGATTGTTTGAACAAATAGAGGAAAGAATGTTGTGTTGGGCACAAAAGAATTGCAGAATACCCCGCCACTCGATCTATCTCCATGATCTATGCACCTCGTACTCGTAGCCGAAGCCGGCTACGGAGTCACGTTTGATTGCCCTCAACAAACCTTCTCAGCGCTACCTGTCCTGTACGTACTACTAAGTATCTGTATCTGTAGCGTACTGCAAGCAAAACTCCACTATGGGATATACGGTTGCAGGCGCGAGGTGACTAGCAGCATCCCTAGCTAGGCCTACACACAGACACACACGCCATGCTCCACTGCACTCCCACTCGGTATCCGCGTAGCCAGCAACAGGGTAGTTGGTTTGAACTTTGAATCTTTTCAGCAACTCCCATTCCTTTTGTGTTGCTTCGTTCTCAAGCATTGTCAAGGGGACTCCCACTCTGTAGCCGCGTAGCCGTAGCCGGAAATACTGTTAATTAAAAACTTTGTTAGGAAATGACTCTCCATAGACTTTGTACATAACCGCTGAAGAAGCGTCAGGTTGCAACATTCTTTCTTATTGTTTTGTATTGTTATGTGGTAAATAAAGTAAGATCGATTGATTGATTGATATACTTCGTACACAATCGCGGAAGTGCAGGCGTCAGGTTGCAACATTTTTTTTCGTGAGTATTTTTTGGGACTCTTTTTACCGTGACATATCTTCGTCTGGTTCCCCAGCTTACATTGTCATTGTGACTTTGACACTGTATTCAGGAGATGGGAATCAGACCTAACTATTGCGTGTAAATCTTCCTGTGCACCCACATTTGGATAGTGATTTTTTCATCGTGGATACCACACTTGTTTAAGTTTGAACAGTCATTCTTTCAGAACTGATGTGTAACTGCTATTATTTTGATGATTTCTATAATACTAGTGATTCAGTGCATGAGCTGACTGATTGAGGACGTCGATTTCACCATGGCGGATGGAACAAAGCAAGAGAGAAAGCCAGACGCGAGCGGCAAAGTCTTGGCAGGTGCAGCGCGATCTGTATCCTACAACATGTTACTGCAGGTAATGAATTGGAAGTAATGTAATCAGACATTGCCAGTGTTCAACAATCAGCAATTTCATTGGCTCCTTGCTTGGTTGGAAATGTCTTTTGTGCCAACTTTTCAGGCTGCTGTTCCAAGACTGCAACTTTTTGAGTATTTCAACTGATTCATTTTTAAAGGGAATATACATCATTTGCTTTTGCTGTAATTTTCAGAAATGGATGGAATTGGGGGGTTGGAAATATATAGCAAATATAGTTACACTGACTTTTTTGAGGTTTTGGGTTCGAAAATGCTATAAAAACCAAGAAAAACGATCATTTTCCTGTAGTCTGGTTCCCTGACTCCATATAAGAAGAAACAGAGCAGTTTACATACATTGGGGAATTGTAAGGTCAGGGAACCAGTCTAGCTGGCTCGTACCCGTTCATAGGTTTGTATTAAATCGATTGCAGACAAGTGCGATGGTCAATTGGGGCATGATTGGGGCCAGTATTTGAAAAAAAAGCCAGTTGTTTCCAACGCTGATCGGCCGATCAGCGTTGGAAATTGATACAAAAATACCACTTTTCTTGAAAATGACAGTATACCAGGTGCCATGATTTTACAGGATGCTTTACACTGTCATTCACTAACAGTCCAGCAAGGTATTTCAAAATGATTTGGTAGTTTTATTTTTTGATGTTTGCAAATGTTGTATTTTCCCTTTAAGAATAGGTCTTTGGGGGATTTCTAGGAGAAAAATGGGGTAGTTTTTATTTTAATTGGGAGACATTTTGACCATTTGGGAAAACCTTAGGAAACCTTAGACACATAAAATGGATTAGTGGTGGGATTTAAATCTGGATTTTTTTAAAATTTGGTTTGATTTCTACTATTCGGTTACAATTTTGGAAACCATATAATTATTTTGAAACCAACCTTAAAAAACTTAAGCCTTACTTTTTTTTTGTGACACAGGCTAAAAGAAAACAACTGAAAACATCCCCCGATTTGCTCCATGGTCTCTGATTGTTACTGCATTCACTTGCTCGTGGTCTTCTTGGTATCTGAATAGCCTGCCCATTCGACTTATCAGAGAGTTCCCATCCATGTTTTCAACATTACAGCTCTGGAGTGTTTTTGTAAAGGCCCAGTGGTCGTTGAATCCTGCAAAATACACCCAGTCATTGGGAGGGCATTGCATGCAACACCTCGCTCGTCACTTTTTGTTGGCATGACTGTGAGCTGGATGGGAAGTTTCGGTGTATTCGTATTTGGTTTGAAAAAAAAATTGGATTTAACCAGATTTTGATATCTCCTTAATTTTCCTTAATAACAATAATTTAACGGAAACATTTTCACACACAAATTCCAACTTTGGCTATCCCATGTGCATTAGGTTTTTTTTGGCTGTAAGTGTAACTAATCTGGGGTTTTCTTCTCACTTGAATATTTTCAGCTTATATCTTCCCTTCTTCGACACTCACTGTTCAGAAATGAATGGTTTCAGACTTTAGTTAAAAGAAAACAACTTGGCCCTTGCAGAAGGGCCGTCTCATCACATTCATCAGCAATTTTATTTATGATTTAACGATCTTGTCCTTATTGTACACAGATCACGTTTCGGGTGTCAACATTTGTGCTGAATGCTCTGATACTGAGGTACATCTCCAAGGAAATGTTGGGAGTTGTCTCAGTCAGGTAATAACCCTAACCTCTTTATACAATTTTTAATAGAAACTTTTCTCAATCTTCCAAACTCCTCCCATGTGAAAAAGCAATGGCTGGGCTTGTCATACCTGTCTCAATCCCGACAAAACCATTCAAAAATGCCTGATAGATTTGGGAAGATCTGAGAGGGTTAAAGCTAACTGACAGTAAAGAGCCTGTTGCACTTATATTATCAAGTTAACCCTCCTATGAAAACACACATTCTGGTCCAAGTTGTTCTTTCAGTCAAAATCAATCAAGTGACTGTTTTCAACAGTTAGGAGCTCCCAGCATGCATTAAGCAGAATTGACTGGCCGTGACTGTTTATGTAAATTGATACAGCTATACTTTGACTGTAGGTGATTGATAAGACAGCTGTGCCCTACCACTTGCCTGTTTTTGTCTGTTGACTGAATTTGGCTAGTCATGGTGCTTGCTTGAAATACGATTTGACTGTTGGTGACTAGCCTGTGTAAAAGGCATGGCAGGGGAAGAGTATTGAATTTTTGGACTGTCTGTGACTGTTCAGACAGCAGGAGGGTTTGAAAGAAAATAATTACATATTATTGGGTGGCCATCCAATACTATTATTTATATCAGGCTGACTTGATCCGAAAGAAATCAGTGACGCTGGATTAAAACAGAACTTCGACGAAATACCCGCTAGCATAAGTTTGTCCTGGATCTTAAAATCCATTGGTACTGTAGATTCTTCTCGGCCAGATACGCTCGCAGAATATTTACTGCCTTCTTGGTTGCATGCAAGGTATTTTTGGCATCTTTACTTCCAAAAATGTTGTTGAATTCTTTGTTTACTGAATACCAAAGCAAATCTTACATCGCTGGAAGCTGCCAATTTTGTTGATTAACACTTTGTGTGACCGTCTGTTGACTGGTTGACGACTGTGAGTTTCTGCACTCTTGATGGAACGAGAACCTGCAAACTGGGTGTCGATACCATAAAATGTCTCATGTCTATGCAAGAATAATTTAAAAAAAAACAAAACGATATTGCATAGTCGTCCTGGTAGTTTTCCAAAAGTATGCAATACACTGATTTATTTTTACTACTTGGAGGCCTGATATAAATAATAATATCCAATATTCCTTACACTTGTAGGTTGCAGCTCCTGTATTCCACCACATTGTTCATAGCTGGGGAGGCATTCCGTCGAGCTTGCCTAAGCCAAGGCCAACACAGAGACTGGACACTCACAATCAATCTGCTCTGGTGCTCGTAAGCAAATCCCTTGAAACCCCTGGTCTTGATCCAAGATTATGAATTAAACAAGATGAATCAAATCCAATTTGGGAAAGGGCACTCGGACTTGAAAAAAGTTGAGCATACCTTGTGCGCACTTGAGGAATGTTTTCTAATTTTAACCTGTGCCAGAGTTCTCAATACCTGCATTGATTCATCAAGGATTTATGTTGTTGATAGTGACCATTTCCGACGCCTTGGCTTGACCATCCTTTGTTAGGGATCAGGACCAGCTGCATAAAGGGAAGAAAATAATCATCATTATCCAATCTTGTGACCTGCCTTCGTATCATTAATGTGTATGTGAGTTAAGCAACGCCCTTATTCTAAATTATATTGATTGCTATGTGCCATGATGATTCTACTGTCTTTGAAGTACAATGAAGTATGCAAACATGCTAATTCCAGTGCCTTTTTGAACACATGTAAGTGTTTAAATGAGTTGACCCCGCGTCCGAGGTCTTAAGGACAATTATACACTAGCTGTTCTCAGACTCTACATCCGGTTGTGTTAGGCTATGGTTATTTGTTGCACTAAACTTTCAAGCAATTTCAAGTCTCATGTAAATGTAGCTGCTTGACTCAATTAGCTTCCTCAATCCTTCAAGATCATTCACAACTCCTGTTGGAGTTTGAAGGAGCTGGGATGGTAACGGCTTATCACCCAGAAATCTTTCTTATGTTGTTTAGGTTTCCCCTCGGCATCACCTGTGGTATGCTTCTCGGCTATGTATGGATGGCACTCCTTGAGCAACCTGATCCAAGCGTCGTTGCCAACTACTCATTTGGCGTGTGGGTGTACGCCACCTCGGCTATTCTAGAACTATCAGCACAGCCTCTCTTGGTGCTAGGGCAGGCAACGCTCTTTGTTAAACTAAAGGTGCGGACATCCAAACATTCTTTTCTGCATTTGGTATTGATCAGTCAAATACATCTGTTAAATCAGGGTGTTTTTTTTTTTTCATTTCGGCTTTTCTAACTCTGTGCTATATTGGGGGCCAAAAAATACCAATGCTTTTGCTGTGTGACGTACAAAAGGGCCTTTTGCAAGTAATTTTAGGAAGTTTTTTATAAGATGCATGTGACTCTTTTCCAAAATAATGATTACTTTTCACCCATTTTGCTGATTGTACTCAAAAGAAGGCACAATGGTAATGTATGATAACTAAAAGCTGAAAATTCATATCCCTGACCTCTGTAGGTATAGCACTAGAAATTGCCTTGTATGAGCAAATTGTAATATTTTACACAACCGTTTTGCCAAACGATACGGGAGTGCCTTTAAATTTGCCCATAGTTTTATAATAATGTTTAAAGGGATCATGACATGAATTTTACTAAGGAACATTTTTGTGTGTGCAACTTTCTACTTCTCTTAGATGTGTGAAAACTATTTGACATCCATTTTTGGTTAATTTTATTGAGTGCACTTCTTCAAACATTTACTATTTTCCTTGCTTTTCCCGACAACTGAGGGCTCTATCGCTGTGATGTCATTTTAGGAAGACCTGCGCACTTCAGGGATTTTCTGTTCAAATTGTGAACCCAAACATTTGCTCATTTAAAATATTTTTGAGAAAAAAAAATTGCTCATTAGCTTGCTGTCATGTACTGAAACAACAACAAATCACCAAAAGAAAATTGACAACAGCAAAATATCCAAAATTCGGGCAATTTTGTTTGTGCTGAAATAGCTGTAACATTGAGGTTTCTGCCTTAAATGACATCTAACTTTTGCTCATGAATATGGACATAACATTAGCATGAAAACCAAAACGGCACCATTATACCCTAGAAAATGGCAAATGAAAGGTTAAGTAAGGTTAAATGAGACATAAAGGTGCATTTTCAAGGATCGCATTTAAAAAAATTACAATATATGGCCCCTTAAAGGATTTAGTCCTTTCAGGCTCTGTGGTTCACGTACATAAGAATGTGCTGTTTAATTTCTGCACAGTTTAAGCTTTCAGAAAGGTTCGGTTCTGAGCAGGAGTTTACTCATTGCTTACCTGTACTTTCAAATTTACTTTAATCACACAAAAATTTGAAGATAAACCTTGAATTTATTTTTAATTGCCTTGTCCAGGTTGTCATTGAAGGCCTTGCCATTGGTGGGCGGTCAGTGCTTGTTGCAGTATTGGTGGTCTTCTTTCCCCAGTGGGGGATTTATGCATTCTGCATCAGTCAGGTGAACAACTGAACGCTGTTCTCTTACCAGTGGGAATGTTTTTTTATTAATATTAATCAGCCAAAATTGATATAAATCAACATAAACTTGCAAACCACTTTGCTTTTAGATTTCATTTATTTCAAGTGCATCAATTTTTTTTGGTAAAAATATTTATTGATATGGACGTACCAACAACTCGTTTATGTTTTTCTGTTTCCATTTGCAGTTAGGCTACACCGTCATCTACGTTAGCCTGTACTATGCGTACTTCATTTACTTCATTTGGAAGCAAAGAAAAAAAGACGATGACTTTCCTATCAAGTCAGTGCGGGACATATTTCCTAAACTCCATTCAAAGCAAGTAAGTACGTTTGTAGTATAGTTACGGACTCGGTGAAGAAGCACTCCCTCAAAGGTCACATAGAGAAAGTGAGGGAGAATTGACCTATCGCCGTTTGCAAGTTAGCCACGCCCCTCAGACAACCCTATGGAATTTTGCACGTTCATCTTTGTTTGTCTCAGATTTTGGGCATTCTGCGTCCATTTGTATATCATGCAATTGGACAATATTTCACAAGCTGCGTTGACGGGATTCTACCGCGATAGGTTAATACATGAACACCATTGCAGCTACTCGTCAGGCGCTACCATGAAAACGCTACCCTACTGTGCACATTCAGGTGAAAATTAACCACAACAGTCCTGAATCCCCCAATTTTAATATCATTTTACACACACCCTGGGGGTTAGGGTAAATCTTGTTTCACGCCATACACTTCAGAACCAGTACATGCAAGCAGTGTGTCCTGCACATGGAGCTTAGTGAGTGGTCACGAAGCACCATCTCCTGGTCATGAATGGAGATTTGCAAAATGGTTGTCCTGTGTGCTTCGTTCTCTAGAAACATGAGTCTCATTTCAGCAACTGGGGACAAAACATGACTTTCATCATTCTTAGGAGTTGTAAACATGTGTTGAGTTGGCTTAGAATTATGTTTTAGTTTGCACCTCCACAAATTTCGACACACAACAATTTTAGGTGTAGCCATAGTTGCAGTTGAGTCGATCACAAATCAAATCAAAGGTAACAGGGGCGGGGGTGAACATGGACAAATGAATGCCTGTGAGTAGCTTGCAACTTCTCTTGAAACTGAAGGACTTGTGGTTAACTTATGAGGACTTGTGATAACTTGTAAGGATGTGTAAGGACTTGTCAGGACTTGAGAGGACTTGTGATAACTTGTAAGGACTTGTGATGACTTTTGATAACTTGTAAGGACTAGTGAGGACTTGTAAGGACTTGTGATAACTTGTAAGGACTAGTGAGGACTTGTAAGGACTTGTGATAACTTGTAAGGACTTGTAAGGACTTGTGAGGACTTGTGATAACTTGTAAGGACTTGTGATTACTTGTGATAACTTGTAAGGACTTGTAGGGACTTGTGACGACTTGTGATAACTTTTAAGGACTAGTGATAACTTGTAAGGACTAGTGAGGACTTGTGATAACTTGTAAGGACTTGTGAGGACTTGTAAGGACTAGTGAGGACTTGTGATAACTTGTGAGGACTTATGATAACTTGTGAGGACTTATGATAACTTGTAAGGACTTGTGAGGACTTGTGATAACTTGTAAGAACTAGTGAGGACTTGTGATAACTTGTGATGACTTGTGAAGACTTGTAAGGACTTGTGAGGACTTGTGAGGACTTGTAGGGACTTGTTACGACTTGTGATAACTAGTAAGGAATTGTGATGACTTGTGAGGACTTGTGAGGACTTGTGATGGACTTGTGAGGACCTGTGCGGACTTGTAAGGACTTGTGAAGACTTGTGAGGACCTGAATACCACTCTGATTATGTTGAACCCTACAAGTATCCTTGCAAGTTATCTAGGAACTTCATTTTGCTGACATTAATTCCCTTATTTAACATCAGTATTTTGCACCATATAAATAATTACCTGTGCCACAACGGTTGTATGTATGCGAGGAGTCCTTAAGCTTACACCTAAAGATTTACATGTATAAATTATGCTGTTTCGATTTGTGTTTTCTTGCAGTGGATAAGTCCAGAGCAAGCTCATCTAACTTTGAGTTTCTTCAAGCAGGGTTTCCTCAAACAAATTCTCACTGAAGGTAAGTTTTCTCTCATCATTTCATTGCTGTTTTGTGGGGCTACGAAGCTATACTGACACATGCCTGTGCTTGTGAAATTTTGAACTTTTTTCATTTTCCTCCTAGATCCTACAAAATCCACTAGGAAGTTTTGGAGGAGTTTGTAGGATGATCAAAGTTCACTTTATTTCTCCAGAAAAAAAAGAGGAAAAAAAGCAGAATGTCAATGAAGCTTAAAGAGCAAATATATTGACTGCTTAAACTTGTGGTACAGTAAATTTAGCCTTCCCGGGTGATCGAAGGAATATTTTTTTTTCCCCTCTGCTTCGCCTCGGGAAAACAGAATGCTCCATTGATCACCTCGGGAGGCTAGTTACCTACATTATTGGAAGCAGTCAGTGTCTGTATATGGATAAATATGGCTTTCTTTCTCTATCTTCCTACAGGAGAACGGTACGTCATGACAGTGTTTGACATGCTGAGCTTTGGGGATCAGGGTATCTATGATGTCATCAACAATCTGGGCTCCCTAGCTGCCCGGTTTATTTTCCTGCCCATCGAGGAAGGCAGCTACCTTTTCTTCGCTCAGACTCTGGAGAGGGGAGTACCTTTGGAGAAGCAGTCAAAGGTATGGACAGCCAGATGTATCAAATTTCGACTTGGCTTGTCATATTTGGAAGCAATGAATAGATAAAGACTGTCTGATTCAGCCATAGAGCTATATTAAATTCCAGAGAGAGTGAACTTGCCGTACGTAATTTAGCCTGCTGTGTGTATCCATTTTGTGTGCACAAACTTAGAATGGAAAACTTGAAATTTTGTATGGCTTTTTGTACGGCTGTTGGCATGTATATGTGGTTGTATTCAAATTGATGCATTGTTCAAGGTAGAGTTTATCCCTGAATTGAAAAAAAAAAAAAGAAAAAAAAATCTAATTTTTGAGAACTGAAAATGGCTTAAAGGTCTAGAAATAAAGACCAGTGAAATGTAGAAAAGAAAACACATTTTTTTCCCCCTTGTCACAGATTTATTCACGCGAGCATTTCAGAAGTTGTAAAACGAAAAAGATGAGGAGGAATATATTCGTCTTAATTGAATCATCAGAAAATACTTGCTGTTGTTGAGATACAAGAAGTGCCTTGTGTCCAAGAAACTATTTGGGTTTGTATTATGTCATAAATTGTACATATACATGTAATTACGGCAAAATTGTTTTTATTTTGTGTCACTTCAAGAATAAAGTTCCTTTTTCTTTTCTTTACAATAACGCAGCGTAGAATTTTGCTTAGCGCAGAAAAAGATTTGTTCAGCAAAATTAGGTTTACATGTAATACTCAAACAAGAGAATTTGATGAGCAATGTATCCTGCAGAGCAGCATGAGGACATTTGGTCATGATGTATTAAAGTGTTCTTATCCAACAGGAGTCCATAACGCTTGCCTCCGATCTGCTCAAGTGTCTGCTGAAGTTTGTAGTTCTGATAGGCTGTACCGTCCTGGTCTTTGGCCAAGCTTACTCCTATCTCCTGCTGGATATCTATGGTGGAGCACTGCTCAGCACTGGCTCAGGTAACTCCTTGTCATAGTTGTTAACAAGCCTATCATAAGTCAGTTATAAGTCAATTATAAGTAAAATCACAAGTCAATCACTAATCATCAAAAGCCAATAACTAGTTAATCAAAAGTCTAATTATAAGTCAATTAAAAGTCATCCCAAATCATCAGAACCCAATTGCAAGTTAATAAAAAGTCAAATCACAAGTCAGTTATAGGTCAATCATACGTAAAATCACAAGTCAATCACAAATCATCACAGTCAATCACAAGTCATCACAGTCAATCACAAGTCATCACAGTCAATCACAAGTCATCACAGTCAATCACAAGTCATCACAGTCAATCACAAGTCATCACAGTCAATCACAAATCGTCGGAACCCAATGGTAAGAAATGCCTTTGTGTCACAATTCATATGAGTAGGTTGTGATTTGTCTCTCAATACACACACTGCCTTAGATCCGCTCCTCGGACGGGGCCTGTTGCAGTGGAGTGCGCCCTCTAGGGTTGCCTTCCTGTCCAGTCTCCGTTCAGCAACACTTGTCAATGTTGTGTTCCATGGGGAGTGCTTGAGTCATTAGTGTGTAAGAGTAGAATACCTCCACTGTGAGCTGGTAGTGCGTTGTGTGCAGACCTACCCCTCACCCCCACCAGTGGAGGGGGAGGGGGAACTGCCTCCCAAGGCAGTTGGTCAACTGATTACACATGATGGCAGGCTTGTGGTGGGGACATTGTTCACATTATTGGGTTATTAATTTGGGCGATTCACACTGCAGTGCACCACCAAGAGTTTGTCATGGAGAGTCCATTTTTCAAGTTTACGGCCGACAAAACATGGTCCATATGAATGAGTGTCAGTAGACAACTTGAGGTAATTTGTTATAGATTGGGGCATAGCGTTCTGCCGCCTTACAAAAACACCATATTGATACATTCATGTAAAAAGAAAAGGGGCAAGCAGATCCTCGAATCATACGCTTACGAAACTACTGACCGGAAAAAACTAACAATTTCAAATGTCCCGCACTGCGAAATTGTTGACTTTCTCCCACAATGCACTGGGAAAAATGAACTCTCCATGGCAAACTCTTGGTGGCACACTGCATAGTGAATCATCCGAATTGCACGATTAGATATTTTATCCATAGATTTTTGGTCAGTTTTTAAGAAATATGTTTTTATGATAGCAATGAAAAAAAAAAGTTTGATGTTTTTATACTCTCCATTTCCAGTCCCTGTTGTTGTTGTTCCGTAATCATTGCTTCTTTTTTAATATACAAACACTGTTAACAGTTTTTAGGTTTATATTATAATCGTCTTTATTTTATTTATTTGAAGCATTTCTGAACATTCCAAGGGACTTTTTTTCCCATTATTTTCAACAGGTCCAACTTTGTTGCGTTGGTACTGTGTCTATGTTTTACTGATTGCCATTAACGGGACCACTGAGGCATTTGTGTTTGCTGCTATGAGCAAAAATGACGTAGACAAGTAAGTGCATTAAAGGCATATAGGATCATTTGCTTTTCATAAATTTTCACAGTTTTCCCAAAAATTACATCTACTGAGCTGAAATTTTTACAGGATTTATTTTTTTAATAATCTGCTTCAGAATTTCTTTTTTTAATTGTTCCTTGAATCGGCAAAAAACCACAATTTTTTTGCAAATGTTGACAATTAGCTTTAATGAGGGAGCTGAAAAGAAAATCTTGCTTAGTATTTGTGTGCTAAGCACAAATCATTAGAAAACCATTCAAAATTCTGGTAAAATAAGACAGAACTGGGCAGAGGTCAAAATGAAGGTTTGTTGATAATGGGAAAGAGCATGAAATTCTTTTAATCCTGTTTGTTGCACTTCAGTCAGACATTCCGTTGACAAGTTGAGGCTGTTTAAAATTTGTATTTATCGACATGTCAAAAAAGTGAAATACTGAGAAAAAGACCTTTAAAGTTTCAAGTTTTGTATTTGTCAAAATGAAAGATGCCAATTGTTTTTTTCTTAAAAACACTTTTAGGCCAAAAAAAATGATAAGTCAGTCTCTCGTCAGCGCGCGCGTCGATTTAAATCATGCGCGTCAATCTTTTTTTTTCCAAAATGTTCCGCGGTAGCTCCAACAGCGCCCTCTATTGCCGCACCTCCTCAATTTCTTTTACCAAAGAGCACCAAGGAATGGGAAATTGCACCAAGGCAAATGATCGAGAGCATCAAGGCAAATTATGGAAGACACCAATGTACATGAGGACACCAAAAAAGCAAAATAGTACCCCTCCTTGTCTGTACAATCCAAGCTTGAAGAAAAAAAAAAAAAAAAAAAAAAAAAAAAAGCCGCATCGCCGCGTCAATTCCGGAACTTTGGTCTGACCAGAGACCGAATATTTTTTTTTTTGGCCTTATTCCTGTATTTTTTAACTATTTATTAAAATTTTCAGAAAATCAGAAAAACATAATGCTCATTCGCTTGTTTGCATTTTTCTCCAACACAGTCTATGCCCAGTTCCGTCTCATTTTGCCAGAACGCCTCACATACGTTTTACAATTTGTAGCCTGTTTTTGCTTAGTAAATATTCAGCGCTGCGGTAAGCAGCTTCACACGATGTTGGCCCCTGGTATGCCACTGTGCTCGTTAACCATAATGGTACCCTGTATCCCCTCTTGTAGGTACAATCAGAAGATGCTTCTATTTTCCATCATTTTCCTCTCGTCGTCGTGGTTCCTGACTAAAACATTTGGAAGTGTTGGTTTCATTCTGGCAAATTGTCTCAACATGACAGCTCGAATAATACACAGGTACAGTTGCCATAATTTCATTTTTTAAAAAGTCTTATTTTTAGTTTGAATGTTAACACCCTAATGCTTGCATCTTCACCTTATATTTGTAAAAAAATAATTGAGATAATGGCCTTTTTTTGCAATCTTAGTTGTTGTTCAGTTGCCTGTTTTGGAACTAGTTTGTTTTTTGGTTTTTTTTCAACTTCAATGGGGAAAAATTAAAGTAAAGTCTGTCACAAGCCAATGTGGTCCATTAGGCCGGCGTTTATCTCCAGTTTCAGTAGCACGAAACAACCTGAGAATATTTCTATTCCCCCTGGATGGGATGCCAGTCCATCGCAGGTTACTCCCCAGCCAATGCCAGTACCCATTGATACTCCTGGGTGGAGAGAGGCAAGTGGGGGTGAAGTGGCTTGCTCAAGGACTCAGCATATGACCGGCAGCTGGATTTCAACCCCTGACCCTCTGATCATGAGTCACAAACCCTAACCACTAGGCCACACTCCCCTGCAAATGAATGGGTACCTTTTGCCAAATACAGTGTCATATTTTTATTACAAACAATATTTATTTTGATGTAATCATTCGTCAAATAAAAGAAGACCAAAAGATCATATACACCTCTAACAGTCTTTTTCTGTTTCTTGTTGCACAGCATTTACTTTACAGTGAACTATTACAAAGACACAGCATTCCAGCCACTGTATGGTCTGTTACCGTCCGTACCGGTACTCTGCACATTTGTGGCATCATGGTTTATCACTTACATCTCAGAGGTGAGTTTTTGAGACATAGTTTATTCGTAAAAGTTTCTTTCGGTTCGTTTGATCATGTTTTGGGTTGTTTGATTGTTTGTTTCTTTGATTGGTTCTTCATTCATCCATTTGTTTATTCGTTAGTTCGTTCATTGGTTCGTTTGATTGTTCATTTGTTGATTCATTCATTTGATGTAGGGCTGTCCATTTTTGAATAACTTAGTAGTCAATTATTCGAAACTACATTTGACCAAATATTCGGATATTCGAAACTACCAGCTGCAACTGCGTGCCGCGCCGGTCAATAGTTGAGCGTAGAGCACGCCAGTTACATTTGCGTGCAGTGATCAGTATGGGGGGCTGGAGTGTTTTTGCAGTAAGTATTTTTTTACTGTCAAGGGCTTTATTCTGCTAAAAGGATGAGAACAATGAACCGCCATCAACAAAAAAAATTGCCGTCAACAAAAAAGTGGCACTTGACAATAAAACGCCGCAACTTTACGATAAAATAACACCACACTTATGTATGTGTTCATCTTTTCAAACCGTGGACAAAAAATACGAGAGAACAGAAGAGAACAGTATCGTCCACGATTCCCTGCATACGTCTGCGATTGGGGTCATGTTCAAACCCAATGGGGGTCTTCCTAAAAAGTTAGAGTACAAGCAAAAGAGGGACAATAGGACGTCCACGATCGACGGTGAACACACGTTTGCGTGTGAGTGTATGTGCGTAGTTTTTTTTTCTTCGAATATTCAAACCCGATTTGAATTTTGCTAATTTGTTGATGGATTTTGATGGCTTGTACTGTTTAGTCATTGAATTATTTCTTCACAAAATTCGAATTAGTCGCCGCCAGACAATAATTTGGCGCTCATAGGGTGGGATTCATTTGTGTGTAAAGTGAAAGCCATTTTTTGTCGGAGGGTTGCAGACACCCAAACTCTGAATGAAGTAGGTTTTTTTTTCCTTTAAAACAAAACATACAATTGAAAATTCGATAGGAGGAAAATTTTTTTTTGTTTTTTTAAGAGCATAGGGTTTGCAACTTTAAATAATTCAATGGTGATTTCAGGGTTTCTATCAGGTCCCAAAATAATCCACTGAACCATAATTGTGCTGATTGAAAACACAAATTCCTACTATCTCAAATTATCTGGATTGTTATTTTGGCAATAATCATCACCTAAATCTAAAATTCCCAAGTCGGCAAATGGTGTGCTCACGTGCCCTAATTTTTCTCCCCCTGGGTTATTTTTTTTGGTTGCCTTGATAAGGAAGCTCAAAGTAAACAAGTGTTTCTAGGCAAACCGGAATGCCAAGTACCCCTGCCAAACAAGTGTATCAAACCCTCTGCAGGGCAATCAATCAGTCAACTTTTGATATGCAAATGAGCGGACCACAAGCTGTCAGTCATGGAGATTTCTGAATTGACATAATTGGCAGGTGGTTATTTTCGAACAACACCCAAAAAAAATTGGCATATTTTGCCAGATTAGGTGTGTTTTAGCAAGTTCTGTTTTCAGGGCCAAAATAAAACAAAACTACAAAAACATACTTTTTGTTCATTTTTTTCCTGGTTTTCACAGTTTAAGAAGAGTTAACAAAACTTTCTCAAATTCCTTTCTTTAAACCCAAATTGTAACCAAAAAAGTACACAGTTTTGAAAACTACCACAAATGGCTTACAATCCTGTTATTTGTTTCTCCCATTTAGTTTTACTTCTTATTTCCTGAAGCATGCGGAGTTTAAGTCAGTTAAATCTTAAGTCAAATCACAAGTCAATCACAAGTCAGTCACAAGTCAATCACAAGTTAGTTTCAAATCAATCACATGTCAAATCACAAGTCAGTCACAACTCAAATCACAAGTCTGTCACAAGTCAAATCTCAAGTCGGACACAAGTCAAATCACAAGCCAGTCTCACGTCAATCACAAGTCAAATTACAAGCCAATCACAAGTCAAATCACAAGCCAATCATAAGTCAATCACAAGTTAAATCACAAGTCAGACACAAGTTAAATCCCAAGTCAGTCACAAGTCAAATCACAAGCCAATCACAAGTCAAATCAAAAGTCAAATCACATGCCAATCACAAGTCAATCACAAGTCAAATCACAAGCTAATCACAAGTCAAATCACAAGCCAATCACAAGTCATTTCACAGATTGGGTCATAAGTAACAGGTCATTAACCAATAAACCTTTGTCACAGTTCTCTTAAATAGCTTGTGACTTGTCACTGAGTGAATTGCGACTGACTTATGATAATTTGACTACAACTCTAGAAATATCAGATTAACAATCTTGTTGAAGCTGAAGCAATTTTTTTTTCAATACTTATTTAGTAACAAAACTAACAAATGTTCTGTTTTATTTCAGATGCATCTTTGTTGTGATCAAGGCCTCTTCTACAGAGTAGCGCACATAGCTATCGGAGGATTCTGCTTACTAGTGGTGCTTATAACAATTTGGCTTACTGAAAAGGAACTGATAAGCTTCATTCTGAACCAGTGGAAAGCAAGAAAAGCAACTAGTGAGGAAAAGAAGAAATTATAAAAACAAAAACATTTTATTGGTTTTATTTAGGGGGTAACAATATATATTTATTCCTTGCGTAATGCTTTTGTTTTTGTTCATTAGCCCTCCTTTGCAAACATACATTCTGTGCCAAGCTGTCCTTTCAGTCAAAATCAATCAAGTGACTGTTTTTTAACAATTAAGAGCTCTCAGCCTACATAGAGCAGGATTGACTGGTTGTGACTGTTTATGTAACTTGGTACAGCTACATGTATATGGTTTACACTGTCAATGATTGATAAGCCAGCTGTCCCTACAAATTGCCTGTGTTTGTCTTTTGACTGAATTTGACTAGTCACAGTGCTTGCTTGAAATATGGTCTGACTGTTGGTGACTAGCCTGTGTAAAAGGCATGGCAGGGGAAGAGGATTGATTTTTTGACTGTCTCTGTCTGATGAGACAGCAGGAGGGTTAGAGATCATAACAAATTGAAAGCAAAGTGGGTCAAAGGCCGACAAATGGATGGATGTCAACAAGCGGAAAAAGTCGTCAAGTGGGATATAAAAGTTGTTTGAATTCCCACTTCTGGTGCTATAAAGATTTTAGACTGGTCAAATTCTTATCGTGTAGACACTATACGACTAGATTTTGAAATTGAACAAATATTAAAGTCCAAAACAAAACTTGAAATTTTATGTCTATACACTCGGAATTAGACGACTCTTAAAGTTAATCCATTTTAACAATTATTTGATTGAGTTTCATGCCAAGTATAACATTTTGTAATTGCTTCAAAATATTTGGATAAATTCATCAGTCGTCGTGAACTAATTTACTCATTTCCAAAAATCGAAATCCCATAAGGATTGTTACTACACATTTTTACAGCCACCATTATGTAACCAGGATTCGAGAATATGTTCTGAACTGTGGTTCCAATATTTAAGTCTTGTTGCAAATTAACATATTTTTAATTCATGAATATATTTTGTTTAAGACAGATAATTATAACAGATTTATAGGAATCGCATTGTATTTGTAATAAATGACTTGAAAAGGGACTTTATTTATTTTGTCTGTTTGTTGAGCTCCACTGTTCAATATTTGTCGTGTATTACCCAGCCTATAGACCATTATCATGTTGCGGCCATCTTGAGTTTTTTTCCGTTTCAAATCAACGTAACCAAAGCGAGGCTGGAAGGAAAAGTAGTCTGGTTCGTTTGTCCACAAAAAAAACGTTATCGTTCATTACTGATATTGGATACAGGGAACATGACTGAAATGGTGGCAGCATGATAAAGGTCCATTCTATTTGAACTTGGGTGTCGATTTTCTTTAGCTACGCCGAGAAAAAAAAGCTGTTTATTTCTTCAGTCCCCAAGTCTGGGGAAACATAATCTGTCCATGTACAAGCAGTGTTGTCAATAGACATGTATACAAGTCGTAAAACAATCCATGTTAACACCGATGTGGTAGCTTGTGAACTTCCACCTAAAAACAGAATAACTAGTAACTCAAGATGAGTTCAACTGCGAGATTTTCTGAATGGTTCTTCGCTGGTCACCGATAGCATAGACATTCCACGGGTAGCCCTATATGCCTGGAGAAATGCTTGTATTTGCATTTGGTGTTGTTTGGTGTGGTGTGGGTTTAGCTTGTGAACTCCCACCTAAAAAACAGAATAACTAGTAACTCAAGATGAGTTCAATTGCGAGATTTTCTGAATGGTTCTTCGCTAGTCACCGATAGCATAGACATTCCACGGGTAGCCCTATACATGTATACCCGGAGAAATGCTTGTATTTGCATTTGGTGTTGTTTGGTGTGGTGTGGGTTTACTGCGTCGGGGAAAACAACAACAAATTCCGGTTTCAAGTTCATAGGCCTACCATAGAGGAAGGAACAGTGTACAATGTACTCAGTGTTACACATAATACATACCAGCATCTCGAAAGGTTTTTTTGCCGTTGGTAGTGGTAGTAGTTTTTTCGATCGCTGAACTCTATTTAGCCGATTAAATTATTTGTGCATTCAAATGTCTGCCCTTGAGACGGCGTACTTCTTGTCTGAACCATTTTTTACTAAGGTCTGACTTTCATACTTAAAAACTCGTTACTACAGAGGTGTGAGCTGTAACATTTGCGAACATGGAATATGTTGTCATGTGCCGTGTAAGAATATCTGCTTAAAAATGTCGAACCACAGTAAGCTGGCACTTGTAAGATATATTATGTGTTTAATAAAGCGGAGTACGAGGGTAAGCTTTTGTATCGCTGGGTTAGGCATGAATACACCTTTTGTGCACTCATTCGGTTTAAATTGAAAAAAAACATAGATCAAACTCTAAGGTACAAAAACAAATTTGCTGAAGTGAGCGCCTTGAATGACGTCACGATACCACCCATTATTTTGTCCGCCATAAAGATCGAGCTGTATATGGTTCCAGACCAGTAAATAAACTTCCATTCACCCCAATGATAAATGCTCCCACTTCAGAAATTCGGGAAAAATACTCACAACTCTCCAAGGTGTTCGAGACACACAGGAAATTAAAGCTGATTTCATCATCTTTCATTTTCTTTTCAATTTACGGGGGTCAACTGATGACTTTTAGGAGAAATTTCCATCCGAAGATGATCACCCCTTAAAATAGTCCTGAAGCCCATCGCCATTTTGAAAAACGATGCCTACACTCCATTGCAAAGTAGAGCGCTTTTAGGGCCTCAATTTCATCCAAATTGAACGGAACTACAAGCTTCAAGTCCTGTACACGGCTTCCTCCCATATTTTTTACAAGCCCTCAAGTTCATGGCCCACAGTATGCTCAAATACTGAAGATTTTGAGGGCATGCAAATCGTGATTTGGCCGGCGTACGCAATTTCGGACCGATTTACTGGTCTGCAACCATATAGGCTCACTGTGTATCTCAGCTAAACACTGACTGTTGATGCAAGACCCTTCTCGATATTGGACAACATAACTGTTAATCCCTTAAGTAATTGCTCTCAACCGCAGGTCCGTTATTCCAGATGATCTCCTCTAAATCGGATTATGACAGCTCCGACATTTGCCAGGTCGACCGACAAATCTGAAAGCGATGTCTTTGATCGTACCGCCCTATATAACGTTTGCATTTCCGCCCTTATTGATGCAGGCATGTTTTGTGTAGGCCAATTTTGTTAGCATTGCGAAAAGTTTACCGACGTCGCTATGTATCGAAGGTTTACATTAATTAAGTTGGAGTTATCCATATTTATATACCGCATTTGCTCATTGTTTACTTTGTACGAAACTTTCTATTAGCAGCGCAAAACGACCAGGTTCAGAATGGTGGAGTATAAAAGGGGTTGGGTTTGGCGCAAAATTCCACGCCGAATTCCACGCCGTAATTTTTGGGACACACTTTTTGGGACAAACATTTTTTTGGCCCCCCCCCCAAAAAAAATTGTGGTCTGGATCCGCCCTAGACCGTTCAGGCCGCACAGGCAGAATAAAGGCTTGAAATTTAACTCAACAATTATTGCTTATGAATCTGTACAAAAGTATGAGATGCCACACCCGTTGACCAGCCTTATGGTGGTCTCAGACCTCAGAGAAATGCTCGCAAAAAAAAAATCGTACATCCAAAGATAGAATGGTGTAAAAATAAATAAGCTATGTAATATTGCTGTCACCAATTCTCGGCTGAGGCCTTTTTTTTGATATGGCGTGTTTGAATAACACTTCAATAAGCTCGACATCTTTTTTTGGGGGGGGGGGGGGGGGGTTGAGGCTAAAACTGATGTTGACTCGAAGGCTGGGTGTCACCCGCACGGTCAAAAGGGTTGTCGCGTAGTGTACTCAACGTTGCCATCACTACGCTATATCAACGGGGGCCACTATCAAAACTCGACCGAGAAAACACTTCGTTGTGCGGCGTGTTGCCCAGTGCCGTGAACGGGTGCAGTGCGGGTCCAGGAACTTCTCCCGACTTCGGACACAAACCAGTCACTTCACAGTTTAAAGTGGAATCATTGAAGACTCATTTTCGACACTTGTGGAAGAGAAATATAACTGAATCGCAACGTGGAGATCTAAGCCGGCGATATATATTTTGGAGGTTTAAAGATGGGGATGCTAACAACATTTGGGATCTGAAGCTGCCGAGTTGAGCACAAAGGAGAATCGGGGTAAGATTTGCATATTTTTCTTTTCTTACTGTGGTTAACGTAACATAGAAGGTCTATTAAAAAATATATTGTATTTCATTTCAATAATTATAATGCGTTACAGACCTGTTGTAGTCGACATGACTTGTGTTTCATTACGTATAAGAAGTTAACAACTCGCAACTTCAAATAGTTCTAAATAAATTTAAGGATTCCACTCTATTATTTGCGAAGAGTCAAAATTCACTCCATTCGAGTGACAAGTCACTTCCACCGACTGAAACTATAGGGACCAGGCATTTTAGAGTGAAATTCATTCAATCGAACAGATCAAGTTTTCACTCGACTTTCCACTGGAATAATTCTTTTCCGGAGTATTTCAGGCTAAACATTAGAGTGATTTTCACTCTGAATCGTCTGGTTCCTAGCTTCACCCTTTGGAAATAAGATGGTACCGTTGCGGTAATAAAACGAAAACCGACACAATTTTGTTTTCATTGATAATGGGAACTGCAAGGCATTTTGGTCTTCGGACAGATTTTTGGTTGAAATATGGGCAATGCCAAAGTAACCGTGCACAGCCTTGAACCACAGAAGAAACCATCGTACTCCTCCGTGCTTGAATTGTCCACGATTGGCACATTAATGTAAATATCGATCCTGACTGTGCAAAAAGTGCAAGCAAGCAAACATGTATGGGTGTAAATTTGATCGGTCGGACCGTCGGTCGGCAAGGGAGGATCCAGAACACAATTTTTTCGGGGGGGGGAGGGGGGAGAGAGGGGGAAAGTTTTCGTCCACCCAAAAAGTGGGTCCAAAAAATTACGGTGTGAGGCTCGGGCCTGCTTAAGGGGCTCCGAAAAAAAATGTATTCTGGATGCTCTGTGGTGCGATCTGAGGCAATTTCTGAACACTTTAACCAATGTTTTGTAGGAAAAGAAGTTGGTGAACGCAGTGCATGTCTTTATTGCGACTCCACTCAAAAAGAAAAAAGAAATTGGTTTCGTTTTTTTTTGGGGGGGGGGGGCATGGCCCCCGTGGGCCCCCCAACCCCACCCCCTGGATCCGCCCTTGTCGGTCGGTCGGTTGTCGTCGTTGGACATTGCATGCACGA